TAATTCTATAGATTGTAAGATGTTTACATGATAAAAGAGTTGAAAGCTTCAAAGAAAAGAAAAAAAAGACGATCATTCTTGTATATAATCATGATTATGTTTTTCACTTAACACATAGATACTGAAACAACGATGCACCAAATACATATGCGCCACACAAATTTCATTCGATATGTGTGAGGGCTATGATATTGCCCGGGTGCCCAAACCAAAGCAGGTGGTTATCTTAGGGGGCCACACCCGGAACCTTCGAACTGAAGGTCTGATTCACAAGGCAGTGGTGTATCGTAAGAAGATGCAGTCCCATGGAAGCCGGTGACCAACAATTGGTTCATACGCCATTTGTTCGCGCAGGATACTGGAGCCCATGTGCACCATTGGTTTGGAATCCAGTTATAGCGCCGGACATTCGCTTTCCATCCTCTCATTTTCGTAAACAACACCCTCGTCACGAGAAGGCAGTGAGTAGGACTCCCCTGGCAGAGGCTATATACGCGTGGCCATGTGAGAGCATTTGGAGAGGGAGTGCGGACTCTCCCCACTCTCGGCCGTACCAGGGCATTTGGGGGAATATACTCATGAAGGAATCATGAAGGAATTGATGATTTGAATTTATTTTTGTACAATATCACTATAATTATGTTCTTACTAAAGTATTCAGCTCACAGCTCACTGAATAATAAATATTGTCATACTTACCTAGACCTTAGTGTTAACTGAGTTGTATCACTTAAGTTGGAATGTACATGTTGGTTGAAGATATTATACAGTTGAGTAAAAAGTAAAAGAGTCCCACAGTAGGATGAAAAGGTCATTCAGTGCTTTCAGGTTTTCCATGGTAGTCTATCTTCAATTGAAATTACTATAATATGTACGAAACCCCTTCTGATATTAAAAATAAAAAACCTTTTCGGTAAAAATAAAGTGCTAACATCTATCGGTCAGAGAATTCACCATTCAATCGTTAAGTTGTATGTCCAAGTTCTACTCCAATTACTTTTGTATTAATAATTTAATAGTGTTGACAGCTTTTACTTAAGATGTGTTATTTTAACTGAGTGCATAAATATGTATCTAGTTATTAAGTCGGATTATGATGAAACTTAATATTTGCTATTCAATATACTTAAATTTTTAGTCTGATGATTTCAGCTTCTAAGATAGATAAATTATTTCAAGTTATCCAGTTATCGGGAACAAACTACGTAGCATTTTAAAACTATTTTCCTCATGAATTGATACCAAATAAAAAACCATTGAAAACCTCATAAGATTGTACAATCATTTTCGTTCAGATTGAGATTCCTCAGTAATGTACTTCCAAAACTCTGGACAATATCGATCACATAATTTTCACTACTCACAGAGTGTCATCATAAACTATTGGATTTCAATCCAGTGGTCTAAAGAATAGCATGTCTCCTACATATCTCGGAGGCTTTAAGTTTAATCTAGTTTAGTATCATGTAGAGTAATAAACCAAGATCTTTGATTCATGACAACTGACAACTTGATTTAAATTTATGACATTCGATACCTTTAGAATGATACTACTTTCCATTGTACAATTACTAACCTCATAATTCGAAATGTTCACAATGGAACTTTTACTTAAGTTTATATTACATATGCGTAGATGTACGAAACTAGTTGTGTTTAATTTTGATTTCATTACTCTCTCCTTCTCTCTCTCTCTCTCTCTCTCCATATACACATTTATGTACATTCAATAAATGATTGACCTAAATTCATTTCATTTTATGATGTCTCTTCTTTCGTTTCCTTCTTTATTTTCTTCTTTTTGACCTCCATTCCTTTTTACCTGACCACATTTTATTGTTTTTTCATTTATTTTACAAAATTCCTCTTTTTTTTTATCCCTAAAAACTTTTTATTTTGACCACCTTTTATTTTCAAACAAAAAATGGCGTCTATTCAATTCTTGGGTCTGATTTCGGTGAGAAAATTTTGATCGTGATTAATATTGTTATTATTTCTTTACGAAAGAGAAACAATGAGGAAAATGTAAGGTATATGAAGAAGAATATACATACGTATATGTATATATATGTGTGTATGCATAGGTAAGAGATGGTGAGTGTGTGTGTGTTAGAGGGGCATGCATGGATGAATGAGAAACAAACTACTAATAGGCTAACACGAGATCATAAATGAAAAATACAAAAAAAAAACAAACGACTCGATCTAGTTCATTAAACTTTTCTTTTATTCATCTTCCGATTAATGAATAAATCAAGATGGTTTTATTGTCGAATTCTCCTCTAATTTTATTGTTGTTGACTTTCGAGTTCTTTTATTTTTTTTTCGAAATAAAAGAGAATTATAATGATTATTATTATATACATTGTATATTATCAATAATAGGGAAAAGGTTAATTGAATTGTGATGTGGTTTATCGGTTAATTATTTAGAACATTTAATTCTAGCATGCATTAAATCATTAAACATAATCAAAATGGATCGTTTTAATCGACGATCGATAAACATTGAACATTCATTAAAATAAATAAATAAATTGAAAATTAATTAATATTCACAATTGACTGACCACTTGGTAGCGAGTGAGCAATGTCATGTGTATCAGGTACTTCTTAGGGATGATCAAATGCTAACGACCAATTTGCAATGTGGCCACTAGTCTAGGTGATTCGATATTGCATACACTATGTTGAAATAAGATAATGGTTGAAGGTAGTCAACAGGGAACCCTGAACCAAGTTCCCTCAAGATTACAGGTACACTTTGCTGATGAGTGCCAAATAGCACGAAACCCGGGGTCAGGGTTTCCTGTTGACTACCTTCAAGCACCATCTTATCTGAATTAATAAATATTCATAAATGTAATTACTAATTAAAAACTAAATTTTTAAATCCTTGTTTATTAGAATTTGAATATGAGATTTATTATGGTAAATTATTTACTGCCTGAAGTTTGTGCTGATGATGTTGTTCAGAAAAACAAGCCATCCAGCTTAAAGAATAAAACTCCACCTAGATATTTACTGATATGAAGTAATGTGAATTATTTATTTAACAGAGTAGTTCTTGTTAAGAACAGAGATTGATTTCTGTGTTTTTGTTTTCTAAAAGAATTACTTTTTATAGATAACTAATACCTAATTTCAGAAGGCTTTTTTGTGGATATTATAGTAATTTCAATGGTTGAGATCATGAGTCAGCTTTCCATGGTGGTCTAGCTTCGACTGACACATGATCTCAACCATTGAAATAATGCATAATTATTTATATCTTTAACATACATGAAAAATATAAAAAATAGATTGTTTGTTGAACCTTATAATTTATATTATCCCCTGATCTTAATTCAACAACCATTTCAGGTATAAAACACATAACATCAGTGAATATGAATGACTATCACGCAATATACCGAATTGATCAAATTTAGATGTGTAAATCACTAGATGCTGAATCCTTGAACTAAAAGTTAAGTATCAGTTTAGGGGTTGTGGAGTTTCCTATGTTTTTGATTGAGTTCATTAACCGATTGATGTTAGGCCACCGTTGGAAACCTGGAAGCACTGCATGGCCGTTTCGTCCTATCGTGAGACTCCTCAGCAGTGTGTATCCACGATCCCTCTCGCGGGGTTCGAACCAAGGGCCTTCAGTCTTGTGAGCGAACGCTTAACCTACTGTTCCACAGAGCCGGCATCCAATGATGTTAATGTTTAACCTCAACCAATCCACGAAGTTGCACAACCACCTTCCATTGTACTGAAGTAGATACTTGCTCCACTGGTCACTGCTTTTCACTAGAACTCTGAGAATTCCCTCACGAAGCTAGTCACTAGCGAGAACATGGTAATTATCAGTATAGGGTTGTGGAGATTATTACATCTGAGATTTACATTGTCATGTGGATTGTTGAAAACCAGAAAGAATTGGTTGTTTGTTTCGTTCTGTTCAAGAATTTCAAAAACTAAAATAACTTGGCGTTAGACAATCTCTATAATCTTTTGTTTTATTAACTTTTTTCCAGTTTTGTCACTGTATTTTAAACCATAAGTTGTAAGAATACCCAGTGACTGATCATAAAGGTACTCTTAGTTTGGTATGTGGTAAAAGTTATTTATATTATCCTTTAAATTTTTATGTATAGAGACTGTTCATTATCCCTTCTTGAAGAAAGTAGTAAATTGTTGATTTTTTTGCCGATAATGATTGATACTTTTATGTGAATGAATTTAAAATTATTATCATTGAATGTTTAAGGAGATTGCTGAATTTCTTAGTTTGATCATAATTATGCAACCAATAAAAATGGAGAAGCACTGGACAGAAGTTTTGTATTAGTGATCATCCGAAAGCCCATTAGGGGTAGTAACCAGGACTTTCAGATGATTCATCTAGTGCTTAACTCTTTAACCATTGAGCATGTGTACAGTGGTTTATTTGTCTAACTTCAACTTATGATATCACACAACTGTCTTCTAGTGTAATTAGCGGATAAATACCTCATATTTAACGTAGCTAAACTGCACTGGGCTTCTCATAAGGATTAGAAGAAATTCCTTGTGAAGCTAAGTATGTGCAATGTATGAAGGTTAAACTTGACAACTATCCAGTGCTTTCTAGTTTTAGTTCGTGAAGTAAACTATGAAGTAAAGACGATGTTTTTTAAAACTTATTAACCCTAACATTTTACCGTAGTAAAGAATGTTTTAGAACCGAAATTTTTAAGAAATACATGATTGATGGTTAATTTTGTAAAGATTTAGATAATTTCTAGGTAAACCCGGAGAGTCCACGTTTAATTCCGTTTTACATCATGGGTAAACACTACTTAGGGATACCTAACTAGGGAATTGTTAGGATGTTTTTAAACATATCTCTAGCCTGTATTTCCACTCTGTACAGATTATCACATAGGTATTCACATTGTTCACACTGGTGCGTTAACTTTTAAAAAAATATTTTACTAAGCTATTCCTTAACTCTTTTTATTCTATAAATTTACGCCATTCGAGTATATGGTTCTATCAACTATTTTAGCCAATTGTATAGTTCTAGCTATGGAAATGCATTTACCATCTAATGATAAAACAGCCTTGTCAGAAAAACTGGTAAGTATCGTTTGTAGCAATTTATATTTATTAATGTATGTTTATTGTTACACTGTTTTAGATATCATTGATCATATCAATTGAAATTATTAGATGGAAATGATGATTGATTAGTGATCTGGATGTCAGGAATAATAATTTGGAGGTTGGGTTGAACCAAATGACTATAAATCCTCTTGTCCAACCGTTAAAACACAAACCAAATACTGATAAAATAGATTTATTATCACAAATAATTAGTGGAATGAGGTTTATCATAGTATATCACAGAGGGCGGCGTGCCCTAATAGGTTGACATCAGAGATATCCAAAAATAGATGGTCCCGTTTTATCTGTTAGGTTAACTGAGGTAATGGCTGGAAACTTGGGACTGGAAGTAATCACATGTGAATAGTTTTGATTACTGATCGATCCGATCCATAAGAAAGAACAAAAATTCTCGTGTGATAGCCAGAGAGCAATGAGTCTGACTTATTTTGAATTTAAAAAATAGGCCTAAATAATCATCCAACAATTAACTAGTGGTCAAAAGACTAGGCTGGTTTCAGGCTTAGGACTTATGTATAAAGTCTCAGTACCTAAAACACAGACATACCTGTAAACTCTCGACCGTTGTTGTATTTCCTGACATTATGGTTACTCTTTGTCGGGAAATCATTAGATAAGCTTTTTCAAACTTTAATTTTTTCACATTTTTTTTTAGCTCAGGAAGATGTTTTTCCGACTGAGAAACATTTTCCACCTGTCAGCTATACCAGTTTCTAATTTCTCATACTGATTGTGGGACGTTAATCTGATGATTATAAGAATGAATTAAGAAAGAAAGCAGTCTTTTGTTTGTTTCTAAGTTTTTTCAAGTGCTGAAGGATCTCCATGCACGAATAACTTTTTAAAAAAAGGAGATCTCTACATAGTATTCTTTAAAGATCTATTTCAGTTGCGGTGCTACTGAAAACCATAAAGCACCGGACAGCTGCCTCGTCATGTCATTAGACTCTTCACTTAAGATCAAACACAGAATCTTCAAGCAAACACTTAATCACTAAACATTTCGTGTCTTCGTTCACTGGTTTAATTTCAACTGCAATCGACTTGCGATACCATTCAAAGCCATTAGTCACGACAGTTACAGTCCGAATTCTCTCAGTTACGACTTCTCACTAGAACTTGAGGAGCACTCCCTGGTATCTCTTAGCTTCACAGTCAGAAAAGTTACTAAACCTGACCTTCTGTAAAACTGATTGTGAGGCTAGGTGACATGAGGTTGAATTTATTAGGCATCATCAGTTCCATCACGATTATGGTCACACCTAGCTGTCTAGTGCCAAGTAAAAAGAAATTTAGGTTTGGGGTTTCCTGTTGAAAACCTTCAACCTCCACCTTAAAATTCATGCTCTTGATTATTTATCAAACCATTATATATAATACTGTTTGTTTTCTTTTTAGGAGCAAACTGAAACATATTTTTTAATTATTTTCTGTGTGGAAGCTTTATTAAAAATTGTTGCATTGGGTTTTGCATTTCATCGTAAGGCTTATTTAAGAAATGTATGGAATATAATGGATTTTATTGTGGTAGTTACAGGGTAGGTTGTTGTTGTTATTTTTCCTATTTTGTATATTGTCCTTTTATTAAGAATAATTTTCTTTAGTTACACTTTAAAACTGTATTATTATTAATCGAACCCAGGAATTTCGATCTTGAGTGCGAATGCTTAACCCCTAGACCATCGAACCATCATCTAACAGTGTTAATGTCTAACGGTAGTCGATCCAGGACATTGCGTTTTACTGACAAATATATGAGTTTGATGAAGATTTAGAACACATGTAATGAAATGACTTCATTTCATTCCTCGCGATATTTGTTTGTCTTGTTTTATGGAAATTTATCAAGGAATTTAGTTGATTAAAATTTCTTGAAGTTATACAACTATGTATCTATTACAATTTATCTATGTAAATATTGAAAATTATGGTCTAAATTTTATATTAACCATCAAATAATGTTCTGTGATTCATAAGAAATTTGTTTACTCATAAGATTATTCCCACTGATCTTATCTATCAAATAAAGATTTACTCGGAAGCACTGAGCGGCCGTTTCGTTCTAGTATGGGACTTCTAAGAAATGAGCATCCACGATCCCGTACCACGAGATTCGAACCCAAGACCTAATAGTCGTGGATACGCACTGCTTAGGAGCCCTAGACTAGAACGAAATGGTCGTCCAATGCATTCAGGTTTTCCATAATCATCAATCCAACCATTAAATTACCAAAATCTCTACAAAACCCCTTCTGAAGATAACGATTATTAAACAAAATGCTAGTTTATTTAAAGGAAAAAAATGGTAATCTGCAAACGAATCGTTATTCAAACAGTGAGAATTTATTGAGACATTGAAGATACCATTGTTATAATTAGACCAAATGCTTTTATGCTCTATGTGTGAAAGAAAACTAAATCTTAGATAATACAGATTAACTCACTTTATCTTAAAACTAATCTAAAGTAATCGGTCAATTAATTCTTATTGTATTCACACAAAAAGACTTTTTAGTGTTAAATTAATATCAACAATAACTCACTATCCTTTTTTTGGAGTTTAGTCGACTAAACCATCTAGTTCAAAGAACAAAAACTTCATCAAAATCATCCACCTGAGTTATAAATTTTCTCCAGCATCTCAAACTCACCATTCTGAATGAAAAATAAGATAAATATATTCGATAGGGAAAAAAAGGTAACCCAGCTGTTTAAGATCATTTTTCTGCAATAATTACATCTATTAGTTTGGTTATTGGATTGCTGAAATAAAATCAGTCAGGAAATAAAAGACAAAAAAAGCAATCTTGTATAGACTGATATCTGATATTCACATAAGCCAGCAAAAGATAATGTACATCAAGTTCTGAACAGTATTTACTGGATGGTCTAAACTTTTCTTAATAATAATAATAGTGAACATTGTTCTAGAATAGTTGAATTCAATCAAACAAGCAAACATTAAAACAATGTAAAAACTCAAGATTTCGTGAAAGATGAAGGACAATTATAGTTATGTCATAACTTATGCCCTGTGTCCCATTAATGTATAACGTAACGATACCGCCAATTAGAGAACAGTGAATTATCGACTGGACTAATGACGCAAAAAACATGTACAAGCAGTCTAGAGTGTTTACTAGTCCTGCATCCCTCCTAACTCTGCCTGTTAAGTCCAGAACACCAATCTCGGCCTCTGCGATATGAATCATTTATTTCAATCATACTTGGTTTATATATCAATCAAACAGATCACATCATGCCATGAAATAGGAAACAACACATGTACAAGACTTAGCCAAATGTGGCTGTGAATAAGGGAGATAGTAATTGATAGACCAGACATAACTCAAGAATGTTAAATCATGTAATAATAGTTCATAGGTCAAAATAAAGCTGATGATAAGAGAAACACGAATATGAATAGTTTAGTTAGTTAACAATTATACGATAAAAATATACGCATAGTATTAGTCCAGAAATAGATCCCAACAGTTACCATTCATTATTCTCATCGGGATATAACAAGCTACTCTACTGTTACTGACTTCTGGATGCATTACTCAACGTCTCCATTATCTGGTTCATATTAACCTAAAAGTCTTCCCTTGTCAGAATGGCTCAGTTTAATAATCAATGATTTCATGAATTAATACTATGTATTCGTTAGATGACCTCAAAGTCATCTTTGATATACTAGTCGCCATGCATAAACATTCTTTTTATTCAGTTTGTAAAATTAGGATTAATGAATCAGTTAAAAATGTAATAGTGAATTCTGGTGCACCAGAATTCAAACGACTGTTACCCATTTGTACAAAAGATGTTCACTTCCAGTTCAACGATATCAAATACAGACAAACCGACGGTGTAGCAATGGGAAGTCCGTTAAGTCCTGTCCTAGCAGATATTTTCATGGCTAACCTTGAAAGAACCAAGCTCAAAAGAGCAATTGACAAAATGCTGTATTATTCGAGGTATCCAAATATCCATTTCACTATGGAACATGAAAAATAAAAAATGTATTCTTAACTTATCTGTTAAGGTACTTGTTTTTATCGTCAGTTTACCAAGAAAACTTTTCAAGGAGTTGATTAAATAGATCTTCGATTTAAATCTGTATATAAACATATAAAACATGTAATCAGGAATTTCATTATTTCGAACTCCTTATTGGTATTTATCAACTTTTGATTATGTAATTTTACATATTTACACAATTTCTATTTATTAATTTTCTTCAGTCTTTTAGCTTACATTCTGCCTAATTTAAATCAACCAGCTGTACGTGCATTACGTGTATTACGACCACTTAAATTAGTAACTGGTTTTGAAAGTAAGTTATTCTATACAATAAAGCTGTTTTGAAATATATATAAATAGTGTACTGTAAATGATACACAGCTAAAGCAAGACACCATATAATACTTATTGATGGATTGGTATGTACTTACTCGGAGTTTTTAAGTTAAAAAAGACATATGCTTGTTTAGTTCTTTAGTGCTGAACAAATCCTATCACTTAGATAGGAATGCATGCGTTGGTAACAATTATCGATGAATATAAAACCTAAATCTAAGGTTTTCTGACCATTCTATTTAACTACCTAATACAGAAATGAGTATTCAGGTTTATCCAAAATATATCTTTCTTAAAGTTGAATGTCTTCCGTTATCGATGCTTTTATGATCTTATTAATTCATTAAAATATCCAAATGATAATTCACAGTTTACATTCACTTTTATTTACTTTGTGATGGATCCCAGCAAAAGAGCTTATTCAAGATATATCAATACGCAAGGTTATTATTAATGTACCAAAAGTTAACAAATTACAGTTAGAATACAAATGGTATATTAAACAACAAGATAATAACAGTTGTTATGAAATTAATGTTTTTTGCAAGCCGCCCTCTGAGATAACAACCACAAATGAGTCCAATTGATTAACGAAGATTTCTCTGCACGAGATGGCATCAACGGCGTAATGAGAAAGACTGGATCCAATAGTATTATTTAATAATAATTCTGGCCAAAATCCAACATAGTATAGGAAGGTCTAAAACGACGTTATAACACTATTATAGTCTTCAATCAAAGGCCGTGGCCAATAAAACAGAAGAACAGACGGCGGGGATAGCGTTTTATTCATTTTAACCAACGCGTTAGAATATTCGCATATAAGTATCCAAACAATTATAATTGTTTTTTAACAAGTGATACAGAGAAACAATAGATATTGAATAAAAATGTGGTTACATATAAAGTGTGACAAATTAGGGGAAAAAATGCGGTTTTTATTTTGTCGTTACAAAAATCACTGAATATACGTCACCATAACTTTTCTCACGACAATACTACTTATATTATCTACTTATTTATCGATTATTTTTAGGTTTACAAATTGTACTCAAATCTATCATTAGAGCTATGGCTCCATTACTTCAAATTAGTTTATTAGTATTATTTGCTATAATTATATTTGCAATAATTGGCTTGGAATTCTATTCAGGTGGATTTCATATGACATGCTTTGATTTATGTGAGTGAAATAATGATACAGTCTTCTTTTTTTTGTTGTTGAATAAATCATTATTACATTGCTAACAGTTATTATAATCACCATAATTTTCATTAGGAAACATATTGTATTGGATTGTTTTCAATGCTTGTAATCAAATGAAATAACCGGTGTAAAAAAATTCTTAGTTCTATTAAAAAACAAGGTTTATTAGCATTATAAGTAGAGGTAGATGGTGGCTAGCAGTGAAATCCAGGACTCGCTTTTCGTCCTGTTCGGCACTCATCAGATGTATGCACCTGCGTCCTATAATTGATGTTCACTTAGAGATTCAAGCACAATGAAGTGAAGGAGAATACAAGTGGAGATAATCAGATGTACGTGAATACAAAATTACAGACTGTCTTAATAAAATCTAAAAACCATACAGTAAATATTTTATTTGAAAAATATCCATCAATCGTCTAAGACTTGATTATTCCTTCGTTTTCACAGCAGTCATTCTCTATTCCCGTTCCCTTTTCTTCGATCTTCTTAACTTTTTCACTGCCAGACATTTCACTCTCGATTAATGATATATACTATTTATATCTGACAACATCAGTAACACACACCACAACAATATCGTTCGCTTGAAAAGTCACCACGTCATCCACTGAGCTACTGAATCTAGCTAACCACTAGCTCGTGCAATAGAAAGAAGTTTGATTCATGTTTATATTGGTTATTTGAATCTCTCCATCGATGTTTAGGACTGGAATTGATCAATCTCTTATTGGTACATGTGTGTGACATGTGGATTGCTTCGATATCACCTTAAGTTTTAGAACCCACTGCTAGCCACCATCCATCTCTGTTTATAGTGCTTTTGACTTATGGGAATATCAAGGTAATCCACATTGGATGTACATATGTCAATGAGAGATTGATCATTTGCTGTCCTAAACATCAATGGGAAGATTCAAACAACCAATACAAAAGTGAATGTTTTTTAAATCTTTTGGGATAGATTGAGTATATTTGATAATGCAACTAAATTCAGTAATACATACACTATTCTAAATTTTTGCTTCTTTTATTCGAAGTTCATGAAAGGATAACCTTTTACAATTGTTTAACTTGTCAATAATCCGTCATTGGTGCTGCATAAAAGTATTAACAGTTTATTTAATATAATAGAATATTGTATTCAGTTTCTAAAATCTACAGTGAATGAACGAAAAAAACGTTTTACTTACTTATGCCTGTTACTCCCATTGGAACAGAGGCCGCCGACCAACATACACCAACCCACTACGTCCTGGGCCTTCCTCTATAGTTCCATCCAAGTTTTGTTCATTTTTCTCATGTCTGTCTCGGCATAATGTGTCCTTTGGTCTTCATCTTTTCCTTTGGCCTTCAGAATTCCATGTGAAGGGTTGTCTTGTGACTCAGTTGGGTGCTTTCCTCAAAGTGTGTCCCATTCACTTCCAGCGCTTCTTCTTGATTTCTCCCCCTTCTGCGATCTGGTTTATTCTCTCCCATATTAGGTTGTTGCTGATAGTGTCTGGTCAACGAATCCGAAGTACTTTGCGTAGACAGCTGTTAATAAACACTTGCATCTTCTAGATGATGGCTTTCGTAGTTCTCCAGGTTTCCGCTTCATACAGTAGAACTGTCTTGACATTTGTATTGAAAAATCTGACCTTGGTGTTGGTTGGCAGTTGTTTTGAGTTCCAGATGTTCTTTGGTTGTAAATATACTGCTGTTGTTTTGCCAATTATCAGAACTATGTGATATATTATCGCAATACATTTTGAACAATCGGATCTCATATATGTTTCATATTTTAATGATCATCTGTTTAGTTAGTAATTCATTATCCTAACTTTATGATATGGTTTCATAAGTAATAAATATCTACAAGACAAAATATTTATTCTATAAAGCAAAGATAGATAGTGGCTAGCAATGGAATCAAGGACGCATAAATGCTTAAAAAGCTTGTGACTTAAGGCTATATCAAGACAATCCGCACAGAATACACATATGCCAACATGAGACTGATCGATTGCAGTCCTAAATAATAATGGAAAGGTACAACTAAAACATCACCAAATGAATTGATTTATTCTACCGTTTAATTTCTATTATAATAAAATGGAAAAATTCATTAGCTCTTGTTGAAGTAACAGAAAGTTCTATGCACTAATAACTTGATGTGGAAGTAAATAGTTGGCCTTGAAATAGACGATTTTAATTTATTAATATTATTGAACATTTATAGTTCTTAGAAGCTAGAAAAATGAATACGAGATGATGGAGAAGATTTGTAGTTCATCTGGATGATTTTGATAGAGTTTTGTTCTCTGATCTCCATCAAAAATGAATACATTATAGATTGTATTATTAACAAATAATTTGAAAGTTACAATCATATCATATAAGAGTATGTTGAACAATTTGTATTAGGGTAGAAGGAATGTCTATGCATATCGTATAACCTATTATTTTTTGTCTAGAATGAACGACTTTAAAGAATATTAATAATAATATCAATAATAATAATAATGATAATAACTCATTTCGTGCTAATGTAATCCATACTCCATATTGAAAATAAAACGTAATTTTCAACTAGAGGCTGAGTATTCGCGCGTGAAACTAATAGGTCTTGGGTTCGAATCTCGGGAGACGGGATCGTTGATGCGTACTGATGAGGAGTTCCATACTAGGACGAAACAGCCGTCTAGTGTTTTCAGGTTTTCCATGGTGGTCTAGCTTCAATTAATTCATAATTTCAATTATTGAAATTACTGAAATCTCCACAAAACCCCTTCTGATTTTTTTGTTTTGTTTAGAATGTACGACTTTAAAGAATAGCAATAGTAATAGTGATAATAATAATTCATTTCGTGCTAATGTAATCTATACTTCATATTAAGAATAAAACAATATTTTCAACTACTATTACCATGGGTCATTTAAGGACAAATTTTTAGTGTGTTGAAAAGGCGTCATTTTCATATTACTGAGGCATAATTTTCTTCTTCTTCTTCTTCTTCTTCTTCTTCTTCTTATTATTATTATTATTATTATTATTATTATTATTATTATTATTATCAATATATGGATTTCTTGAGATTGTAGTATTTTCATATTTGAAATTACGAGATGAAACGGCTGTCTATTGCATCTAGATTTTCAAACGTAGTCTAGCTTAGATAGATTTGTGATTTCAACTGTGGACATACTTTGTTTTGTTTTTTTACTGTTCATGATTTTATGAACTGTAAATATCGTTGTGTTTTTCCTTCACTGAAGTGCCTTTATCTTTGTTTTTTTACTTTTCAATGAGTTTCATCACGTCTTAGGAAAGAGAGATTTATGTAAAGGTTTTGCTCAGATTAGTGAGACGAGAACAAGATGTTTTGATTATAAAAATAACGGATTTGTAGAATAACCACTTTGTAATGATAATTCACACACATTGACTGATAGTGTGTTTCGATTACATCTCGTAATCAGCATATGTCTTGAAGAATTTTATAAAATGATCATGAATTGTATGTCATTATGATTTAAGTAATCCATTTAACTTCCATATAAATCACTTATTCTAATTGTGAATAAAATTTGATCAATGTTAAGGGACTAGATCATTAGACACAGTACATTGAAATATCAAGTCACAAAAATTTGTGTAGGAAATCAAGATTGAAGGATCTGAACAATGCTAAAGACTAGAAGATACAAAATGAAAGAATGTTTTGTTGCCTATAAGAAGATCTGTTATAATGTAATTAGGTTAAATAATTTTCTGTTGGAGTTGAGTTCTCTGAATTTGATGGTTTAACTGTGAAACTTTTGTTGTCTTTCTAAGATAATATCATCAGCATAAACTTAAGATAGAAATGATCTATTCAAATTTTCAAGTGTACAATCAACAACTCATTTTGTCTACTTTGATTTTGATTGGTCGTTGTTGATTCTTGTCCTATCATTGTTTGAGTATGCTTATTTTAAAAATGTTCGCATGATAATTGAAAATTTAAACAGAAGTATTAGAGATTAGTCATTACTTTAAGTGTATGAAAATGATGATAAAAGCATAGAAGTGATTGTAAAACATAATTATTATGTATGAAACGTTTAAAGAGATTCTTACCAATTAGTTACCGAGTATGTGAAATTTAAAAAAACGTCAGCTCCATTGTGAGATGAAGGATTATAAGAACTGGTTTCGGATGTATAGTTCAGTAATGAACCTCTAAACGGTTAATGCCTCTGAAATACATGAGTATTTTTTACTTGTAATCCATTTGTACACTATTATGTGACCATGTAGATGATCTTTAAAAAAAGTTGTTGTTGTAAATCTTTCTTTTTAACTCTATTCATTATAATACTTGCCGGTGCATTTAGAATGCCGTTACTTTATGCCACCAATGTAATATGATTTAACGAAGAACTGTAATGAAATGTATGTAGTATTTTTAGTAAACGTGCAATAGTGATACATTTATGCATATGATTGGTAGTACTTGATCAACGCTGATTTTATATAGGCTGACGCTCATTAAATGCATGTTTCAAATTACGTGAAATTTCTTTGCATAATGTTTTCTTAGAATAGCATATTATAGTACATAACTTATTACTAAACCATTAGATCATTTTCGTTTGTTCTCATTTAACATATACTTTATTTCTTTTACTACAAGAATTTTAAGTAATTTATGTGTTTTTGATAGTTGGGATCATAAGTCAGTTGAAGCTAGACCACCATAGCAAACCATAGCAAACTGCTGAGGGACTCCTCAGCAATGGTCATCCACGATCTCGCCTCGCGAGATCTGAACCCATTCATTTAAATGTGATAATAGTTTTCGAGAACTAAACAGAAAATTTCATGTTAGGGATTTGCTAATGATTATTCATTTGAAAGTTGATTTCCACAACTGATAAAGAGCATCTGGTTAATTATTAGAAACTAAGAAACAGTCAATAATTGTTTCATCCAATTTTAGGACTATTCTGTTTTGTAAATTGAAGTTCAAATACTAGAATTAATTTGAAAGTTTTCAATTCCTGTCTAGAAATAATAATTTTAAACTATCTCATTGAAGTCGAATAGTCTATGTTTTCAGTTTATTTGATTCATGATATTGGATGACAATAATCTGGTAAGCGCTTTCGCGCGAGACTGGTAGGTCCTGGGTTTGAATCGTGGGTATGTACTGCTGAGGAGTCCCATGCTAGGACGAAACAGCCATCCAGTGCTTCCAGGTTTTCCATGGTGGTCTAGCCTCAACTGACTCATGATCTCAACTATTGAAAATACTAAAATCTTCACAAAACCATTTCTGATGATAATCTGGTAAACAATTTCTCTTGTAATCCCGACACAGTTGAAATATACTACTCAATCAACATTATAATGAAAAGTTTATTTATTCCAATATCTTTGAATAATCTAATAAGATTAATTATCAACGAAATATGTGAATTTTTTTATGATGATTAACACTTCAGAGGAACATAGATTTATTCTCACTTCTTATATACACTGTATCATTTTAATATTTTAGATAATCCAGACTATTTACCAATTTCTTTACCAAATCGACCAACATTAGCACCATGCAGTCTTTCAAATGGTTCAGCAACTAGTACAGGTTCTTTACCACATGGAGCATTTGTATGCCCACCAAATTATATATGTAAAGGTTATTGGGAAGGACCAAATTATGGCATAACTAGTTTTGATAATATTGGTTATGCTATGCTTACTGTATTTCAATGTATCACTATGGAAGGTTGGACAGAAATAATGTATTCAGTAAGTAATGATCAGTTATTTTTTGATGGAATAATTTTTACTTCTTTTGGACAATTCCATATTTATAAGTACAGGTGGATCCAGTGATTTAACGGGTTTTTTAGACAGGAGCTTTGTTACAACTTGTCATATGCTTTCATTTTGGTACAAAGTTATACATCCGTTTTTCATTGTCCAATAAAAGTTCAATATCTAACATTTCTGAACATTTTTTTATCCAGTCAGTGAATATTGAATGCAAGAATATCACTTACACTGGGAATTTCATTTCAAGCACCTTCGGTGTTGCGTCTTTGATCTGTATACTTACTAATATACAGAAGATAACTTGTCTCAGTTTAGATTAAAGCCTTGACTAGTTCAAACTTCAGGCTAGAATCGTGTGAGTTCGAAATAAGACTAACTGCCTTTTAAGAGATGAAAAGCATTCTATCACTTGACTGGTTGGCAAGCGAGAGAGAAAAGACGAGTCAACTGCATCACCACTTGATTTATTACCGATTCTGATTACACTCCGATTCGGATTAAAGCAAAATTTCTATGAATAAATAAATGACTACCACAACGCACAAACAATAAGAAAAATAGGGTCTCAAAAGTTACGCTTAAATTACAATACCATTGGAACAGAAAAGTGTATGGCAGTGAACCATACATCAAACGAAAGCTTATTGTTTTTAATAATAAACTAGGAGGAAAATATATGTTAGCATTTCACAAGCTTTGAATTAAGTGAAATAACACCCCCAAAATTAGCTTCCGTTGTTTGTCATAGCTTCTTTGTTTAATTGTTCACATCATTCAGTTATTCACATTTATCTGTTATGAGCACGTCACTGTTGCTCATTCCAGTATGCCAGATACAAAAAACAAACAAATAAAAGCAAATGCTGAAGTTTTAATTAAAATCACCAGTGAACGCATCATCTTTATGTGCAGTACTTAACCACTTGTCAAACATAAAAATTGCCGGAGAATGCCTAATACTCCTCACATAATGAACGCTGAGAAACACTTACATAACCTCTCCATTCATCTCAATGGTTGTTAATTCGGGTTGAATGACATACCTATACCTTCTGATTGTATCGACTGACAGACTTTGAGTATGAGAAAGTGGGACTTATTTTATTTAGCTTGAATTAATTGGTTCACATGACATATAACTTTATACAACACATTCTTTACAAAATGGCATTATATTTTATAAGCATTCACGAGAGTATTTTACCTATGTATTTCATATTACTGATGGTCGGATGAATGGATATATTTGATGAAAATGAGTACGGTTTGACATGCAGCTAGAATTTATCGAAATTGTTAGTAGTAGAAATATTTATTCATAGTTGATTTCAAGTACATAAATCTTAATCGACTTACACTCACTTTCAGTAATTACTTAAACATAATGTTTTACAATATAACTGTAATATCTTTCTATCAGGGTATATCCATAACCCCTTATTAATAATTGCAGGAACAAAGTAACGTACTAGTTTAGATTTTTATGGTTATGAGTTAACCAGGAGCAACTATACACTTAATAAACTGTAGATCAGTATTTTCACTTACTTGGATTTGTAACGATTTGTACTATTTAACAGTAGTTATCAAACCAAACTAACATCAACTAGAGCCATCACGTTAGGTTGTAGTTTAATGAACACTTATTGGTTAACCATTTTATTTTACCAGATGACAATAATCATAATACCTTTGGTTGAACCATTGAATAAACACACAAATGTATGAAGTATATAAGGCGACAAATTTTACCCATCATATGTAATAATTTTATTGTAATCTGCTGAAACTAATCTATAGCTGCGTCGAAATTCACATTGTGTTCTTGATTGTCAAGTTGATGATAAACAAAGTTCAGTTACGCGACATACTGATTTAAAAGTGGAAATCAAGGAACGCTGGATATCCGTTTATTTTATTATAAGATTTATGAACAGTATACAGTTTTGACATTACAGAAGATCGAACACAAGTCATTCAGATCTTCAGGACGACACAAAATGATTTAACTGATAAATTTGAGTCAAGCTCAATCAATGTGTATTACAGAGGAGTCCTTATCCTAAGTTATTGGTATATTAATTAACGATTTTATCGTGATCAAATTATTGAAAATGCTTGTTGGATTCAAACTGTTAGATAAAGTGTTTTGCTTGCAGTCAGATTATGTGGTTCTAGGTTCAGTTAAATATGTGTCACCATTTGAATTCGACGATAAAGTTACAATGCAGAGGTCTTTCACGTTTTACAATGTTAAGAGCATATTTCCTAGGATCTGTGGTGATGTCATAAACTTAGTGAAACCGTGATAAAGTTTACACCAGGTCATTAACACTAGTCACTTCATGATACAATATTTACTTATGAAACACTCAATTATTAGACAAATCTACAATTACCCTTCAAGTGAATACAAGCATAACTATTTTAAATTAGTTCACATTCACAAAACAAAATGTTTATTGACAGTGTTTTCTTATTCAAACCTGTCAATCATTCAAATTACAAATCCTTTTAACTACAATTGTACACATAGAAATAGATGAGAGAAAAAAAATTTTTGTATTTTAAAAATGATCAATACGAAAAGAACTTAAATGCATAGTGATTTATTTTTTCTCTTTTCTTTTTTTCTCTTTATTTCATTGTTTACTTTCTTTTTCTTTATTAGACAAATGATGCATTTGGTGATCGTTTCAATTATCTATATTTTGTTCCACTTATAATACTCGGATCATTTTTTATGTTAAATCTAGTACTTGGTGTACTAAGTGGGTAAGTTTGAGTTGTTTTAATTCGGTTCAATCATTTTATTTTAATCATTAATACATTTTAGGTTATATATTTAAAGGAAGTGTCAGCAACAGTAATGTAAATCGTATTATAAAATGATTATCACTTTAGTGTCTCATTGAGCGAAATCCGATTGGATAACATTTTCAGCTTACTATTTAGCTGCTTATCTACAACGTATAGTCTAAATTGTAAAATAATCTGATAGATATATTTACATAGAAATGTATATATATAACCTTTATTGTTTGCTTTAATTTGTTTATTTTAGCCTATTTTATCATTAACATTCCATTATTCTTGGGATTGTTGCTTACTTTAATTGACAGTTGGATTCCGATTCATATGTATAAAGATTAAACACTAGAAGCGAGACCACTAGGTCCTAGATTCGATTCCTGATTATGCTGTAGATGAGCACTGCCGAGAATTTTTTTACTTACGCCTGTTACTCCTAATGGAGCATAGGCCGCCGACCAGCATTCTCCAACTCACTCTGTCCTGGGCCTTGTTTTCTAGTTCCATCCAATTCTTGTTCATTTTTCTCATGTTTATTTCCATTTTCCGGCGTAATGTGTTCTTTGGTCTTCCTCTTCTCCTTTGGCCTTGAGGATTCCATGTGAGGGCTTGTCTTGTGACGCAGTTGGGTGCTTTCCTCAATGTGTGTCCTATCCACTTCCAGAGCTTCTTCCTGATTTCTTCCTCCATTGCTATCTGGTTTGTTCTCTCCCACAACTTCCGAGAAGCCGCATATTAAAACAAAATATCTAGTCATTACTTCCTAGTATATTCACTTATTGTTTGATAAAAGTCATTACATGTTACTTAGCTCAAAAATTTGAAATTTATCTAATTGTTAAGTCAAGATGTACTAAACTCTGGCTAACGATTTGAACCAAGTTCTTTGCTTGAAGATTTTGTTTCGAACTAAGTACTTGAGATTTTTGTTATTTTTGAAGGTAATTTAGATACAACAGCATCATTTCATTAGTTTAAAGTTCAAGTATACTTAATTAAAAAGTATTACACTTAAAACCAAAATAAGACAGTTATTTACATTTAATAATTATCTGCAATGAAAAGATGTAATTAGTGATTATCTGCTAAGATAACTTGGATAAATTAATTTAATAATATAAGCAATAATAGATAGTGGCTATTCGGGACTTGTCAGCTGAATGTACCTGCATCACAGAGATGGTGTTCACTCTGGAACTCGAACCCAGTGCCATTCGCTTCAAACGCCATCGCATTATCCACTTAGCTACTGAGTTCTGATAGCTACTTGCTTGTGCATTGGGGTGAATTTAAATTCACTTGATATTATTTGGCTTGTATCTTTCCATTGAGGTTTAAAACTGCAACTGATCAGCCTGTTATCGGCATATGTGCATCCTGTGCAGATTGCCTCGATATTGCTTTAATTCACAAGCTTTTTGTAAGCAATGATGGATAGTGGCTAGCAGCGGAATCCAGGACGCGAGTTTCGTCCTATTTTGAGCTAATAATAATAAAACATTCCGTTTCTTTATATTTGAACATTCATAAAATCTCTATAGTGAATTCGCCAAAGAAAGAGAACGTGTAGAAAAACGTCGTGCATTTTTAAAATTACGTCGACAACAACAAACTGAAAAAGAATTTAGTGGATATATGGATTGGATTCAAAAAGCTGGTAAGGATTGTGTGTTTTTTTCTTTCACACAGTATTCAATTATGTATGTTGGTAATATAAGAAAATATTCGAAAATAATAAAGTTTTATAACTGTGATAACCGTTTGAAAAAAAGTATCGTTTCTTAATTGTAAATGGAAACTTGATAAGTCTTGCTGATTTGAACGCTTTATTCGGTTCCTAAGCTATTCTGGTGATTCACAAGCTAGAACTACGCAGTGACCTGAACACGAGGGAAAAGGCGCAAATTAGGCGTAAAGCATTTTACTCTAAAGGTTCGTTTTTTGTGCAGAAAAACACGGGTATTTATAGATTATTAGCATTTGTCAAATCAACATTATATTTTGACCAATCCGCTAAGACACATATTATGACCAATAGAAGCATATCACGTTAATATTCCAGAAAGCTCCCTCATGCTCTGATTGACTAAAACTCTTCGGCTCCTTTGGGTCCTCTGGAGATTCCGTTGTAGTTCACGGAAGCCAACTCAACAAAATTAAATTCAATTTTTAAACATTTAGTTATAAGTTCCAACTGGAAGTCATTTATAATAGTAATTGAATGTATTAATTCCCTATTTATTGACATTAATAAGTTTCCTGTTCTTCATAGTTTTTTGTTCATTGAGCTTCCACTGTCATTACAAATAAAATCATTTGTACTTCCTTTGAATAAAAGTCCTGTTCATTATATCATGTTACTATCTGTTAACTTTCTCAATTAAGGATGATTACTTGAAGTAGTGGGATCTTTTAAGAAATTCTACACCATGTATTGTACAGAAAGCTTTGAATGAATAGGACTAATTAAAAAAAACTTATTAACTGTTTTTACAAAGACGACATCAATGAGTGTTATCAAACTTTCTATGAATCTTTTATTTATGATATTGAATTTTTTCACATTTGAACTAACTAGTCAACCTAAGCTAGACAACCATTGGAAATCTGGAAGCACTCGACGACCATTTCGTTTCAGTATGGGACTCCTCAGTAGTGCGCACTCTCGATCCCGCTTAGCGATATTCGAACTCAAGTCCTACCGATGTCGCACGTGAGTGCTTAACCCCAAAACCACTGACCTGGTATTCAACTATTTAAATGTCTAACCTCGAACAATCCATGAAATTGCGCAACCATCTTCTATTGTACTGAAACGGCCGTTCAGTACTTTCAGGTTTTCAATGGTGGTCTCAATCAAAAAATATATATTGATATGTTGAGTTTGTCAATATTTATTACAAACGACAGTGAACGAAATCTATGGAAAATTTTTAAATGTACAAAGTTCTTCTATAGTTATTTTCAATATATTTTTGAGATAGTTATACAGTTTTTCGTTGAATAAAACCTTATGACAATAATTCCTCTTTTCCCACTTTCACAACTACAATGCATTGTGAGTTAAGGTTCCCTTGATTTCTGAGATGAAAGTAGAAGTTGTGAAGCATTTCATTTATCTTCATCAATGATTAGTATTTCTATGGTGATCAGCTTTTTTTACTACATATGATTGGTAAAAAACATTTAAAAAAGTCTTGGGGGTATTCTACTTTACATGAACAATGTGAATATCAGCCATATAAAAATTATGCATTACATACAAAATCATATATATATATATATATATATATATATATATATATATATATATATATAGAGAGAGAGAGAGAGAGAGAGAGAGAGAGAGAGAGGTTAAACCAACAATTGTCAAGTTATTCGCCTTGGCTCCTTACAAAATAATCTGCTGGAATGGAGATATACTTCTCTTAATAATTTGAAGGACTCTGATTAAATGACCAACTGTTCATTAGAAAGAATAATTGAAACACTATTTTCTATTAGTTATTTGAAATAAATACACTAAACAATTAATAGTAACAGTTACCCATTTCGATAGCTATTCTCATAATTAAATTATGTAGGGTGAAAGTAATTTTTATGTTGTAAGGATTAAGTTAGCAACAAAAGTTATCAAAGGGCATATTTAATTCATCAAGCATATTATTCAGGCTGATTCTTTTTTTATCAGAAGAGGTTTGTGGAGATTTTAGAAATTTCACAGATTGAATCGTGGATGGGATCGTGGATGCGCACTGCTGAGGAGTCCCATACTAGGATGAAACGGCCGTCCAGCGCTTCTATGTTTTCCATGATGGTCTAACTTCAGTTGACTCAGGATTTCAATCTGTGAAATTTCACTATAAACTCCTTCTGATAATAGTCATCTGCTCACTAGTGACTGACTTCAAGAGATGCTTCTGGCGTTCTAGTGAGAAGTCGTTACCAGTGGAGTTCAACCAGGTCTGTTGTGAGGTATCAACTCACTGAAGATAATGGTGTACGTTGGCTCAACTTCGTGAACTGGCTGAAGTTAGACATTAACACCACTGAATGCCGGATCAGTGATCCATTAGGTTAGGCGCCTGGTGCGAGACTGATAGGGTCTGGGTTCGAATCTCGCGGAGTGTGGGATCGTAGGTTCGCACTGCTGAGGTGTCCAATACAAGGATGAAACGGCTGTCCAGCGCTTCTAGGTTTTCCATGATGGTCTAACTACAGTTGACTCATGATTTCAATCTGTGAAATTTCACTATAAACTCCTTCTGATAATAGTCATCTGCTCACTAGTGACTGACTTCAAGAGACACTCCTGGCGTTCTAGTGAGAAGTCGTTGCCAGTGGAGTTCAACCAGGTCTGTTGTGAGGTATCAACTCACTGAAGATAATGGTGTACGTTGGCTCAACTTCATGGACTGGCTGAAGTTAGACATTAACACCACTGAATGCCGGATCAGTGATCCATTAGGTTAGGCGCGTGATGCGAGACTGATAGGTTCTGGCTTCGAATCTCGCGGAGTGTGGGATCGTAGGTTCGCACTGCTGAGGAGTCCCATACAAGGATGAAACGACAGCCCAGTGCTTCTAGGTTTTCCATGATGGTCTAGCTTCAATTGACTCATTTCAATTTGTGAGATTCTTTTTTTATTTGAAATTTCAGGAAAATATTAATATTGGTCTTGATAAATTTAGTAATGATTTTCCCAATTTTATCATGAATATTTTTGTTTTCTTACGTTTCGTATATACACAAACTAAGATCGTAAAATCTTCATTTTACAACATGTATAGTATATAAAATAAAGCTTATCTCTTTCGAATTATTTCAAATTTGTAGTAAAACATTTCTATTTATCTTCATCTCTGTTATGTAAAGCATCTGTGTGAATCTTCAAATTTTGTTCTCTTCAGCTATTTTATCATCTCATTTTCTGTTTAAACAATGTGTGTAGTAAAATAATTTCACAGGTTCACTTTACAAGTAGTCATTCAGTCAGTGAATCAGCAAACACAAATTCTTGAATATTTATTCAAGTTTGTTAAGCGTCGTGATTTGCAATTAAGGGTGAGTGAACACAACAAAATGATTGCAGAAACAAATGGATTCCAATGGTCAAATAAAATCACAGAATGGACAGACATCATCCTCCATTGCGAAACATTTGATTGAGACAGGTCATAAGGTTGAAGTCAAATCAGCATTTGTAGTGTTATATAAAAGCCTTCAATGATGTATACTAAGGTTTATTGAAGCCTTCGCTATACGGAAATTGAAACTTCTTTTATCTGTTCAAAAACAATTTGTCATTACACTTAACCTACCCTGGTAATACTGATTTATTATCCAGAGTGGTAATCACATCTGTTTTTGTGTACTTTAATATTATCATTTTTCCTTTGTTATGGCTTACTCTTAACTTGTCTAGATGGCCTTTTAATTTTCATATATAAATGTTCTTAACAAGTATATGTGTGATCAGATTGTTCGGAATGTATTGCGCAAACATATATTACTTAATTCTGATAAACTTCGTCTTCTCATTGCATTATCGAAATTTATCAAAGGGACTAATTGTTTTGCGAACTAATTCTACTTCACTTAAGGTCAAAATTAAATATTCTCTCACTGAGGTTTTATTTATAAGATTTTAACTAATTAAATTTGATTTAAGAACTTACGGTTAAGTTTCATTGTCACGTTTTCATTTTATTAACATATGGATGACCTAGAAAAAGCTTATGTCTTCCAAATATTCATCTTGAATATTTAAAGAGAGGAATAATTATTTTGACTGATAGGTCCTGGGTTCGAATCTCACAGGGTGCGGGGTCGTGGATGCGCACTGCTGATGAGTCCAATACTGGGACGAAACGGCCGTCCAATGCTTCCATGTTTTCCATGGTGTTCTAGCTTCAATTGACTCATGATTTCAATCAAAAACTTAACAATCTCCACAACCTCTAAACTGATGATCTCTAGTTTGTTTCTTTTTTTTGTATTTTGATATTCATTTAAATTTGAACTCATGTCAACAAGTTTATCCCATGAGTAAATTTTAATTCAGAAGAGCTTTTGTTGTGATCGTAGTAGTTTCAACTGTTGAGATCATGAGTCATTTGAAGCTAGACCACCATGGAAAATTTGTAATCACTGGTGGTTTAGCTTCGATTGATTCATGATCTCAACTGTTCCATTTTAATTGACTTTAATATATCATTATATTTTATTTATAACATACTAATAATAGTATTATTCAGTAATATCAATTTTTGATGGAGTTTTGTTCTGTGAGCTGGATGGTTTGGTCATGAAGCTTTCATCGTTCTTCTGAATGACATTATCAGCACAAACTTCAGATAGAAGTGAAGTGTTGATCATTAAAAAACCAATCAACATCAAGTTCTACAGGACAAGCTGTGAACCACATTTGGTGAAATTCAAACACTTCACTTCTACCTGAAGTTTGTGCTGATGATGTTGTTCAGAAGAACAATGAAAGCTTCACGACTAAAACATCCAGTTCAGAGAACAAAACTCCATCAAAATCATTTACGTGAGCTGCAAATCTTCTTCATGATCTCACTATCAATTTTGGTACAGTCAAAGTATTATAAACATAAATTGGTTAATATTACATTCATTTTCGTAATTATTCAAAATATATTTTTAAAAAATATTCTTAACAGTCAATATCAGTTACTTATTAGTAGTCGATTCAGTTGGTATAACTATTTTCTCAGTTATTAAGTTAAAATTATTTGAATTCTGATGTAAATTGTCCTTTGTTTTATCAAAAGTGTTATATCTGGAACCTATAGTTTTCCTGCTATATCACGTACAACTTGAGCACTTGAATTCTAGAACCCTTCAAGTCAAAAGTTAGAAGACGAGTAGAAAGGAATCTTATTCCATAATAAAAACAGTTTTGATAATGATACAGAACGCTCAGGTATTTATAGCTTTTAGTAAAAATGGAATCATCATTATAGTCATCCAATTCACATACAATGGGTTTCATCATTTGTCTAGTCTGGAATCTACACATCAAGATTATAGAATGTTTTTCAAAAGATGATTAATTGGAATGACTTCAGCACTTTCACAGTTTCTTAGACCTTCATTGAGTTTACTGATGGCCGTCCTGAAAAAGGATAGACAAAAAAGAAAATGTTTTGAGAAAAATTTAGTATTTCTTAGTATTCATTTTATGATAGCACACAAGCGAATACAATTAGTATCTATCATTATTCAGTTTAAACAAATCTGAGACAGGTAACTTAATTACGATGTTTGCATAGTTGGTAAATAAGTAACACAAACATTTAAACAGATCTTTTATCTACCATAATAACAAACTATCTTTTTTTCTCTCTTTATGTAGAAGAGGTAATTTTGGCTGAAGATACTACTACAGCAGATGAACGAATGCGTATTATATCAGGTAAATATTATGAAATATGAACTAAGATTGTAATAATTTCACGGTTAAAGTGTTTCATACTTACACTATAATTTAGTTGAATAAATTCTGTCATTTGTTTTATAGTTCAATTGTCGGAGAAATTTTATGAAAACTCTGGTTCATAACTCTAGTTTTCGTATATTACTAGACACGTCGAGATAAAATTACGAATAGTAATCTATAACTTACTTATTTACGCCTGTACCACTCGTGGAGGAGCATAGGTTGCTCACTACGATTCTCCATCGAACTATGTCTTGGGTAATCTTTTCCAGTTGTTTTCAGTTGTTATTCATTCTTTTAATGTCTGCTTCTGATTCTCGGCTCAGTATGTCCTTTGGTCTTTCTCTTCACATTTAACTTTCAAGATTTCAAGTTAGATCTTGCTTCATGATACAGTTTGATGATTTCTGCATTGTATATACTTTCCACAATAACAAGAAATAAATTGATAAGTGATAGTAATCGACGAATAGTAAACTTCACATAAGGCAAGAAAACTATTAGGGCAAAAATGATTAGAGTATAAATTCATTATATTTTTTGTCGATTCTCATCAATTGCATAGAAAGATAAAAGGAAATATATGACACTATCAAAAATGTTAATTATGAATGGTCGAAATTACAATGGTTATTATGACGTTCACCATCATCATCATCATCAATTAACGATCAAAAAATGATGATTTTATCACAATTCAATATTGTATGAATTTACGATTACGCAATCATTTACCTGAATTGATATAATTCATATGGCCAAGTAATAATTATTCATAGAATCAATTTATGAGTACCGACTCCGGAAAACAGATCAACTAGGTAGAATAACCAGTCATTTTATGGGATAAAAATGATATATGAAAACAGAAAACTTTTCTTTTCACAAATTAAACATAATTCAAGTTTACTTAAAAGAAGGAATTTTTTCGATCTGAGATTTATAAGTCATTTATGAGATTAAAAATAAATGTCAAGTCGGCGAGACTATAATTTATGAACGAGCCAATCAAGAGCGTTTGAGAGATTTCAAGATTACAGCGCCAACTTCAGTGCTTAAGGCTAACGTACGATCGGTTCACAAGGAATTTGGTATAACACCTGATAATTGAGCGACTATAACAAATAAAACGGCGAGACCATAATTTGTAGACGGATCAATCAGGTACAAGAAAATAGATCTCGGATTTTAACGTGAAAGCCTTTCATCCATTCGGCTTAATAGATTTGTGGCATTATAGCTGATGTCAGTTCGTGATGGAAACCCCATATATAATTTTTAACTGAGGCAAATTATGACAATTGTTGCGAACTGGATAATAAAAGCACCAGTAACATTGGCTACAGCCAGGTACTATAATATATACAGATGTTTGGAGAGCGTACAGACTCCTACATAGGCTTGGTTATGTGCATCGTGTCGTTATCCACAAGTGGCATTTTGTGTACTCAACAACCGGAGTGCATATAAACAATATTGAAGCTATATGGTCGAGGCTGAAATAGTTTTTGAGACTTTATCGTGGTTCCAGAGGCCGACTATTCTGTACCGTATGGATGATTTCCTCTACTGCATGCATTATGATTTTAGAATCTCTGAACCTCTTTTTAAACTTGACAGGTTTTTGAACCACGTAAAAGAAGTGTATCCACTTTATTTCCTTGGTTTTGTATAATATATTTTTACTCCATACTGATTGTTTGCTGATTGACTAATATTTCTCAGGGTCACTTAAGATTCGTTCAGAGGTCGTCCATAAATTAGAGTCTCGCCGTCAAATCTATTTGGATATCACGCATCACATACATCAATAAAGGGTAATGGAACGGGAATAACTGGAGTTTAATCTGGTAGTTGTGTTATTATAAATAAACTTAGCAGTTATCGAAAGTCCTATTTTCAATTATTAGTTGAAAGTTTACAGGTTGTTAACAAGCATAAACCGTAGAGAAAAGAAGAAATCGTATAATTGTCTTCTATTTTATCATTCTACAGCAATTTTTAATGACAATATTAGGCATATATAATTGAGTCATCAGAAAGGTGCATAATTTAAAGGGATATTAAATAATGTAATAAGATCCTTGATTGTAAAAATTATGTCGTTTGAAAGTGTCATGTATAAAACTTAAATCAACTGAAGAATCATTTAATGGCCTGGTAGTATAAAAAAGCGGGGTTTGAGATTCACCACCAGTATAAACGTGGGAACCTGATAAGCATTAAGCATCAATCACTCAGATCTCTTCAAAATAATTCATTACTTTCAGACTATGAAGTCAGAATACAATAAGCCTAAAATGATATTGTTGCGGACTTCAAAACGTGGACAAAACAGTTGTTCTCCGCTGTTTCAAGCGTTTCATTTGCTGATGTCAGTTAGTGTAAACCTAAATAGTGATTGGATATGCGATGAATTTGGTCAAAATCCAGATGGAAGTAGTGATTACTAGATTCGTACAAGACATGACTGAAATAGTAATTCACTCGTGATAATGACTGGGGAACTAAATTCGAAAGTGAAAATTATTTGATTCTGTTTTATTGATATGAAAATGTCATGCCAGAGACGAAATTTATAGATCCGGGTTCCAATCCTGTGTAAAGTCCTCAGACCTTGAATAATGACTACAAACGTATAGACAAGAGCTGTCTAATTCTCTTTGATTTATAATGACCCAATATTTATATAATTAAAGTCAGCAGTGTGCTAAATTTGGAAACAAACTACACAGATTCCCTTCAGATTTTAGTAAGTATAACACTTTTAATTAAATGGTATATATGTACATCATTTGATGAATAAACAAAGGGTAGTGTTGTGAACGAAAAACTCAAGTGAAGAAGACCAATTTATCATTTAATGCCAAGTTACAGAGTGCTTTCATAAAATGTGAAGACCATACATTAAATACATAATTTGCACATCTTCCATCAGTTGTCCTTTACGTGCTTCCTGATTCTTTCAATTCTGTTGTTATTACAATTACTTTCGGTCCCTTTCTGTTATCTTCAATTGGATCTTCTCAATCTTCTGCTGACATTTACCCTACTTTCGATTAGTGTCACATACTACTAATATCTGTCAACATATGTAGCAAACATGATGTGTGGGCGAGGATGACAATGGTTGGTTGTGTGCTTAGTCAAACCAGTAGATAGTCTGACAGGTACTAGATGAGTTATATATTCTTTTACCCTTGTTATTATTGGATTATCATCGGTTTTTGGTGTGGAAATATATTGACCTTCTAGTCAGGGTAATCACGTGTTCTTGATCTGAGTTGTGTTGAAGTCCTGCAGAATAGACATTGTGATGGAATCTAGTGTAGATATCCGTCTGAGGCAAATTAACATCTCATTCGTGTAGATGAGGAAAACCGACCGTTATAACAATACATCACAATAGTACGCTTATAGTTAGAGTGATCACTAGATAAACCTAATATAAGACACTAACACTAGTAAAAGAAAAATATTGATGCAGTTCTTTTATTCATGTATAATATATAATTTTCCTTTACACCATCATGTCACATTGTCTTTATGAAATATGTAGATGTGTATGATAATTAGATACATATGTACAATATCTATTTTTATATTGAAGTATGTCATAAAACATAATTACTATGCAGTGAATAAACGACTCAACATTATCAGTTGTGTAGTTCACTTTTGAAACTCGGAAACACAGCTGTTAGATTCATATCAACCTTATACTTAACTATATAATGAATAAGAAAAGTATAGTTTATTCAGGAAAGTACCATATTCATAAACTTATAGTTATCAGTTTTAACTCTAGGTTAACGTAAATCTTCTTTCCCATACTTATTAGGTCTTTCAAGTAATCATATTACCAACTGTCATATCAACCTTCAAGAATTGCTTTTGTTCAATAAAATGAGACTAAATTATTATTGAATGTCCTTCTTTATATGAATAGTGAAGTTCATTAATTGTTTGTTAAAGATTAAGTCATGATTCAGAAGTCAGTTTGGAACTAATCACTTAGATTTATCATAAACTGAGTTTGAAAATTTTATCTTCAAATTGATCTTGATCACAAACTGATATCAGCTGAAAATAAGTAATTAGTAGAAGGGATTGGAAAATTCTCTTATTGTATTTTCGACCTTCTCTGAATCAAATGAAACTATAGTTTGGTAAATCCTCCCCTTAAGACTCTGAACTTGAATCTAACGGCTTAAGGTTTAAGTTCACTCAACTTTTGATATTTCGCAATCTATTTATGAATCAAATGTGAAAACAAAATACCCATTGATCTAGGGTTTTCCACATTTATTGCTTAAATTCAAATTAATAATAAAACTAGAAAGTTAAGCATGAACATGATCAACACGATTGAGCACCTTCTTGGGTTACTGTCCATCTCAAACTCGAACAAATTAGGCATGGGCATAGGCGAGTTGCCTCATTTTATATAAACGAATCTTGCTAAAAGACGGTAACTCAAATTATCGTGAACGTGACATTCGGTGATTCTTATTGTTGTACATTTTTCGTAATTAGATAACAAAAAAAGCATAAGACAATTTAAATAAAGCAAGAACAAATAATGGTGCAGAATAGTATGAATTCATATTATTTCGAGGTTTCTCGTCAGCTGCTTACAAACCAAAATTTTGATAGAATTTTTACATTGAGATAGAGTGAAAACAATTGGCATAGATGATTGTAAATAACTGGGTTACAATAATAATTATAAATATATATATATGCTAGAACAGGTCAGAGGTCAAAAGGAATTAATTCAGGTTGGGTGGTGTAATAATGGAATTGAATAATTATAAGATAGGTTACGTAATAATAATAAAATAGAATTTGAAAAGTTAAGATAATTCAAGTGGATCAGGTGGTGGAAATGTGTGAATGATAATGTGGTTTAAGAATTATGTAATAGGAGAGGAGTATAAATATTTTAAAATAAATAAATTAATAATAAAATAAAAAGGGGTTACCAGGGTAGTGATAAGTTAATTAAAGTCTCTTTTTGGATACATAAGTCAGGTTTAAGTTTTTTGATCATGATGGCTTCAGCAAAACGGAGTGTGGTCGTACTTCTTTGTCTATTGATAGTTTTGAAAGCATATTGAATCTCGATGGTGTGCCCGGTGTCAAGTAGATGTCGAGCTATTGCGCTGTTGAAGGCCTTATTCCCTCGCAATAACGAATGAGTGTACATCTACGAGCGTGGTTTAAAAAGGGCCAGATAAAAACAATTCGCAGTTCTATCTTGGTATGTCTCATTGATAACGGTCATACTGTAAATAAATCGAAATCATTTCGAATGATCTATCGTTCGCGCCTCTTACATATAGCTGAAGCCATAGGAATTCGTTCGTATAACCCCAATTTATGTGTACAGAAGAAATTCGTAACACCCTATCCCTCCCATGGCCAGTTATAACTTAACTAACGATTTTTTTAAGTGTTATTATTATTATTTATTTATTTTATTTTATTTGTGTTATCATTGACCTTATTTTCACATCCATTATTTGTTTGTAATTTTCCGCCTCTTTGTATTCTTCACTATCTAATTATTTGCACACTTTTTATTACGTAATGATTTTAATGTTTTGTGTTGACTATTCCAAGTCTATTTACCCACATTTGACCTTCTATTTCCAACGTTTAACTATTGATAAGAGTTTTGTTATTGTATTTTATTATTCTTACTACTATCAGATCACCTGTCTTCCTACTATCAACTTGTAATTTTACTTATAAAGCGTGGTGACCTATTCTATTTCATTGTGATTATTGACCCATATTGCCTTGATTGGTTTAATATTTTCATTTAAACTATTCATGTATATTAGAGTAAAGCCTGATGACGATCGAATTGAAAACAATATTGTTCGTTTATATGTTTTGTTCTAATTTTCACAATGGGAATCTTTAATATTCTCAAATTAACTTTTGGGGAAAAAATTATCGAATAAAATGTAAATAATTTAAAAGTGAACATTATTTTGATCCATTTCAAATATTTCCATATTGTAAATGACTTTTTTTTTATTGTAAAGACAAGTATTTCTTTGTTCTGTATCTTCTTAGCTCGTCGAAGAGCGGCTAAACAACGACTTAAACAAACTGGTAAAGATGCGTCATTCAATGATTCGAATTTTGAGGATTCTGTATTATTCGCAGAATCTAAATGTAAGTTTAATTTGTTTTGACGTTGTCAGAATCTTTTAGACGCTTATATGCTTTATTCAAGTTTATATATATTGTCAGTAAATGAAAACTGAATTGCCGCCAGATATTAGTCTTCTAATACAATTGAATTGGCATGACATTAAAACTATGTGTTTTCGTATACATGATAGAAAACAACATGAGACTGAAATCTGTTTAATTTTACCACTTTCAATAAACAGTTTATCGGTATAGGGTTATGGAAATTGTTAAATTTTGATTGAAATCATAAATGGATCAATGTAAAACTATTATTGAAAACTTGGAAGCAGTGGACAACACTGCTGAGATGTTCCATACTAGGATGAATAAACCTTCCAATGCTTCCACGTTTCCAATAGTGGTCTAACATTCATTTCTGTAAACACAGTAACGTCACTATGTTGATTCACTCCAAAATCAACTATAAATTCATATTATTCTGTTATGTTTGTTATTTGTTTTGATATTTTATAAATTACAAGGGTGAAGTATTGTATGTAATAAACTAATAATCCTATTACCCAACATCTTCAAACTCTTTCTTAAGAAAAAAGCAACAACAACTATCTCAATCTATATAAAAAACAAACATTTGATACCATTCAAGTCACCTATTCTCTTTTATTTTTGTATATCAAACGTAATTTGAGAAAAGGCTAAAACTATTTACCCTGAGATGATGAAGAAGATTTATATCTCAGATGGATAATTTTTGACGGAGTTCAAACCATTCATCTCAGAGAACAAAACTCCCACAAAAACTGTTTACCCTAGAAACAAAATAAAAAAATAGTATGATTGATAATAGCTTGTTTTCAACTTTAGTTTAAAGTGTCTATCTAGTGTTTGCTTATTTCTTTATTTATTTTAAACAAACAAAATTCAAGTGAATAAATTCTATTGTTTACTCGATTAATCTTATGAACATATTCATAATTTGATGAAAGTAATAAAATATAAACTGAATTCTGTTAAGAAATCTAATATTATTAATTGAATTTAATGAGTTGATTAAATTTAAACCACCATTGAAAAGATGGAAGTAATGGATTTACGTTTCGTCCTAGTATGCGACTTCTCAGCAGCGTGCATAATCGTTACTACTTACGGGATTTGAGCCCAGGACACATCGGTCTCGTGAACGAACGCTTAACTTCTAGACCATTGAGTTGACATCCAATGATGTTAATGTTTAACTCCAACTAATCCATGAACTAATTATTAAAATTATTAACATCTTCACAAAACCTCCCTTCTGATAATTTAATACTAGTTTTATGATTATAAATTTTTAGTTCAAATATAATTAATAATGAAAAATTGTATTTTTGTTACACAGCACATTCATCTTATGGCGATTTACTAAAACGTCGAAAAGAAAGATGTCAGGGATGTTGGAGAAGAGAAAAACGAATTCGGTAAGAGTATTTATTTATTTTTATAAACAACTATTATAACTTCTGTTAATCAAATATATAGTTGGATAATCCAACTATATTTTAAAACTAATTCATTACCTATATCAAATAAAAGATGGATTGGAGAAAGCATAAATGTTTGGTTATGTCAACGATGGATTGAATGGCTATCTGATTCTAGTATGAAATACCTCAGATGTGAATAATTCAAGACCCAGAAAGAGATCTAACCCAAGGAATCAGGGATTTTCATCGGGATGAACATCTTTAGACCAGTTAAAACCCCTGTACATTTTCAGAGTTAATTTAGAATAAAAAGTGTCACTTTTGGTGTAGTGAATGAGAACTCAAGTCGGGACAATCCAATTTATATTAACACAAACTTACAGAACATCCTAGTAAAATATGAGAACCATACAGTAAATACTTCATTTGTAAAATGTCAATCAATTGTCTCAGACTTGATTGTCCCTTCATTTCCACAGCAATCATTCTATGTTCTCGGTCTCTTTTATTCGATCTTCTTAACTGTCTGTTGCCAATTACTTCATTTTCGATTGATGATATATACTACTTATGCCTGTCAACATCAGTAGCACCCACAACACACACCAAAACGGTAACTATATATGCTCTTTGTGATGTGTTCTTTACATGGAAACTAGTAAGTCAGGAGTAGGTTTTGAGAGGTTTCACTTTCTCACAGCTCGATAGTTTAATTAATTTAGCAAAACTCTGTTATAATTAGGTTTTAGTAGTTTAGGAAAAAAATCTAATAATTCACTTCTTCTATTAGCTCCTCTTGATTATGTTGACTAAAAAGACAATAAAAGCTTTAAAATTAAGTGATCCTAATCAAAGAATACAGCACTATTAAGATTTCATGTTATTCTTTCTATCTTAAACTTTAATACTAACTAAATTTATCTTATGTTTGCTTCATTCTCTTGTCAATGATCATTATCAAAAGTTTTCTATAATCAATGGTTTTTAATAAATTCATAAAATAATAACGAAAATTTTTAAGTGGTTGTGTCTTCCCGTTAAAGTTAAGAACTGCAGTTAATCTGTCAATTTGGCTTTTGTACATTTTGAGAGGATTTCACCAGATATTCACATGTAGTTAATTTGGAAAATATCTAACAGTAGGATCCAGGACACGCAACTACTTTTCTTTCGAACTTGGCAGTCGAAAGTACCTTCATCTCTATGTTGATTTTCATACCTGGATTTAAACCAAGCATCTTTCACTTCAAAAGCCTAATACGTTGCACCTTGGGCTATTGAATCTAAACATCTATTGAGTTGTACATAGGAGATGGATTGAACTTGTAAGTTCTTATTTTTTTGTTGATATTAAGGAGTAAAATTGATCGGTGAACAGCAGCATTGAGTATCAAATACATCCATCGGACTAGTCTCAAATAAAATAAAGTACGTGTCTTGGATTCCACTGCTAGCCACTATCCAACTTTATGACAACACTATAAATATTAAAACAATCATTTAGGAAGTATAATCACTAATAATCACAATTGATTGATCAATGGGTGGCGGCCAATGTCATGCGTGTCTAGTCCTTATTAGTGCAGATCGAATGTTACCGATCATGTTGCAATGTGGCCATCAGTCTAGGTGACTCGACACTGCGGGCACTATATATTGAGATTAGATGGTGGTTGGAGGTAGTCGACAAGAAACCCTTGACCCGCGTTTCGTGCTACTTGGCACTCGTCAGCAAGGTGTACCTGTAATCTTGAGGGAACTGGTGCTCTCTGGCGGATTCGATTTGGTGTCGCGGCTCAGATAGCTCAGTGGTAACTTCTCTGACTGTGGAACTGGATGACACGAGATCAAATCCGCCATGGAGCACCAGTTCCCTCAAGATTACAAGTACACCTTGCTGACGAGTGCCAAATAGCACGAAACCCAGGTCCAGGGTTTCCTATCGACTACCTCCAACCACCATCTAATAATCACTAATAGCTTTCATAGTTGCATAGTTAACTGTTGTGTATAGGGATCTTTTTAAACTGTTACAGGTATATACTTTACTGTATAAGTTACCAAATATTTCACAATAAAACGCAGACTATAATATTGTATACGTACATTCTCCCAAATATAATGTATTATATTGAATCGATACTCAGCAAATTAGAATAGCATACATGACCTGCTTTATTTGGTAACTGGAACATAACTATTATTTGACTGTCTTAATCTTCAGTGTTGATTGAATCCTACTACTCTAAGCTACTTAAAATTGCAGTGAATTTTAATGATTATTAATTGATTGAAGGAAATTATTTAGACGCCTTAGAGCTGCACACACCTTAGCTCAAAATATTATTCATGGCCTGTGATGAAAGCAATATTGAAAACTGGAATAATTCAAAAAACAACTCAACATTTCTACCAATGTTGTATATATGCATAGAATGCATACTTGTTCCATTAAAATCGGATTATTAGACATAGTTATTTGTTTGCTTACCTAAGTGTATATATCTGTCTGGTAAATATTCATACAAATAAGGTATAAGACAAAGTATTTTATTGTATTCAATCAGGTAAAAAAGACATTTTTCCAAGTGTTCACTGGGAACACTGTCTACTAACTATTTGATAACAGGTTATTGTCTTAATGATAATACTCTCGTTACATGAATCTAAAAGTTCGAATCCTGGTAGGGTGCTGGACGCTTAATGTTGATGAGTCCTAAAACAAGGATAATATGTGTTTTATTCCTTCGGAATACTAACATTATTTAATCAGTTAGTTTATAAACTACAATGAAGTATTTAATGGTTGATCTATTTACATGTATGAGAACTAAAACATTTTATCCCTGATTGATACATTAATCGTAAAAATACATTAAGTTCTTAAGTAAAGTTCTAACCAAAGAATTGATCACTCTTGAAGTATATTTGGTTATTTATTGAATTTACCACAGAATGCAATTAAATTTTTCATATTAACCAACTATCAATTTAGCTATTTGCAACTAACTACCAGATGGGTAATTTTCATTTCTCTGAATGATTAGCATTTAAAACTAAAAAATATTTCTATGGTAAATATGTAGCCGATATTCGACCAGTGGTATGGATGTTAAGTCTTCGAGCGCGAAACCGATACTTCCTGGGTTCGAGCCCCGCATACGGGGTCGTGGTCGCGCACTGTTGAGGAGTCCAATACTATGACGAAATGGTCATTGAGTGCTTACAGGTTTCCTATGGTGGTCTAGTATACATTGACTCATGAATTCAACTATTAAAATATTTCAATTTATCTAGCTTATCCGTAATCGTTAACATAAAATGCCCCAATGAATAGATTCGTGATTAACAGTACGTAACAATATTCTATCACGGCCAATAAATGAAAACCAAGAAAAAAATGAACATCTATTTCATTCAAATAGTAGGAATTCTCAGTAGTGTTCATTCATGACCCCACAATTCACCGATCCCAAGACGGTCTTTTATAATGAATAAATAAAAATGTCCAACATTTAGTCAAATGAAGTGTATTTGGAAAAATTGTTCTATGTTTTTTTAGTTAACGGATACACCAAAGGTTTTATCAGCTTAAATATTCATAGATTGTGTTACAAACAATTATCGTTTTCACTGATTGAAATCATGAGTCAATTGAAGCTAGACCACCATGGAAAACCTGGAAGCACTGGAGTTCTAATGAGAAGCCGTTACCAGTGGAGTTCAACCAGGTCTGTTGTGAGATATCAACTCACTGAAGATAATGGTGTACGGTGGCTCAACTTCGTGGATTGGTTGAAGTTAGACATGAACACCGTTGAATGCCGGCTCAGTCGTCTAGTTGGTTAGGCGCTTGGTGCGAGACTGATAGGTCTTGGGTTCGAATATCTCGGGGTGCGGGGTCGTGGATTCGCCAAACTAGGATTAAACGGCCGTCAAGTGCTTTCAGGTTTTCCATGGTGTTCTAGCTTCAATTAACTCATGATTTCAATCAGTGAAATTTCTAAAGTCTCCACAAAACCCCTTCTGATAATTATCGTTTTGTTAATTGTTTTAATGATTTAGGAATTCTATGCAAGATTGTTTGTAATATACTTACAATAGAAAATTAAAGTACTGTGATTATTTACAGCCGGAAGTAATATGAAATTTTGCTGATTTATTTAAACAAGAAGATCACTTCCTTCTAATTAGACTAAATAGATTAGTATTTTAAACAATATGAAGTGATACTGTGATAGTAATTTTAATGATCATTACTACTGGATATTTCAAAAATGTCTTCAATTTTTCACTTGGTATTGTTTGGCTTGTACCTTTCCATTGAGGTTTAAGACTGCAATTGATCATTCTGTTATTGGCATATGTGCATTCTGTGCAGATTGCCTCGATATTGCCTTAATTCACAACTCATCAAGCTAATATATCTGAATTTTAGTCTTTATCGTCATAATGAATCTCAAACTGAGTACTAGTTGTTTTCAACTACAGAGCATAAGTCAGTAGTCCACTAGTTATCGTTTTTACAGCTGATTGTAAGAACTCATGTTCTTTTATTAATGAAAGTTGAGATTGAAATTATTGGTCTTCTTTGGGTTTGATTCTCAGTGTAAATGTTTATAATGATATGGAAGGACTTCCAGTTGAATAATTCTAAATGGAATGAAAAGTTAATTTTGGGAACTCCTGTTACTGAGTATATAGAAGAATAATTAGCTAGCAATTGAAAACAATATGGAGATATTCTACTTATCAACAGAATCTAATACACTGGTATTATGAACGTTTAACACCTCTCTACCACAATACTTTAAACACTAGAGTGTGATACATTTTACAATGAAAGCTGTTGTTGTTGTTGTCTGGTATTCAGTTAATAACTTTTAGCCAAATTTTCTTTAATTTACAAATCACAGAGAAATGGTGAGACATTTGTATATACTGGAATCCAATACATTTCTGTCTAGAATTCATATTAGATATATTCAACCAAGTTTTACAGTTTATATCAATACTCCTAGTGTTCTATAAATAAGCTTTAGTAATATCATAAAAAATCTTACCAGAAAAACTATGATCTCTACTACTTCTACTACATGGTTATTATAACTTATGGCCTTTTGCCCTATTATTATATAACGTAATGTACCGCCAATTAGAGAACAGTGATTTATAGACCGGACCAATGTCGCATAAACCTGTACTAGCAGTCTAGACTCTTTATCGGTCCTTCTTCCCGTCTAGCCACATCTGTTAAGTCCAGAACACTAATCTCAGTTTCTGTTAGAAGAGAACATACCATTTTTATTTTGATATGGGAAGCAGATGAAATTTCTAGCTGATTCTCACTTAAAATGAAGCTTGAAAAAGTATCAATATCTGTTGTTTTCTTTTATTTCAATTAAAAACGAATTCAACTATTTAATGTTCTATTACAAATTTCATTCAATATTCATAATTATCTAGGTATGCTATAAGGAGAATGGTAAAAAGTCAACCATTTTATTGGGTTGTAATTATACTTGTATTTTTGAATACCGTATGCGGTGCTATTGAACATCATGGTCAACCAGTATGGCTTTCCACATTTTTATGTAAGTTTACAATGTTTTATAAACATTCGTTTAAAGAAGTAAAAAAGTATACTTAGATCTCAAGAGTATGAGTTCGATTGATTGAGTTATTAATTGTTGTACACTGAAAATAGTAGACTTCATATTGGTCACTGTTCAGACAGTAATAAGATATGTGACTTTAAAATGTCGAAAGATCATAGAAGAAAAAGACATATGAAAGTCAATTAGTGCTTATCTCTACCATTTGATCTCTTCAATAGAATAGTTGTACTTCCTAAGTTATTATTATTAATATCAATATATCTTATGTTGTACTGTGTGGAGACACTTACTGTTGAGAACATACCAACTTACAGTGACTTTTTTTACCAGTTTATGTATAACTTCTAAACTTTATATATCATAAGTGCTGAAACCAATACTGTCTTGAAATCCAATACCCCCAAAATAACAAGTTATTAAAACTATTCCATAACATTAAAACAACCGCGGTTTAAGTTAATTACTTACACCCACCTCCACATTAATGAATAATCTTTCACCGCGTCCTTCTTTGAACTCCTTAAACTTTGAATTTTAGTAATATTAATAATTTTAATCCTCATTTAATTCAGTTGCCGACCAATCAAACTTAGATTTTTTTCAGGATTTTATATTCTTATAGCAAGAAAAGGAGATAGAATATAGGTCAAGGTTATGCTTTGAAAAAAGAAGAGATCATTTCTATATTGTTCCCTTTATCTTCTCATATAATTTTGCATATTAAAAGTATTGATAATAAAGCATAAGCTAGAATCTGATAAATTCAATAACAATAGAAGTTGATTATTTATTGTGAACCATTAGTTGATCATCTGAATTGATTGAATTCTTTTTAAAGTTATCTTTTATCAGTGTATCAGTGCGATAAAACTCTCTCTGTAAATTATTGAGAATTAATTTACAGGATATTCTTAATATAATATTGTGTTATATGATGTATGCTCTTAGTGACTATTTAATGAACGTTTCAGTTTGTTATGATAACTATCTTCAATTGACTGATAATTAGAATATTATTATGAGAGTGGGTTTTGTGGAGATTTTTAGAAATTTCACTGGTTGAAATCATGAGTCAATTAAAGCTAGACCACCATGGAAAACCTGAAAGCACTGGACGGCCGTTTCATCCCAGTATGGGATTACTCAGCAGTGCGCATCCATGGTTCCGCCCACCGCGGCTAAGTGGTCTAGTTGGCTAAGCGCCCGGTGCGAGACTGATAGGTCCTGGGTTCGAATATCACGGGGGGAGGGATCGTGGATGCGCACTGCAGGGGAGTCCCATACTAGGATGAAACGGTAGTCCAGTGCTTCGAGTTTTTACATGGTGGTTTAGTTTCAATTGACCCATGATTTCAACCAGTGAAATTAGAATACTGGTTATCTTCTTGGAAAAGAAATAAACTCACTGAACTCTATAGGACTAAGTAATCTGTAGAAATCATCTTCTCAAGTGTGATGTCAATCAATAATCACTGTTTGTATTGTGATCTTTAGATTATTTTTATCTGTGACCATTTATTTCTTAAGTGATATGTAGTTCAATCTTAATAAGTATGTTGTGTATTTCCTGTAGTAATAATAATAAACGATATTTCGTGATAATCATATGCGTTGGTTTTCTGGAAAACCTCCGAAAATTTCTCTATAATCTATGAATAGTGAAGTTAAATCAGATAGAGACAGCTTTATCGCTTGGATTTAAACTTCATATCCCTAAAATAAATGCCAATAAAATCGATACAGAAACTCAATATGAAAATGTATCTGATCAAATGAAAGGATTACACCCAATTAGTGAAGAGAAGAAAGGCTGGTTTAAATCCAAACTACAGCACAGACGAAACTTTTACCTAACGATCACCTGACAGTATTACAAAATGATGATGTGATGATATTGCGATCAGATAAATGTTCAGATGTTGTTCTAATAAACATAACAGATTATATCTCTAAGATGAAGTTCGCATTAAGTGGCCACACGAGATTCAAGTTGGATAAAAGTAACAAGGACTTATCTGATTCAATTGAAAAAAAGAATCACGAATGTACTTAAAGATCTCTTGAAGAAGATGACTGATAATTCCAATTACAATGACCTACAACCTCGTGTGTCTCGTTTTCCACACATATATGGTTTACTAAAGATACATAAATAAAGTGTTCATCTTAGACTTATTCAGTCAATGGTCAACTCGCCCTACCACAAAGTTGCACGATAGTCAGCAGATAAGTAAGAACCAATTCGTCAACGATTAGCTAGATATACATCAAAAGATTCATTTAAATTTGCTGACAATATGAATCACATAAATATTGCTGATAATTTTATGGTTTCATTCAAAGGGATATCATTGTTTACAAAAATACCACATCTTTAAACCATAGATAATTTTTCAGCATTCTAACATCCTAACTCCACCAGCATCAGAACTCAAACGACCATTAATCATGCTCTCAATCGATGTTCATTTCCAGTTCAATAATATCATATACCAACAAACTGATGATGTAGCAATTGGAAGTCCGTTAGATCCTGTCCTAGCATATATTTTCATGACCAATCTCTAAATAACCAAGCTCAAAAAAAGTGATAAGACGTAAAGAAATGCTACACAATATTTTTTCTTAGTTCGAGTTTCTTTGAAAGTGATTGCCAATATCATTAAAAGTATTGAAATTTACGATCTTCAGGTTTTTTCATGGTGGCTTCAGATTGTTGAATAGGAATAGAAAAATACACGTTTTTAATATCAATCTATTATGTGTTAGTGAGAGATGTTACTTCATCATGAGAACCATTTTTTCAGTCCATACACAAAACTTCTAGATAGATTCGTCTATGTTCTAATGGCAAACTGTGATTAGTGGAGTTAACTGTTTGGAAAGTGTTACAGTTATCATCTATTGGAATGATTGCGTATCTCGTCATTCTGTCAGTTATGCCTGTGTACAGCTGAATTCCACTTCGTTGGTCCAGTAATATCGTGGTCATTACAAGACTGAGTTCTTGATTTAGTTTCTTATTCAGTAAACAGTTCCAGACTGGATCGATACAACTGTTTAAGGCTTCCTGAATTTCAGTGGTTTTCTAGTTGAAGTCAGCTAATGAAAAACCTACATTTGAAAAGTTTTTTAATGTAAAGATTTTTTCTCTAATTGTATTCTAACTTACTAGTATAATAAACGTTCGACATACTATTATCCTGTTTTCAATGTTTTACTTACAGATTATGCAGAATTTGTTTTTCTCGGTTTATTTATCATTGAAATGTTATTGAAAGTATATGGATTGAATATACGAATCTACTTTGAATCTTCATTCAATATCTTTGACTGTGTGGTAAGTTTATTCGTTAATTTGGAATATTTTACACTAGTTTAGTAATTATATTGTAAATTGATCAATAGTATAGCATTCTAGATGGTGGTTGGAGGTAGTCAACAGGAAACCCTGGACCCGGATTTCGTGCTTCTTGGCACTCGTCAGCAAGGTGTACCTGTAATCTTTAGGGAACTGGTGCTCCATGGTGGATTCGATCTCGTGTCATCCAGTTCCACAGTCAGAGACGTTACCACTGAGCTATCCGAGCCGTGACTAACCTCCTGTAGGAGTATACCATCCTAAAAATCACATTGCATAACTTTTATGGTTAATTGCTAACAACTTCCAATCCCCTATATGCGAACTGAATTTTCAATATTCTGAGTATTTGATTGATCTACATTCATCTGATAAATATACAGTTTGGGATTGTAATAAAGATGAAGAAAGTACCGCAAATCAAGAAAACATGAATTTTCATCTATGTACTAAAAGTAATGGAATATTTAAATTAACATTCTGAAGGTCTAAACTATTGTTGGTTTACAGATTCATATTTTCTTCACAGAACATTAATAAAATGACAAGTATTGCTTTCTTCAAGTAAAAGTATTGAGGCAGTTTTAAATTCACTTAATGTTGTTTACTTGTATCCTCCCATTGTTATTAAGGACTGCAATTGATCAATCTCTTGTTAGCATATATGCATCCTATGTGAACCGCTTCGATATTGCCTTAATTCACAAGCATTATATGCAAAAATGGATGATAGCTAGTAATGGAATCGAAGACACGCGTTTCGTTCTATTTAGGACTCGTCAGCTGGATGTACCTGAATCTCAGATTTGACGTCCACTCTGGGACTCGAACCCAGTATCGTTCGTTTCAAACAGCATCGCTTTATCCACTTAGATACTGAGTCCTGTTGGCTACCTGGTTGTATAATCGGCCGAAGTTTTAAATTCATTGTTATTTAGGACCGCAATTGGTCAATCTCTTACTGGCATATATGGATTTAAGTCTCAGAGTGAATATCAAATCTGAGATACAGGTACATCCAGTTGACGAGTCCCAAATAGAACGAAACTAGCGTTCTGGATTCCACTACTAACCACTATCCATCTTTGCTTATAAAATGTTGAAATAGTTGTTTTTTAAACAATCTAAAAGGATCTCAACTACAAAAAAGTACAGAATTTAACCAATGAACTTCAAGTTTCTTAGCCTTAGGACAAATGAGATAGAATCTAGTACTTTATATATTCGTAACTTGGATCAATTAAAGATGCAGAATAGTATCACACAGTTTTGAACACCTCACTAATCAATATCAGTTCGTGTTGAATAACCAACTTTCAACTACCAAAATCCATCTCTGTAATAATTTGAAATTTTTTAATCATTACAATCTATGATCAAATGTTGAAGACTTGACATTTCGTAAAAAAGAAACAAAAAAAGAAATTCGAAAAGAGAAAAGACGTTCACATATGTTCCACATTATTCTAGAACACAATGTTGTCTGTCAATAACAGATAATATGACAATATTTATTTATCTTAAGGGTAAATATTTTCAAGGACACTTATTCTTACAAATAAACTTTTCATTAATATAAAATGTATTCATATTAATATAGCTTTATTTATATTAAATACTTATACAATATAAAAAATAAATATATTTGTCATAATCAATGAAAAACCTAATTAGTTGATGAATACTTAAGTATAAAATAGATTTCTATTTGTTATATAATACAAAACAAAGTTTATCTAACATACATAGCAACACTTTCTATGGGATAAATTGTCGTCAAGTTGTCAAGGTTACCTTCTTGAAGATGATACTCTAATACGTATATACATATATCTGTATATAAATATGGGTCAAATTCGGTTCTTGAATCTTATTTTTTTAACAATCATTAGAAGTGATCATATTGTAGGTTAATCGATAGGATCTATTCAGGATCATAGATTTTTCAGTTTAGAATCAGGAAAAATATTTTAGTTTATGGGGTTCATTATGAAACAAAAACAAATATTTTTCTTTATATTCTCTTATTTATCAGTAGCATTGGGAAATCGTTGTGAAATAACGTTAATCGATATAGTGGTCTAAAGTTTAGATGCTTTCTGTCGGAACCGAATATTTTAAGTTTGATCACCTGTGTGGTTTTAGATATACCTTGCTGAAAAACTCCATACTAGGACGAAATATGTGTCCATTGCTCCTTGGTCCACATTTGTTGCTTAACTAAGGTCATTGTGCAATGAAAACTATGAAAATATCTTTTGGAGTCTCGAGATGACCCTATTTGTTTCGTATGCTAATTGCTATCGAAATATACATGACGCCAATCGTCGTATATCATCATCGAGTTCAATCGCGTTAGTGAACAATGGAATTAAATAAGTCAAATACGAGAATAGATTTTTGAATACATATATTTTGTACACTCATTGATTTGGACAGGCAATCAGGGAATAAAGCGAAGAGAAACGACACGCAGTGGAGGAGACGTGTGAACCAACTCCATTTAATCAAGCGTTAATTAATATTTATAGTCACACAAAAATAAGCCACATATGTGTGATGAATAGGATAAGAGGTGCATATAGATAAGCCCAAATAAAAACAGTCAAGGTTGATAAAAAAATAACTAAAGAAGTCAAAATGTGACTCAAGTATGATGAATAGATTGGCCTGTCCGAAAGCTAGAATAAAGTATGTGGGCTTAACATAATAACCGACACTACAAATACATGGTAATAAGTATAGCAGTTAAGATTGGGTAGTTAATAGTTAAAAATGAAATCTAATACAAAAGAATTCTAGCTCGTCAATACTAATTCTTATTACTAAAACTTAAAATAAAACAAAATGATAATGATTGCAGAATAAGGCTTTGTAACCTAGACAAAATCTACATGGTTGCTCAACAAGCGTTTATAATAATATGTAAAATCGCAATGCTCTAATTATTTTGTCATGCTGAATTTCCGGTGAGACTATAATTTATGGACGAACCAATAAGATATAAGATAATAGGCCTCAGATATTGGCGCAAAGTTTACTTATCCTATTTGGTTAAATAGTTTCGGCATTATAGCTAATGTCAGTTCGTGATAAAAACCAGAAATCTAATTCCTAACGTAAATCATCAACTGTAAAACAATTCTAATTCTTCACACAGGTTTAGAACTTTCATTTTGTCATAGATAATTAGGTGGACACTTTCAGGGTCAGTCTAGCTTAGCTCAAGGGTCGTCCATAAATTATAGTCTCAGCGAGGATTTTTTTGTTTGTTAAATGAATAGGACCGTTTCAGTGTATTCACCATGAGTTTATCATTTATTTAATATCTAGTTATTATACAATATGAACATCTTACTTCCCTTCAGATATGCGTTACATGGAATATTTTCTGTAACGCTCAATCTCAATCCTTTATACATATTTCTGCAATTTGATACTAACTCTTTAACAATAGATTCATTTCTAAAGACAAAAATTGGTTACTGTGCGTAAACCTTAGCCTATTTTGTTTTGAATATGACATCATTCCGAATGATGGTCGTAAATTATTCTTTATATCTCGGTACTTTTGTTTTTGCTAACAAAACATGTATTCTTACTATTTCTGTTCTATAATTTTTTTATATAGGTCATTATAGGAAGTTTATTTGAAATCATTTGGGGATTCTTTCATCCTGATGCATCATTTGGTATCAGTGTTTTACGTGCATTGAGACTTTTACGAATTTTCAAAGTAACCAGGTAAACAGAGAAAAAAAAAGCAAACTTAAGAAAATGTAATATCATATCATATTTATGTTTTATACTGAATAGTTCCCTTTATTATGTTGGAGAGAATGAGAAGAAAAACTTGGGTAGAATGAAATGAATTTGTTTTAGATAATTAAAATAACCCATAGTGTCATTGGATAAAAAAAAGAGAATTCAGCGAAGAAAATTTTCTTTTCGACGAAATCCTTTACTTAAGCTGTACACTCGTATATATGGAAAATGTATGTCTATAGGAGGATAGAAAAAATTGCATCACCAAAATGGATTCGAGGATAAATAACAAATGAGGTTACGTACTAATCAAGGGGTAAGGAAGAAAATCGTTTAGGGGTCAGATAATAGTCTAATTGACAAATATGAAGAAAAGCGACAAGGGTCATAATAATAGACTGATTAATAATCAAGAAAACTTGTATAAGGTAATAATAACTGATTAGAGTTTAAAATTGAAATCGAAAATTCAGTAATAATCAAATAAAAGTGCAGAAAGGAAGAAAAAATATCAGAATGGGTTTTGTGGAGAGTTTTAGAAATTTCACAGGTTAAAATCATGAGTCAGTTGAACCTAGTCTGTTGTGAGATAACAACTCACTGAAGACAATGGTGTACGGTGGTGCAACTTCGTGGATTGGTTGAAGTTAGACATTAACACCGTTGGATGCCGGCTCAGTGGTCTAGTGGTTAAGTGCTCGCGCGCGAAGCCAGTAGGTCCTGGGATCGAGCCCCGCGTGGTGCGAGGTCGTGGCTGCGCACTGTTGAGGAGTCTCATACCGGGACGAAACGGCCGTCCAGTGCTTCCAGGTTTTCAATGGCGGTCTAGCTTCAACTGACTCATGATTTCAACCTGAAGAAAAATAACCCAGAAACATACCGATTAAGGGAGTTAGGACCAAGGAAGGATGAAAGGTTGGACAAATCGTTTCTGTACGCAAAGTTTGGGCTTGTGTTCGTGAATTGCCAATGCATCAGCAGTGCATAGAATATTAATTCGACACCCCTTTGATCCAATTCCTTTGACTCTGTAGATCACTTTAAAAGAAGAATACTTGGGAGCGCTGTGTCCAACATTGATTAAATGCTCCTGTATAGAACTAGTGATTGTCTTACATTCTCTTTTTTCAATACAAGCTGGATAGTGTTCTGAGATTCGTTTGGAAAGTGATCGCTTTGTTCGGCCTATATAACGAGCCCCACACGAGCACGTCAATTTATAAATACACATCGATGTGACCCAAAGCGAAAGTTTATCTTTAACACATCCAGGAATGGTAGGCCGGCTTGAGAAAACAATTCGGAGCTTGGTTGTGTAGAAGGTTTTATTCAGTGATTTTGAAATTCGTTTATTTAAGATTTCAACAGCCGTGTTTCATTTAAATTCCATATTCATGAACAGGGTTTTCTTTTGTACTGTCGATACTTTCTCATGATGAATTCTAGGTGTTAAGTTTAGTTTAGTTTATTAACATCTCACCACCGGATTACATAACCTGCAATCTATAAAAATCATAATTACAAATGGATTGAAAAGTATTTATAAAAAGCAATTTACTCGTAATTTATTATGATTAATTAATTATCAACACAAGAAACTGAAGATATGGGTGACTATACGATACCAAAACTAAAATTACATATATGTATATCATACGTTAAAAAATACCTTAGAACAGTGATAATTAAGATAGAGTGAATCAAAAGGTTAGAAATAAACGGTTACATACTAAACAATGCTAATAGTAAATAAGAATGAATAATATGAGTAAAGCTTAGTTAGTCAAGCAAATAACGTTACTGAACTGAATGATAGTTAAAAAAGAAAGGGAATTCGACAATCAATTCATTGAAAGCAATGAAAAAGATGGAATAATTTATGGAAGTATTATTCATACTACTAGAGCAAAAACTGATTAATAGAAGTTTCCTTTTGAATATAAAAATCAAGTTTCTGATACTTAGTAGCAATAACTAAAGTGAACTTTAAATAGTCAGGACATGGATGTTTATTTATTAATTAAACTATATTGATTAGGTTAGAGAATGTTGACCTGCGGCCTATACTCCACTAGGAGTAACTGGCGCAAGTAAGTAATTAAGTAAACTATACTGATCATTTGATCATAACAAATCCCGACTAATATAAGTTCCATAGGTATTTTTTTAAACTCATTTCATAGTTGTGACTTAAGTATTACAGATTTTGTAAGCAGTTGACGAGATCCTAACGAAATAAACTGAATTTAACTTTTTTGTTTACTCAAATCTTTGTTATTGTCCACTCTCTGTCGCATGCCCCCCTCTCTCTATATAATATGTATTGATTTCTGAATTGATTTTATGTCTAAAGCTCACTTCTAACATTGATAGAAAGATCATTTTGAACGGACTTATAACCGAAATAATAATTTCATTCAATTTCTTTCCGCAACGATAAATTTGTACAAAAACAAATTGAGAACAATTAATGTAGCAGAATAATTGATGAATTTATTTTTATTTTATGGATTCTTTTACAATCAATCAGTATGAAGATTTGTGGAGATTGTAATATTTTCACAGTTAAATTCATGGGTCGACCACCATTGAAAAACTAGAAGTACTGGACGACCGTTCCATGTGACTAACTCCGCAAAAGTGAGCATCCACGATCCCACACGAGAAACTCCATCTCAAACAATGGATAAAGAATTACGCAAGGTCATGGATTGATTCAAGTTAGACATCCAAATCACTGGATACCGGCTCAGTGGTTTAGAGATTAGGCGTTCACGAGTAAGACTGAATATCCTGGATTGGAATCTCGCATACTGGATCGTTGATGCGCACTACTAAGGAGTCTTATGTTGGGATGGAACAGCCGTTCAGTAATTCCAGGTTTTCAGTGGTACTCCAGGTTAAACCGACTCGTGAATTCAACCTTTAATTGTAATGATTATTTTAATCGATTCCATACACGTTGTCATACTGATTAAGATTAATAAAAAAACCAAACTAGTTAAAGATCATGATAAAATTATTAAAACGAATATTCAAATTATAAGCAAAGATGGATAGTGGCTAGCGGTGGAATCCAGGACGCGCGTTTCGTCCTGTTTGGGACTCGTCGGCTAGATGTACTTGCATCTCAGAGTTGATGTTCACTCTGGGACTCGAATTGTTAAATGTTTATGAAATAACTGTGGTACAGATTGTAGAAAACATTTTTAAAAAGAAAACTAATCTCACACAGTTCAATAGCAATGAGTTCAATTCTTTGGAGTATAGAATATTCCGAATGATTTGTAGATATCTTCTGACAAGCAAATAATAAATAAGTACGAATGATATACACTTGTTCACTTACTTATACGTATATCATTCATTTATGTGAATGAATCAGTTAGGAATACGAGAAATTGGATTAATTTGATGGACATTTCATTATCAGTAGGTATCATTTCGAATAAATTGAGCATTGGATAGATTGTTATAAATAATAATTATATATTTGTAATATCCCAATGAGTAGAAAAATTAAATTTTCTAACGTTTCGTGACTTTGCGTAAGCCACTTCTTCAGAGAATAGAAAACCAAATTTTTAAATTTGGTAGTACAACGAAACAACACGAATATTATGTGATCAATCAAAAAAACAGGTCCGAATAAATCAATGTCATGTCATTTCAGTCAAAGTGATTCATAAGTGACATGTATGTAAATTTGTGTGTATGTATGTGTGAACTGTTAAGAATGATAATTGTGTGACCTTTATGGTGTGAAAGGATAAAGTTTAATTTGTATGATAATAGTGTGAATTGCAAAGTAATATAAGATTAGGTGGTTAGGATAGATAGTTCAAGTTAGATGTACGATAAGGTCTTCTTTTCTATTGAAAGAAATAGGATAAGGCATTGGATGGTGGTTGGAGGTAGTCAATAGGAAACCCTGGACTCGGGTTTCGTGCTACTTGGCACTCGTCAGCAAAGTGTACCTGCAATCTTGGGGGAACTGGTGCTCCTTGGCGGATTCAATCTCATGTCACCCAGATTCACAGTCAGAGACGTTACCACTGAGCTATCCGGGCCGCGATCAATCTCCTGTAGGACTGAGATGTAATCACAATTGATTGATCACTGGGTAGTGATCAATGTCAGGTGTGTCGATCCCGTGTCATCCAGTGCTCCAACCACCATCTAATCTCAATATATAGTGCTCGCAATGTCGAGTCACCTAGAATGGTCGATAGCATTCGATCTGCACTAATAATAAAGACTTGACACACATCACATTGATCATCACCCAGTGATCAATCAATTAGGATTAGGCATTATATGGAACACTTCAGCTACTCTCCTTTCTATGTAATTGAAAAAAACCTTTTTGTAATTGTTATGACCTTGAATCGCTTTTACCCCGTGATACTTGTTATGACCTCACCTTGACCTGTCTAGACTAAACTATGACCTTGACGCGATAGGGTGAGCGGCTTAATCTTGAGTCTATCACGCGTGAGTTCGAGATGAGGTAGAGAGATAACTATTCTAGAACTTGATTGGTTGGCAAGCACGCAAGTGAGAGAAGACAAGACAGTTGGAACACTGAACTCTGGATTCTCTGAATTCGGATTAGTACAAAAATGTACATGAATAAATAAGTGAATATCTTGACCACGACGTACGATAATTTGGAAAAATACAGTTATGCCCGAAACAGGGAATTAGGATAGAAAATACAGTGCAAAATATTATGTTTAAATTACAATATTTTCGGAACAAAAAAGAGTATGCTAGTGAATGATACATAGAACGAAAGCTCGTGTTATGTAGAATAAGATATGGACAAAAATAAATATAAGTGTTTTACAGGGTTTGAATGAAATTCAATAACGTCCCAAGAAAATAGCTTTCGTAATTGTCTGGGCTTCTTAATTCCCCGTTCATAACAGTAATATTTTGATATTTTCGAAATCGATCTGGTGATCGTTTAGTTTTTTTCAAATATAGAATATACCGAATGATTAGTATATGCTAATTGTAGATATTTTGTGATGAGCAAATAATAAATAAGCATAAAGGATATACACTGTTATAGTTCTGAATTTATTGACATTTATTAATTGTTATTTGTTTAGGGGAATGAATATAAAAGAAAATAAATGAACAAAACAGAAAAGAAAAAAAAACAAAGAAAAATGTAAATCATACATTCCGAATTATAACAATAAGGTTATAAATTAAATTCATTTAACTGTTCATAGATTAGAACTAAAGACCCTGGTGATGGTGATGATGATGATAAGGGAAAATAATGAATAAATAAGAGGGGGGGGCAAGGCTGAAAATGAATGATTAATTGGATTAAATCTGCTATAAAAAATTTATTTAAATGTATTTAGTTTTTCCTTTCAAGATGAATATTGGGATAAAAACGATTATATTTTATTCCTGAAATGAAACGATTATATTTTGACTATTATAATGGATAAAGAAAGAAGAACATATAGATAGGGGATTATAAATGATTCAAACGAACACCATCTAATTGAAGCATTAATTATTATTCTTTACACAAAAAAAAACGATAGGGTATTAGAAATAAACAGTTTGAAATATAAATTTAAAAATGAGATTGTGATATCACTTTGATAATTATAATCGATTTTGCAAAACAATTACTCTACTGATTAGGTCACTATGCAAACTCACACTATTCATCATTCATATAACAGCAAGAAATGTGCTTCTAATAAGATGTGATTAATGTACAAGTTCTATTGTAGTGAAGGTGAACATTAGGTTAGGACAACCGAATTATATTTAGCACAAAATTACCGAATTACTTGGTAAAGTAGAAAAAACCATACTATAATAATTAATTTGCAAAATGTTCAATAATTGTCTCGGACTTCATTGTTTTTGCATTTCTATACTAATTGCTTTCTATTCCCAATCTTCCTTTCTGGATCTTCTCAATCTTCTACTGCCAGACATTACATTCCTGACTCGCATTATATACTAGTTATATCAATATAAGTAGCACGTACCACACTATGACTTTGTTATTTTCTAAATTAAAAGTGAACAAAACAGATTATTTCCAGTTTGTAAAAGCTTAAATTCTGCTATATAATATTATACTTCCTTTATATATGTTTCTTATATGTAGAGATTTGGATTTTTTTTAAAATTGTTAAATAATGACGTAAAATAATATGTTGATAGAAAAATGTTTACCTTAGAAACATTGTATAGTTGAACTCATGAGTCAATTTAAGCTGAACCATCATTGAAAATATGAAAGCATTGGATGGCCGTTTTGTTTTAGTATGGCAATCCTCAGCTGTTTACATCTACAATTATGCACGTGGGACTCGAACCCAAGACTTTCGGTCTTAGATCAACTCATGAATTCAACTATTAAAATTACTACAATCTCCATAAATTTTCATTCTGATAAAAATCTAATCGATTATGTTAGTAAAAGTGAGTGAACTCTATATAAACAATAACGTAAATTAAGGCTGATGTTTGTCAGTCCTTCACAACTCTAGGGAAACCTGTTTAATCTGCGAAATGAACAAAAAGGTTATGTGATGTTGCATAACCAACAATTAAATCTGTGAACACTTGAAGTGACAAGGATTTTTCATTAGGATAGTTTACAAATTCGATAGGAAAATTATCTTCAAGGCTGAAAAAAAAGGATTGAGAAGAAGCAGTTTTAAACTGGACGATTAATAACATGGTTTAATTATTAAGCGTAAAAATGACTGAAAATGTATATATGAATGAAATTCAGTGAAAACTGGCTACGATCTATGTAATTCATTCTTCAAGGACGAATGTATTGACAGACGAATATAGCGAGAACTAGATGGAGAGGTTTATATGTTACTAACACATAAACACTTTTTCGGAACGTGAACGCTATTTAATATATTTTCTCAGTAATCTCAGACAAAATAGTTTTTTTTAGTACATTTGTTTTAAATCCGTTTTAAATTTCAAATTTGTATATCTTAAGAGATGAGTAGATGAAAGTTATCTAGTGAGATAAAGTGTATTATGTAATCACTGATGTAACTAGTAAGTAAATATATATCTGAGATGATGGAGAAGATTTGTAGCTCAGATGAATGATTTTCATGGAGTTTTGTTCTGTGAGCTGGATGTTTCGGTTGTGGAGCTTTCATCGTCCTTCTGAACAACATCATCAACACAAACTTCGGGTAGAAGTGAAGTGTTCGAATTTCTTCACATATAGTTCAAAGCCCGTCCTGTAGAACTCGATGTTGACCAACAAAAATCAATCAACATCGAGTTCTATGGGACAAGCTGTGAACCACATGTGGAGAAATTCGAACACTTCACTTCTACCTGAAGTTTGTGTTGATGATGTTGTTCAGAAGAACGATGAAAGCTCCAAGACCAAAACATCCAGCTCATAGAACAAAACTCCATTATATATATATTAGTAACAGGTCGATAAATGTCTATTATCTACCTCAAATAAGTCGTCTAGTTAATGATTACAATCCCTTAATTCACTAGGTCTGTAGGTATATTTCTTTATTGTTAAAAAAATGTTTGATAAAATTTTATTTAATTTGTAAATATATTCTACTATTCATGTTAAAATTGTATTTCTATTGTTTGTAATGTAATTCAATGAAGGTATTGGGCTTCATTACGTAATTTGGTACTTTCATTATTGAATTCAATGAGAAGTATTATTTCGTTATTATTCCTATTATTTCTCTTCATTCTAATATTTGCATTACTTGGAATGCAATTATTTGGCGGAGAGTAAGTGTTTTACTTGTATCTTCCCATTGTTATTTAAAACTTCCATTGATCAGTCTCATGTTGGCATGTGTGCATCCTGTTCGGATTGACTCGATATAGCCCTAAGTCACAAGCTTTTAAAGCAAAGATGAATAGTGGCTAGTGGTGGAATCCAGCTAGATTCCAATTAACAGTATAATGACTGGAATTATTTTCGTATAGCTATCACATAAACATTTGACTGATTAAATAACGTGTCAATGAACAGGAATTATGGCATGACTTTAATTAATGGATGAACCAATCAGATTTACGATAACAGGTTTTAGATTTCGGTGCAAAATTCATTCACCTATTTGACTAAATAGAGTCATAGCATTAAAGCTGATGTCAGTTCGCGATGAAAACCCTCAATCTAATTCCTAACCCTAACCATCAACTGTAAATCATAATCCTTATTCTTCAAACTGTTTTATAACCCTCATTTAGTCCTGGTAAGTAGGTAGGCACTCTCAAGGTCACTTTAACTTCACTCAAAAGTCGTCTATAAATTATAGTCTCACCGGAATTATTTGACATCGTTATAAGCTAGTTGACATAGGAAATAGAATATGATTCACAATCGTTAATGTTACTCATTTATATTCGGTAGTTTAACAATCTGACCAACGGTATAAGAAAAATTCATTGATAGAATTTCTTTTTCGAAAAATTGTGACAATCTTCTCTTTCTCATGAAATAAGTTAGATGATAGTGAATTTGTGGTCAGTACGGGAAAGTGGATATTTACCGTATGGATGAAACTCTTGAAGTTCCAGTAATGCCAGTAAAAAAATTAAATGAAACTTCATATATTATATTATTATTAGCTTTATTCATTATTATATTATTGATACAACACAGAATTCTCAGCACAAGATATTTCAGCGAGTTTCTGTTTCTTATTCCTTGGTCGATCCTGACGATAAATATTGAGTAATCTCCGGTTAGAAGTTAGCATTCCAGTCAATCGACATCGAAATAATATATATTCTTTTCGCTGCATATTGTTAGCAATCACGATATCTCTGATTGAACTGTCATAACTTATGGCCTGTGTGCCCCGTTAATGTATAACGTAACGATACCGCCAATTAGAAAACAATGAATTAACGACCGGACCAATGACGTACAAAACCTGTACGAGCAGTCTAAAGTCCTTATCGGTCCTGCTTTCAGACTAGCTCCGTCTTTTAAGTCCAGAACACCAATCTCATCCTCTGCGATATAAATCGTGTATTTCAAGCATACTGGGTTTATATACCACCACATTGATCACATCGTACCATTAAATAGAAAATAACATTTATTTAGCCAAATGTGGCCGTGAGTGTGGGAGATAGTAATTAATAGACACGGCACAATTCAAGAATGGTAAATCGTATAATAATAATTCATAGGTCAAAATAAGGCTCACAATATGAGGGACATAAATATGTATAGTTTAGTTATTTAACAATTATACGATAAAATATACGTTTAGTATTAGTCCATAAATGAGTCCCAACAGTTATCATTCATTATGCTTATCGGGACATAACAGCAACAGAAAGGTTGTACACTTTTGAGAAACTCACCTGAATAGGTTATGCAATTACTGGCCAAAATGATGTATTAAAACGAACAAAATTAAATAACTTGTTGAAATATCTAGATAGCAGGAACAGATAACATAAATGTTCGAGCCGGCCTCCATATATCAGAGTGATGGTGATATTAAGAAACCATATTGGAAAAAGCATTCTGAAACATAAATGACAGATTGCACCATATAGGATGTTGGTAAATCATCATTGCGCCATAGATATCTACTCATTAGATATACTTCGAATATTCAGTTCAGTTTAAACAACGTGATCTACTTAAAGCGATTGAACCACAATTGGTCCACTATTGAATCAAATACTAGTTGATTTTTTCGAAAGACGTAACTGAGTAATAATGAAGTAAAAATATGGGTAGGTTAAAATTTTACGGAAGAAACAATAATGACATCATACATCATAAAATATTCATCCTGTCAATTAGTTTAGAGAATGTAATAGGGTATCAGATTACATTTTTATTTACAAGGAATAACAATTGATTCAAAGAATTATATACATGAGAAATCTACATGGAATAAACAGGTGATAAGTTTTCACTTGTTTATGCCTAAAATTCTAGAAAGTAATAAAGTTCATAAACCAAACGAAAAATCTTCTACTAGTATAGGGGTTGTGGAGATTATTAGGTTTTTGATTGAGATCATGAACCGATTGATGTTAGACCACCTTTGGAAACTTGTAAGCACTGGACGGCCGTTTCGTCCTATTGTGGGACTTCTCAGCAGTGCGCATCCACGATCCCGCTTGCGGGATTCGAACCCAGGGCCTTCGCGCGAACGCTTAACCTACTGTCTTTAATTTTAAAAAGTTTTTGCACAGTTTTTTTTGGTCTTTTTTTTTAAAATTTATTTAAAAAAAATTTTTTTTTTTAAAATTTCTTTTTTGTATTTGCTACTGCCTATTTGTTCGTTTTTTTTTCAGTAAGTAACTTGTTGAAATACCCTGTGCTGAGAATTCTATATTGTACCAAAATATAATATTGAATAAAGCCATTAATAATAATGATAATAATGATAATAATAATAATAATGATAATAATAATAATGGATCGCTGAGCCGGCATCCAGCGGTGATTGTGTCTAACATCAACCAATCCACTAAATTGCGCGACCAACTTCCATTATACTGAGGTAGATACCTGTCTCTACCCGGCATGGATTAGCCCCACTGATCACGACTTCTGACTAGAACTCCGAGAATTCCCTCACGAAGCTAGTCTCTAGTGAGCACATGTTGATTACTAGTATAAGGGTTTTGGAGAGTACTAAGTTTTTGATTGAGATCATGAACCGATAGTTACTTTTCATCCTTCTCCTTTTTTGCTTTTAGCTAAAATCAATAAAATCATTGTTTCTACCTTGAATTTATTATTCTGTTTTTTTAAAAAATCCTTTGTTGTCATGTGTACAGGTTGAATAATTGATTGTCATTTACATATATATTTTAATCAATTTGATCGTTCTTTTTTTTGTAAAGAAAATTTATTTACATTCTTTTTCAGTTTTAATTTTGATGAAGGAAGACCAACACAAAATTTTGATACTTTTGTTAAAGCTTTACTAACTGTATTTCAAGTAAGTTACATTTTCAAGTGAATAACATTTTTTTTAGATGAATATTGTTAAGTAAATTGTACTTACTTACTTACTTACTTACTTTTTTACTTACTTACTTACTTACTTACTTACTTACTTACTTACTTACTTACTTACTTACTTACTTACTTACTTACTTACTTACTTACTTACTTACTTACTTACTTACTTACTTACTTACTTACACCTGTTACCACTCGTCGAGGAGCATAGGTCACTCAGCAGTATTCTCCATCCAACCTTGTCGTGTGTCATCCTTTCCAGTTGCTAGTCATCCTTTTTATATCTGCTTCCGATTCTCGGTTCAGTATGTTCTTTGGCCTTCTTATTTTCTGTTTCCCTTCAGGATTCCAAGTTAGGGCTTGCCTCGTGATGCAGTTTGATGATTTGCTTAATGTATGTCCTATCCATTTCCATCATCTTTTCCTGATTTCTTCTTCAGTTAGAAGCTGGTTTGTTCTCTCCCACAGAAGGCTGTTGCTAATGGTATCCATCCGATAGATGTTGAGTATTTTGCGTAGACAGCTATTTATAAATAGTTGTACCTTCTTGATGGTGGCTGTTGTAGTTCTCCAAGTTTCAGCTCCATACAGTAGAACTGCCTTGAAGTTGGTATTGAAGATTCTCACTTTGATATTGGTTGAAAGTTGGAATGATTTAAATTTCAATTACTTATATTATTCAAGTATAATTTTCACATGTGAAAATAGAATTTGTTCATTATTTAGGAATACATTAGTGACATGATAGGTTGAAGATTATAGTGATTAGCTTTCTTAAGTGACTCGAATATTATCAGTTAAGGGATTGTGGAGATTACTGAATTTTAATTGAAATCGTGAACAGATAAGTGTTAGACCACTATTGAAAGCTTGGAAGTACCAGACCTCCGTTTCGTCCTAGGATGGGACTCCTTAGCAGTGTGCATCCACGATCCGGCAAGTAATTTTCGAATCCAGGATCTTCAGTCTCAGGTTCTAACGCTTAACATTCTTATTTTCAACTAGTGGATATTCAACAATTTAGTTATAATTTTGTCTGATTAAACTTTAGTAAACGGAATATATCGTAACCAGTAGTTGGAGACTGAGTGACATTGCTCGGAATCGATCACAATGGCGAGGTTTTATACACTTTTTTTCCTTAAAATTACTTCATACCTTTTGTTTCTACGACATAATTCTTCCATATATACAATCTTTCTTTTTTATATTACTACCATTGAAATAACTACTTCTATGAATTCGATTTCATCTTGTTGTGCTGATGAGTTGTGGCAACTTGGACCGATGCATATATGTGCGTGGTCCTACGTTATAGCAGACTGATGAACTGAAATGGAATATATACCCATTGAGACATAAAATAAGAAAGATTGGTTTAGCGGAGAATTCTCTTTACAGTGATTTCCTTTACAAGGCAGTACAATCGTAAATATAAACTTATTTTTCAGGATGATAATAATTACAATAGGTACAATAATGGTGATAATAAAACTCTGTTAAACATGGTAGCAGTGAGGTAAGGTATATAAAGGTACGAAAGCGTTATTTTTTATCAGAAAAACTAATATTAAATTTGCTTTGTGTTGTCTGCTTGTACCTTCCCACTGTTGTTTAGGACTGCAATTGATCAGTCTCTCATTGGAATATGTGCATCCTGTGCGGATTGCCTTAAGTCACAAGCCTTTTCAGCAAAGATGAATAGTGGCTGGCGGTGGAATCCAGGACACTCGATTAGTTCTATTTGTGACTCACCTTCATCCCAGAGTTGATGTTCACTCTGGGACTCGAATTAAGGACCGTTCACTTCAAACGCCATCGCGCTATCCACTTAGCTACTCGGTCCTGATAGCCACTGATTGTGCAATCAGGTGAAGTTTAAATTCACCTGATGTTGTTTTACTTGTATCTTCCTAATGTTATTTGGCACTGCAATTGATCATTATTTTGCAGTGATTTCAACATTTTACAAGTCAATGTTATCATTTTATATACAGTTTCACATTGAGAACATTAAGTGATGTATGTATTTGTTTAAGTTGAAACCAATTTTCTGTTTGGATGTACGGGATTTCTTCCAGACAGTTAATTTCTTCAACTCAAACTATGTTATGTTTATTTTTTTCAAAGTCTAAATAAACGTAAAATACCTAATGGATTGATGATCACCAAGATAGTTACCTTGGTGATTGAGGAGTATGTCGGTATTCTTGTGACTTTCAGATTACTTGATATGCCGAAGGTGACAGGACAGTGAATGAAGCTATTATTATTGTATATAAGAATCAAACACTTCTGTAATATAAGTACGTTCAAGCATGAATGTAAAACATTGAAACACTTATTATTACCAATGACACTAAACAATCTATCATTAATTTTCAATAATATCTTTGTAGATTGATACAATTAAATTATAAATATCATTTAATAAAACGTATTTATTATTATGATTACCATTATTATTATTATTATTATTATTATTATTATTATTATTATATAATATAGATATTAACTGGTGAAGACTGGAATACAGTTATGTATAATGGGATAAGAGCACAAGGTGGTGTTACTAGTGGTGGTGCAATTTACAGTGTATATTTTGTTTTAGTTATGGTATTTGGAAATTGTATCCTTTTTACTTTGCTTAAAAAAAAATAAAAAAGAAGCATTTTCTAAAATTAAAAGTGTAATTTACTCAAATTTTATAAGTTGTCAATCTCAATGAAATTCGATTCATCTTTTATTTCAGTAGTAAATTTATTTGTTCTAAAATATATTTCAATGCTTGAGATCATGAGTCAATTAAATCTAGACCACCATGGAAAACCTGGAAGCACTGAACGGCCGTTTCACACTATTGTAGGACTCCTCTGTAGTGCGCACCCACGATCTCGCCTCGCGAGATTTGAACCCAGGACCTATCAGTCTCGCGCGCGAGCGCTTAACCATTAAACCACTGAACTGGCATCCAACGGCGTTAATGTTCAACTTCAACCAATCCACTAAATTGAGCGACACATTCATCATTGTCTTCAGCTTGTTAATATCTCATAACAGAGCCGGTTGAACTCCACTGGTCACTGCATCTCACTAGAACTCCGGAAAATACCTCTTGAAACCAGTCACTAGTGATGATATCTCGATTCATATTAGAAGGGCTTTTGTGCATAATATAGTAATTTCAATGGTTGAGATCATATTTGTTAATTATAACTATATAGAAACAATTAATTCAGGATGAATATATAATCCATAAAGACTGATCGAAATTCATTTCTCAATATCAACTAAGAGAATAATTCAAACATACATTTACCATAATATAAATATTGTATTCCTTGAACAAGTTAGTATTTATTTGAACTTAATTGATTATTGGATAATAAGCTGATGTCTAAAGCTGAAAGTTATTGGGTCCAATCATAAGTATAAGTATCAATACTGGGATGAAATTGCATTTGGCTGACGATTCCTAAACAGAAGGAAACGATCATTTTGGATTCCAATATTTAGTTACAAATCATTTAGTGCTACAGAATATAGGTAATAGGGAAACATATCTGACAACTTATCAGATTCTTGACCAGTTATCCATACTTTTCTTGTTGCAAATGTAAAGAAAACAGGAATTAAGGAAAACTGTGAACAACATAGTTCAGAACTAGTCACTACAAAATGGGTGTATATCATTCTGGATAATACAATTGGTTTTTCCTGATCTAGATACACGCTTCTTAGCTATTCTACATTCATTAAATCAATTTTTCCCGATGACTTTGTTTTTGATTAGCTGACTTCTGAGATTTTAATGGGGTCTTGTTCTCTGAGCTGAATGGTTTAGTCGTGGAGCATTCATCGTTCTTCTGAACAATATCATCGACACAAACTTCAGATAGAAGACTAAACCATCTAGCTCAGCAAACAAAACTACATCAAAATGATCGGATATGGCTTCTGGAAATTTTAATTTTAATTTGTTATTGTATCCAAGTTTACTGTCTTATGTAGATGGTTTTTGATCAAGTAAGAGAATGACATTTTACTTACGCCTTGATATATTTGGTCTATTTCAATGTATCTAATGATTGGTAATTAATCTAAATGTCATATTTATAGAAATTCCCTAGAGAAAATTTATTTCTTAATTCATTAATCAATTATTCATACACATTCCTTAACATTTTGAACGATCAAAAGATACACTATTAAATGTATTTCTTGCTATTGCTGTGGATAATTTGGCAAATGCTCAAGAATTGACCGAAGCTGAAGAAGAACAGGCCAAATTACAAGAAGAAGTAAGGAAAATATCTTATAAATGGATTTAAACTATTTTTATTTGTGAAATGTAAAGAGAAAGTATTTACCTTTTTTTTAGAAGGACACTGTGATCGTGGTTTATTGATTTTCAATTATTGATTGATTAGTTGACAAGATATTTATAGCAGATCTCCTATAATCAATTTTGATTATGGTTAATTTTTATTAAGCTCTTTCATTAAATTACTTAACAGAAAATGTTATTTGAACAGTAACAATTTGCATACTTTCTTTGTACTATTAAGATCACTACCTTGTCTGTGTCAATGTGTGCGCTTGATCATAGGACAGCCTATGCACATGTCTCTCTCTAGCCTAAATGTCGATAGCTTAGATATCGTTCAATGAATCATTCTCGTCACAAATTGTTGAATTATATCTGGATACGTAAATCTAGGTGTTATATCCCGATGAGAATAATGAATGATAACTGTTGGAATCTATTTCTGGACCAATACTATGCGTATATTTTTATCGTATAATTATTAAGTAACTAAACTACTCATATTCGTGTCCCTCTTGTCATCAGCTTTATTTTGACCTATGAACTATGATTATATGATTTGACACTATTGAGTTATGCCCTGTCTATCAATTATTATCTCCCTTATTCACAGCCACATTTGGCTAAATCTTGTATAAATGTTGTTTCCTATTTTATGGTACAATGTGGTCTGTTCAGTTTTTATATGAACCCAGTATGTTTGAAATACACGATTCACATCGCAAAGGCTGAGATTGGTGTTCTAGACTTAACTGGATGGGCTAGTTTGGAAGCAAGACCGATAAGGACTTTAGACTGGTCGTAAAGGTTTTATACGTCATTGGTCCGGTCGTTAATTCACTGTTTTCTAATTGGCGGTATCATCACTTTATACATTAATAGGACACAGGCCACAAGTTATAACAGTAAGTAAAGTTGAAGAATACAAATTTTCTCGCTTCAATAGACCAGGATACATTGTTACAATTTTTTTCATATAAATACTTTGCGTTAATGATCCTGGGAATAGTAAACTAATAAAAATCTATAGAGAGTATATAGTATTTACAAACGATTAGAGTATAGGGGGGTGGGTGGGAAAACGAGAACAGCTTGCATGGAAAAAAAGGTAGATATTTTGACATAAATAAAGAATGATCTATTCATATCACAGTTAGTTGAAAAAAGTATTGAATATTTGTCATTTAACTGGGTTAAAAATCATTCTTAACCTAAACGCTAAACTTATTATCATTAATTGAGTTGCCGTTGACAAGAGAGTGTGGCTCTTTTATTTTAGCATAGACATGTTCTGAATGATATTTAATTAATGCCGTCAAATATTTTTTGGCTTTTGACTTAACAACATATAGAAAAATATAATGAATTAAATTAAATCTTGATGAAGTTTTATTCTGTGAGCTGAATGGTTTGGTCGTGGAGCTTTCATTGTTCTTTTGAACGAAATCATTAGCATAAAGTTAGAACATGTCCTTACTTATATCAATAGACGTAGAGAACTGTGGATACACATTCGAACAGAAAAAAATATGAAAATTTTGGATAGACGTAATTTCAAAAATACCAGAGAATTTTTAAAAGCTTGGGACTCAATTCAATCAGCAATCAACAAGCACATTGAAATCGATTCAATTTATCAACCCATAAGGAAAAATTATGGATAAACAGGAACAACAATCAAACCAAAGAAGCAAACAATGACAGGTTTAAGGTTAACAAGAACCAAATGACATCGAGGTCTACAGTACAAGCTGTGATCCATATATGGAAAAATTCGAACAATTCACTTCTACCTGATCTTTGCGCTGATGATGTTGTTCAGAAGAACGATGAAAGCTCCACGACTAAACCATCCAACTCACAGAACAAAACTCCATCAAAATCATCCATCTGAGGCATACATTTTGTTCACATTTAAATCTAAAGTATTCGAATCCATACATCTCGTATGTTTATCAAGACTTTGCTGTGTTTGTTTAGAAAATACTACAGGAATGATGGAATATTTTCTGAAAATCAATAAACACTAAACAATTGAAAGAATTATGTCTGGATCTTCCAAGTAGACTAATTATCATTACCAAATGTAGAATTGGTAATGTTCATATAATAATAATAATAATAATAATAATAATAATAATAATAATAATAATAATAATAATAATATGATCTTCCAATGAATAGAAACCAGAATAGAACAATTTAATTAAAATTGCTTCCTTATAGTAAAATTATTACGTAACTAAATCAAATTAATACTAGATTAAATAGTATATATGGAAAGGCAAACTATGTAGTGCAAGGAAAATTAAAATAGGTCTGATTAGGAATAAAATAACTCTCAAATATAAATAAGATCATCAGAATAAGGGTTTGTAGAGATTGTAATAATTTTACTCATTAGATTCATGAGTTGATCTAAGCTGGAGCACCTTTGCAAACCTGGAAGCACTGGACGGCCGTTTCATCCTAGTACCGGACTCCTCAGCAATGCGAACCTACGACCCGGCATGGAGAACTCGGATCCAGAACTTTCGTTTCGAGCCTGAACGCCTAACCTACAGACCACTGAATTGACATCTTCCAGTGTTAATGTCTAGCTTCAATTGATCCATGATCTTGTGCAACCCTTCATCCATTGTCTGAGATTAATAACTGTCTCACACTCGCAGATACGGATTGAACTCTAATGGTCACGTCTACTCACTAGAACTCCAGGGAATCCATCTTGAATCTAGTCACTAGTGAGCAAATTATAAGATTTTAAGGCAATATTATTAGTTATAAAATATTGTCAAATAAAGTCACATTAAAAACATTATTACGTTTATTTCATTATGGGTATTGTTAAACCAGTAACTGAAACATCTAAGGAATTTTATTAAAATTATTTATTACAATATTCTGTTAGTGTTTCAAATTATCTACATTGATAGGGATTATTTGATCTGTCATTCTAGTCAATTCACTTACTAACCATGACTGTTTTAAAGGAAAGATTCAATATCAAGTAGAGCTGGTAGATTTTAAACTACTATTCTATCAAGTTGACTGTCGTGAATGTAAGTTGGAAGAAAGCTAAGGGAAAGTCAAACGATGTGATATCGGTTAATCAATTTATGAGCTAATGGTTTGTAGTACGTTTAGTTTATGTTGACAATGTAATGGGGATAAAATTAATCTATTTTTAAAGATATTAAGTGCTAAGACTGAAAATTGGTGTTAGTAGCAAAATAAGTATTTATTCTTGATATGTTTCCGAATATGAATATTTTGAATACTTTTTATCTCACTATTTTATCTCATCTTTTCGAATCATATTCCCTATGTCCAATCCTTTAATGTTATTTAAACTCTTTCACTATTGATCCAATGAATGTCCTTTCTCTTCGTCTTGATGTTTTGTGATATTAATTATACTATTTCCATATTTCCACTATGACTGATCGATTCACTGTTAACTACAATTATAGTACTCTTATCTATTGGGTTAACTGGGGGAATTATGTAGCTCATCACCATCTGGATTCATTCATATGCCATATGAAGCATATGCCATTTCTAGAGATGGAAAGTGAAAACCTGCTAACATTCATTTAATTATTTCAGTGATATTCCTAGAATATATATTTCATGAAATGGATTTCTTTTGCTCCAAATGAATATATCACTTATAGCGTCGTTTACATTTGAAAGAAGTTTATGTGTATTTCTAATATCTGATAAGAGATTCAAGTAAAAATTAATTCTAGTTGAAGTGATTTTTTGAAGAGTGGTTTACTTTAAAGGTTGTATTCATCACATACTGATCTCATTTGAGGCATCATTGAAAATTGGAAAGCAGTGGATAGCTTCTCCATCCTACCATGGTACTCCAGAATAGTGTACACTCATAATCACTTTTGGAATCGCACACCGGAACTCCAGTTTAGTGGCGACCACTTAACCATTAAAATCATAACATCAGCGTTCAATGTTACAAGTTGAACTTATCGGTAATGAAACTTCTGTTATTAATGATTTTGAATTGTCATTTCAACAACTTGCAAATAGTTTATAGTTGGAATTTTATCACTGGACGATGATTAAGTAGTTTAATGATTAAGCAATTGCCCCATGACCTAAAGAATGTAACCTAGAAATCAACTTTGATTTTTAGATGCGTTAAATTCATTTGTAAATTAATAATTCCTTGATAATCTTCATACATATTCATGTTCTTACTTTTTTACATTTCAGAGTCATTTAGCTGAAGAAGCAGCTGAAATGCGATCCGCTACCGATGCCAAAAATAATTCTAACAATAATAATAATAATAATAACAATAATGGCGATGTCAAAAATACACAAACAGGAAAATTGGTGAATAATTATCATAAATCTAATCTTCATGATACAGAGAATAGTTCAAAGTAAGATCTTTATTCAAAAATGCGTACTTATTGTTATATAACAATGCAGGACTTGTCACAATGACTATGAAACTTCTCAAAATGAATATATTATTATTACTATTAGCCTAGGTTTGAATTATACTATTGCTAATATTCAAGACAGAATTTTAATCATATTTGCCAGTTTATGTGTATCTATGTCATTATTATTTTGTTAGATGCCTTAGAGTATAGCTACTTTGCGATTAATAGTACGACCCGGAACTCATGTTTTCACTTATTTGGGACTTATTAGTTGAATGTACCTGTACTCTAGCATTGATGCTTGAATTGGCATTAAATTCAAGTATCGTCCGCCCAGAACATTGATGTACTATCCATTGAGCAAATGATTTCAGAGAGACATAAATTTATTCAACGAATATGCATTATGCATAATCAAAACTGGATCCAGACATATCCAGTTGACAAGTCCCAAATAGGATCAAATGTACTTCATAGATTCTAATACTAGGTAAAATTCATCTGTTCTATTAAATGATCAAACTTTTATAGTTTAATATGATCAGAAACTATTATCAACCAAGGAAACGTTAAAAAGAGAGGAGTATCGGGAGAATAAAACTATCTCATTCTTATTTAGAATGAATCACCAGTCACTTAGAGATTGAGTCTAGAATATTCAAATCTTGTAGTTGACTAAATACTTGTAAACAATCGATTTGAAATCCAGCTAATTTCAATCTCTTCATGAAAACTGTCTTTAAATTAAGTAATCGTTACAACATCACTATCCCCCCCAAATGATAAGTTTCAAGCAAATAATGGGACATCGAGTACTACGAGACTGGTGAAATGTAGAATTTATCATGCGGAAAGTTTAATCAAATAGACTGAAGTGTTTAAACATTATTAAAATCATTCTATCTTACAGGACAACCCACAGAATAATAATATTTGTTGATTCAGGAATGAAAGAAAAAACGTTACAGTTTGAACTAATAGAAAGTTTTGTTATAGCTGGAGTATGAAGTGTATTAAGTGACAAAATCAACTGCAGAACACATAAACAAACATAAATAACAAAAGATCCTTATATAGTTGAATTTGAAATTTCTAAAAACAGCACTATATCAAATGTATATTATTGAAAATTCGAATATCTTGCTTAAACGTTTCTCAAAAAGAAGGTGAACAGTCATATCATTGTGGGGCCCATCATTTTGACGTCGATTACATCGTCCGATCTAATCGATGGACTCACCACTTTAATGGCCCGAGATCTGATTCCAATTTGATCGTATGATTGATTGTTGAAATATACATCCCGACCATTTTCGTATAAGATTATCGACTTAACTCGCGTTAGTGAATAACGGAATTAAATAAATCAAATACGAGAATGGATGTTCGAATACGTATTTTTTAGTACACTCGTTCATCGGAACAGACAATCAGAGAATCGCAGCGAATGTAGCGAAGAAAAGAGAGCAGGACGAAACGAAAGAACGCGCAGTGGAGAAGGCGTGTGAGCCAACTCCATCTAATCAAGTGTGAAACGATATTTATAGTCAGATAAAAATAAGTTACAGACATGTGATGAATAGGATAAGAGGTGCACATAGATAAGCTTATATAAAAACAATCAAGGTTGATAAGCGAATATTAACATGATCAAAACGCGACTCAAGGATAACGGGTAAACTGGCCTGTCCAGAAGCTAGAATAAGTTATGTGGGCTTAATATAGTAACCGACACTGCAACATCAATATAATTTAATTCAAATATAACTTGTAATTGAATGCTCCCACAAGTTTTTTTTTGTGCTTTTCATTAAAACTTGAGTAGATCCTTGGAATAACAAAGTTGCTATTAATATCAATAAACTAGCAATAATGCACACATATCAGATCATTATGAACAAATGACAAAATAATCATTAATATCTATTATGCTAATATATTTGTGTTTAGAAAGGAACTTAAGTGGAAAAGAAAAGGAAAAAAATCAATTAAATCCAAGTCACAAAAGCGATACATAACAGTAACTCATAATGAAAAGCGTCATTTAAAATGGGGAAAAAATTGGATACAAATAAAAGAAGCAAAAGGAGAGATTATTTTGTATAAGTGACATATAAATTTATTCTAAATGAAATACGTCAAGTAATGATAGACAAAATAAACAAAATGTTTTGAAACATGATATTATGACTGTCTTTAAGATTGATCCCAATGTGACATCACTACTGGAATGCAGGTATATTTATCTGACGAGTGTAAAGTAGGATGAAACCCACTTTCTGAATTTCCTGGCTAACCGAAATTCATCTATTCTAAAGAAATATCAACTAATAAGGTTTAGTTACACTTGATGTGAATCAACTGATGAATACTCTTGTACATTACATCATACATTGACTAGAGTTATAAAATATGAATTTTGACTGAATGTTAACTTTGCAAGCTCTAAAGATTCTGAATTTAATTATGATGTTAGAAGAATGTTTGTGTGTTACACTGTTAAAGAGTCCCACATCAGGATCAGATTCTAATAGTTCTCTAGATCTCTTATTATTATTTCAACACAGATAATGGTACAAAGGGGCACCAAATACATATGCGCCACACAAATCTCATTCGATATGTGTGAGGGCTGTGATACTGCCCGGGTGCCCAAACCGAAGCAGGTGGTTTTCTTAGGGGGACACACCCCGAGCCTTCGACCTGAAGGTCTGATCCACAAGGCAGTGGAGCATCGTAAGGAGATGCAGTCCCATGGAAGCCGGTGATCAACAATTGGTTCATACGCCATTTGTTCCCGCAGGATACTGAAGCCCATGTGCACCATTGGTTTGGAATCCGGTTAAAGCGTCGGACATTCGCTTTTCATCCTCTCATTTTCGTAAACAACAGTAGTGCCATGAGAAGGCAGTGAGTAGGACTTCCCTGGCAGAGGCTATATACGCGTGGCCGTGTGAGAGCATTTCGAGAGGGAGAGCGGACTCTCCCCACTCTCGGTCGTACCTCAACTTTGGAATTTAATTAGTGGTTGCGTGTGTTAAAACGAAGGTACATACAAAATGTATTCACTATGTTTGATTGATTTTTATCATAGACAGTGTTTAGTTAGGCAACTATTGAGAAGCATGGAGCACTGATCAACTATTTTATCGTATACTGATTTCTCAAGTAGTGTTCATTTACCACTGAGTCTACATTCGTTGGTTCACATTTCTAATTTCAATCAATTATTAATTTTGTGAAATCATCTTCTAATGTGATTGAAGGACTATTGCCTCGTACCTGACATAGTTTAAAAAGTTAGCTTTAACCTGCTAAGCGAAAATAAGAAATCTAGTCCACTTTGTTCTCACAACGATTATAATAAGTAAATCATTTCATGTTTAGGTGAATTCTATTGTTTTAGTACGACAAGGTTTTCACGAACTGAACGGTTAGTAGTTTCGTTTGATATTTGGTCATTCAAAGTGCATTTAAGGAGTTGATTTGATAGACTAGTTAATGGACATTAAAAAATCAGAGAGTAATATTTCACTTTTGTCATATGGTTGGAAAAAATCTTGTTTACAGAATTTAGATTTTATTTTAATTGTATACAATAATTTTCTCAAAAGTTTCTGAAGTTAGTTTTGTTAGTCTAATGATAATATGATTTATCATTCAGAGATTTAATAGTTGAATCCATGAGTCAATTGGAGTTAAACAACCGTGGAAAACAGGAAAGCACTGTACGGTTCATACTAGGACGAAACGGCTATCCAGTGCTTCCAGGTATTCCATGATGGTCCAGCTTCAAATTGACTCATGAATTTAACTATTAAGTTACTGTAATATCCAAAAAACCCTTCTCTGATTATGTTCTTAGATTTATTTTGATGATTCCAATTCGTTATGGTATATTGATGTTTAGTTTTCGATTACTTTTGTGCGTTTTAATCGATAAATCTTGAGAAAGATTAATCGTTTATGAGGATATTATCAACGATTTTTAACTTATTATCAGATTAGCCATCCTCATTTCGTCGGGAATTAGTAATCCACTGGATTCTGTCTTTGATTATTAAGGTAACATTTTAAGGTCTGTTTATTGTCCTGGAGGCGTTAGTTTTTTTCATAAACCAACTGTCGGACTTGCGTTTAGTAGAAAAATTGTGCTACAGTAATGATCCGTTCTTTGAAATACTGATGAACAATAATAACTGAACAATATCGAAGATGACTGGCAGATTGCTTAAGTAAAGCTTCCTATTGAATAAAATAGAAATATCTGTGAAATACTCTTACTGAAGACTTCAATTTTAACATCTACAAACAATCATCTAGCAGTGATTTGAAGACCATGTAGGCATGTAAAAGGAATTCACTTTATAGACTATCTGATAGGCGACATATATCCTGACAGATCACATGTCTCAAGGCCACATGAAAGCAGAAAAATGGAAGAGTAGATTTGATTAAATTTGAACAATCAATAAAGAGCACAATATGGTTTAAAATTAAATCATTATCAGGCTTTAGTCCATTATATAATAACAGTCATATGTTTAGTTGGTTAAGCGCCAGGCGTGAGACTTATAGGTCCTGGGTTCGAGTATCACGAGGGGCAGGATCGTGGATGTGCACTGCTGAGGAGCCCCATACTAGGATGAAACGGCCGTCCCGTGCTTCCAGATTTTCCATGGTGGTCTAGCTTTAATTGACTCATGATTTTTCAACCAGTGAAACTCAAGATAATTTATGGGTCAGTGATTACAATGAAATGAATTAATCATCTAGTCAATGTTAGGGCCTGTATTTCTTTGTTTGGGTCGGTCAAGACTTTCAAAGGTATGCCAGTGAGTTATGCATTCTTTGATTTAGTTTTGATAATAAAGCTTCCTATGCATTTTATGCTGTAGCATAATTGCTTGAACCAATCTATATATTGTAACCGAACCGGATGAAAGATTATAAGATTAGCCTAAAACACGATCACTTGTTTTATATTGGATCTATCTAGATAGTTCACAATTGAATAATATTTATTATATATCTCCAGTTATTTTGTTATGATTTTGTATACATTCAACATCTGAATAGAAAATGAGAAAAAATAGCTCTCAACTATCAGAAATGTTTACTTTTCTTCAATTTCAACGTTACCATCTGTTAATACATTTATCATGAAAGATAAGATAAAGCAATAATGACAGTTCTCTTTCATTGAACAATAAAACATCTCACTCTATATGTATGGCGGCTTACTATAAATGTTATTTATTTTATTATTAATAAGGACTAATGCTGCTGATAATTTCATTTAATTCCCTTACTTACTTAATTACTTACGCCTGTTTCTCCTAATGGAGCATAGGCCGCCGACCAGCATTCTCCAACTCACTCTGTCCTGGGCCTTCTTTTCTAGTTCCATCCAATTTTTGTTCATTTTTCTCATGTCTATTTCCATTTCCCGGCGTAATATGTTCTTTGGTCTTCCTCTCCTCCTTTGGCCTCGAGGATTCCATGTGAGGGCTTGTCCTTAGGCAATTGTTAATACCATCGGAATATATGTTTATGTTCACGTAGTTATTTTTTATTTGAACGGATTCTTCTCCTGTACCACAGACGGTGTAAGCTAATGTTTATAAAATAAATATTCCAAACAGCGTTGGGAGATGTTTCTGATATATGGGTATTTTAAACTTCGTTTTTACTTAAACTGTTTTTTTCTGAGGGAATCAGTATTCCACTTGCTGTGGATAATTTAAAATAAACTAAACAATTTCATATGTATAATGTTATTTTATGAAGGTTTGTGGATGTATGCTTTCAACATGAATACCTTACTGGTAACATCTCAGAATGTGAAACTAGGTCATGCAGATTCGAATCCTCTAGGAAACATCAATCCTCTGAGGATTGCAAATACGATTATCTCCTAGTATAAAGCTCAATTTAAGTAGGGACTCCTACCGACTACTCTAGATCACATGACATTTCAATGAAATGGTAAACTAAATGAAAACAACCGTCTATTAGTCCTCGGTTTTCAAAAGTTTATCAAAGAACGTCTATATATTATTGAAAATCGCCTAATATATCATTCCTCTGTTGTCTGCTACTTACGAAAAAGCATGTGAAATCATCTATAATTTGAACTTTTCAAAATCTTTTCGGTTTTTAACATTAATCCATAGAATATTTGGTTATAATACGTTTTAATATCTTTACTCACAGTACAATACAAGGAAATACAAATGAAATGAATAAAAATAGAACCGGTGTACAAAACGACAATTTCATGTTTCGTCACAGTAAGTAATTATTCATCATCAATTATTTGAAAAGTTGTGTAATAATTTTCTTTATAAAAAAGCAACTTATACACTACTAATTAATTGATGTGTTGAATTTGAGTAGTGTAGTCATGAAATTCTTTAATTTTAATATGACAACATAATGTATCGTTTGGTTGACTTCAGCTGAATGATGATGACAGTTGATGAGCAGTTGATTATTATCAGAATGGGTTTTGTGGAGATTTTAGAAATTTCACAGATTGAAATCATGAGTCAGTTGAAGCTAGACCACCATTGAAAACCTGGAAGCACTGGACGGCCGTTTCATCCTAGTGTGGGACTCCTCAGCAGTGCGCATCCACGATCCAGTACCACGCGGGGCTCGAACCCATGATTTCAATCTGTGAAATTTCTAAAATCTCCACAAAACCCATTCTGATAATTTACTTTTGTGTCACTGTATTGTATTATTTTTCATTATTAAATCTTGAATAGACCCATTAAGTTAAAGAGTAATTAGTCCTATGGAAAAGTTGCTCTTCAAAAAGAACAAAATAACAGTTTGTACTAACTTATTTATATGTATGAAAAAAAGACGAATTGTATGTCTTGTCATAATATTCGTATAGTCATTTTCGAGACGATAATAACTGATTACATTGATGTCTTTAAATAGTTGTTAGACGGGATTTATGAAATATGGACAATGATTTTTTATTATTTGAGTAAGCAAGGTAAATGTGACCGTCATTCACTTAAAAGTTGAACAGAATGGTATACAATATGAATGAAAACAAAACATTCTTGCTCGAAAAATATCCTATCATAATAAATGAATAAAATTTTTAGTACAGATGAAATTCTGTCGACTAAGTTGCAACGTGGCCATTAGTTTAAGTGATGCGAAATCGTGTTCACTATACTGAAAGGTAAGATGGTGGTTGGAGTTAATTGACAAGAAACGCTAGAACTAGGTTTTGTGCTAGTCGTCAGTCTTCAGAAAAATGTACATGTAATCTTGAGGACGGGTTTACTGTGCAGCAGTTCGTTCCGTCCTACTTTATGACTGTGAAACATGACCGGTAAGAGTAAAGGATATTCGTAGGTTACTAGTATTTGATCATAGGTGCCTTCGAAATATTGCTCGTATATCCTGGGACGACCGAGTAAGTAATTCAGTTAGAAAATTTAAACTATATAAATTTAACTGTTTTTCCAAAACCCCGATAGTAATTATCATAATAAATAAAAGTACAAGTCGATAGTGAGATAACAAGAGTACAAATAGTGGTAAGAATAAAAATAATAATAACAACTGAATTAAATATTTCAACGTTGGAATTGGACTGAAAACTGGAAGCAATCAAGATAACAACAAGAATGGAGTTACAACGAAGTTTGTAAGAAACGTTTCAAAGAATATGTGAAAATGATGCATTTGATGTATGATTTTCACGTTTTACTAAGCCACTGTGTGATTATGCATTGAACAATAAATTGGTTTACCGCATTTGAGATTTTGGTTCACTACACTATATCATCTTGTATTAAGTCGGCTATTTATTTACTCCGAAAAAGTGGTTTGGATTAAGTCACGAAATCTCAGAAATATGATTTTTCTACCCATCGTCAGTCAGTCAGCTACAACGTAGGACCAGGCACATATATGCATCGGTCCAAGTTGCCACAACTCATTAGAACAACAAGATGAACACCGAATTCATAGAAGCAGTTACTTCAATGGTAGTAATATAAAAAAGAAAGATTGTATATAAGGATCTAGTACAGAAAAGAAAAATTAGTTCGTAGAAAGAAAGATATAAAGTAATTTTAATCTCATGTTTAAAGGGAAGACAAAGAGTGTATACACCGACGCCATTGTGATCGATTCCGAGACATGTCACCCAGAGTCTCCAAACATTGGCTACGATAGTCCAGCGGAACCCAACCAAGTAGTCTGCATCTACCAAAATGGTTCAAGCACTGATGTCAAGTTTTGGTTTGGCCTCCCCTAATTTTCTTTAAGCCATCCCCAACACTAGTCAGCAATGCACGTCGTGCTAACTGGTGTTCTGTCATACGTAACACGTAGCCAGACCATCTCAGTCGATGAAGATTCACAACCTCATCAACTGATTTATCATAATTGTTGGCTATATTTCTAAGGCATCTGTGGTCGATTACTAGTAGCTTACGAGTATCTTTGAATCTCAGAAATTATCAATGTGATTTTCATTTGTTAATCAACTTTTATCTAATATGTTTCCCAATAATGAAATAGGATGAAATCAAATTGTTTTTTTTCTTCTTCTTTTAAACAATATTGTTTTGAATTTATAGTGACCAATTTAAATTTTACATCGCTTGAAAGTGATGATACAGCAAGATTACAAGGTTCTATACAAATTCAAGGAAAACCTGTTCTACCGTATAGTTCAATGTTTATTTTTGCACCAACTAATGCGTAAGTATAGTGAAAGAATGTTTAGTTTTTATTGAATTAAAGATATACATGAAAGTTGAAATGATTTAAATTTCATGTCAATAGTTTCCTTGCATGAATCTGAATAAAGCCGGAACAACACCTGAGATAGAATGATATGGATTCATTATATTTCGTAGGGTTTTTTGTGGGCCCTAATCTGACTTCAGTTTTGATCATATGACGATGTTATTAAAATATATATCTCGGCTACCCTCGTACATAATCATCTAATCAACTGACGTTAGAGAATAACACAATAAGTCAAATACGAGAATGGATTTTGAATTCGTATATTTCGTACACTCATAAGTTCTAACAGACAATCAGAGAAACGAAGTAGAGAAAGTGAATGGAAGAATACCGTTTGGAAAAATGAGAAACGAAGCGACGCTGAGAAGGCAAATGAGTCAAATTGACTTGATCGAGTGTGACTCGGTATTTGTAGTCGAAAATGTGACTTGAAAAGAATGAATAAGTCGGTGTTCACAGAATTGGGAATTACCCATATGGGCTTGGTGATGAAAATCAAAAACAAGGAGTGTGTAAGGAAGTAATTAAATAAGGTCCGTAAGCAGATAAGTTAGATTGTGTGATAATTATAGTGGCTGTGAATGTTTCACATGGGTTGACTGGAACTAGAAGTTCATAAGATAGGTTACGCAATGACTGAACAGAATTCGAATAGTTTAATATCAATTAAGAGAGTTACGTGAACGAAACCGATGAATTAAAGGTTGATTTTGGTATACATAAAATAGAATTAGTTTAACGAAGACAATATAACAAAGTAGATACTAATAAAACAATCACAATAATGACAATGACAAATAATTAAACAAATAAAAATTCATCAAAGTAGTGATAAGTTGATTATTGTTTCTTTCTAGATACATAAATCAGGTTTAAGACTTTTTTATTGTTACTGCTTCCGAAAACGCGCCATCTCTCCGGTTTGACAATATTGTCTAATAATTTGACTGGTACCGTTAGAGTTAATTATTTATATTGGTTGATCAATAGCCAATGTCATGTTTATTCAATCATTAATTCTTATTGAATCACTTCGATCATGTTGTGATGTAACTACTAATCTAAGTGATTAGGCATTACAGTGGATTTTATTCAAATATTAAACGATTGAAAGTAATCTATAGCAAGTCATAGACATATGTTTTGTGTCAAATGCCACTCAAAAAGCCTATTTGTAATCGTAAAGAAATTGATTCTCTTTGACAGATTAGAAACTACGTCACTCATTGTCATAATTTGTGACATCAAATCATGAACTGGATACACTTGCATCTCAGTGCTTATGTTCACGATGAGATTCAAACTCATTAACTATCTGTGCAAAAAGCTACGCGTTATTCATTAGGCTATGGAATTCAGTTAGCCATCAACTTGTTCAATAACCTGAATATCATTTGTAAGGATTTATATTTCTCTATTATTGATATTTAGAACAATAGACTCATGAGTCCCGAATTTCACTATGACATACCATCGGAACTATGCTAAAATACATATTTACATACATTTACTTAAGAATGAAATGTTGAGGTAATTATCAATAACAAAGAATTACCAACCTATGGAAATATTCTTCGACGTATTCAACATGTAACAAGTTTTTCTTACAAATTCTTCAATTGATAATTTATTTTCACTTTAGTTTTCGTCTGATTGGTTTTTAATTTTTCTATCTTATTTTCACTTTTGCCTTCATTATAGAATACGACGGTTTTGTCATTTCGTAGTCAATTTACGCTATTTTGATTTATTTATCATGATTGTAATTTGTGCAAGTAGTATTGCTTTAGCCGCTGAAGATCCAATCTCTGAACAGTCAAAACGTAATACAATATTAGAACATTTTGATTACGCATTTACTGGTGTATTCACAATTGAATTAATTTTAAAAGTAAGTTGAATCAAAAATTAGTTTTAATAAAAAGGTTAAAAAGCTAAAACAAAAAAATAAATTAAAAAGATGAAACTTGAAGGCACTGGATAGTCAATTCGTTCTAGTGTGAGACTACTCAACAATATACATCTACGATCCCACACGAGGGATTCGAAATCAGAGCTTTCAGGCTTACACGTCAGTGTTTAATCTATAAACCACTGGTTGGCATTCAACGGTGTTTTTGTTAAACATCAATACATTTATGATCTTGCACAACTGATCATCCATTGCCTGAGGTGGATATCTGTCTCATAGCTGACAAGAATTGGAATCTACTGGTCACGACTTCTTAATAGAACTCTAGGAGTTACGTTTTGAATTTAGTCACGAGTGAGCACCACAAATCCCTATACTGATATTAAAAAGCGTTTTATTATATTTATCAGTTAGTCTGCAAATAAAAAATATGTGTAAATGATTGTGATATGTCATTCAAGCCAATTATCAAGATTCGATTGTTCATCTAAATAACGAATAGGTTACATGAACGATAAAATGTTGTTGGGTTATAACTGACAACCCAGAAAAAGCAATGACTACTTGTCTCACATCATTTCGATGTTTTTTACTGATTAACTTTTCTTTGTGACAGTCAGATATCTTATAGAACACGAAACTAATAATCGACTGAGTCGGAGTATTATTTCAGTCATTTGGCAAAGATAAAATCTGGACTTGTTATAAGATTACGAAAATAATCTAATCAGGATAAGTAAATGAAAAGAAAAATGTGCTCAATCACTTAATGTTTACAATTATTCTTTATTCACTGCTTATTCTTAATGAAAACTATAGTGAAATTCAGAAAAACAGAGTTGTTTCATTTTGAAATTGAATCACTTCAGAATCCAAAAAATAGTCAGTTCAAATTTGAATATGTACAGAGATTTTGTTCAGTACAACAAACTACATAATAAACTACATAAACATATAACAATATCAGTAGGGGTTTTGTGGAGATTGTAGTAATTTCAACAGCTGAATTCATGAGTCAATTGAAGCTAGACCACCATGGAAAACCTGGAAGTAGTGAACGGCCGTTTCGTACTACTGCGGGACCCCTCGGCAGTCGCATCCACGACCACGCCTCACGGGATCCGAACCTAGAACCTGCCAGTCTCGCGCGTGGCGCTTAACCAACTAGACCACTGAGTCGGCATCCAGCAATATGTTTAGTCAATTTAACATCATCTCAGTATTTAAAAGGTCTTACAATCATATAATATTTTTCTATTAAGTTAAACAGTTACCCATACATATATTTGCAGTAATCTATCTTATTATTAAGAATAATTATAAACACTTCAGATTTGTATCGTTTGTTTAATAAGTTTAGAAATTTCCAGCAACAAAAGCTCATCAAGGCATTATTATAACTGAACTTATCGAATGTTATCAGAAGTGGGTTTTGTGGAGATTTTAGTAATTTAATAGTTCATGGATTGGTTGAAGTTAGACATTAACACCGTTGGATGCTGGCCGGCTCAGTGGTCTAGTAGGTTAGGCGCCTGGCGCGAGATTGGCAGGTTCTGAGTTCAAATACCGCGGGGTGCGTGATCGTGGATTCGCACTGCTGAAGAGTCCCATACTAGGATGAAACGGCCGTCCAGTGCTTCCAGATTTTCCATGGTGGTTTAGCTTCAATTGACTCATGATTTTAACCAGTGAGATTTAAAAATCATTATCATGTTCGTTCATTAAGAAAATAACGCGGAATATTAGAATATTGTAAGGGTTTGCAAAATTAGTAAATAAATGAGCCATAAAAAAATATGTGATAGTTACTGTTATGAAAATCAAGTCATTTTGTATTTCAGTTATTAAATTTTCATTTACTGAACAAATGTCCCACATTTTCGTTAATCTAAACTATTTTCGAATAGTGTGTTCGCTTGAAAATACATTACTCTAGGAAACAATGTTATGAATTGGTTCCATATATTCGTTTATTCTCTCTAACCTTTACCACCTAATCAACGAGGTGGGATTAGGTATCCGTCATATAACCCATTCATATCAATAGATAGATTTTTAGTCTCATCTGAAAAATTCCCATTACGTAGTACCCTATACCAACCTTCAGCATTAGTAACGTTGGTTAAGCCATATGCGATAAGTGTTTAAGAGAAATCTATCGTTAAATACATACAATTAACACATGTTAAAATTATTTGACAAATCAGATCATGTATCTATTAACGTAGGCCAAAGTTATGAAAAATGACTTTTCCAAATGATTTAATTCATATCATTTTCTGTAATGTTATTGATTTTCAGGTGATTGATTTAGGTGTTGTATTACATCCTGGTTCATATTTTCGTGATACATGGAATATTCTTGATGCTATAGTTGTATTTTTCGCTTTAGTAGCATTTGTAGTAAGGTAAGTATATGTTATACATTTAAATAAATATTTAATAATATGCCAAAAATTTAATTCTACCGTCGATTGTACTATATTGTGTACTACTAATATCAATAGATATAAGTACAATGTATCATCAATCGTAAGTGAAATACCTGATGGTAGAAGGTTAATATTGAAGGGAAGAGAACAAGAACAGTAATTGATTACTATGGAAACAAAGGAACAATGAAGTCTGAGACGATTGATTAACATTCTGCACATGAATGATCTACTATATGGTTCTAAGATTTTACTAAGTTTAAAGACCTTTGGTTTTCCCTACTTGTGTTCTCGTTGACTAAAATCTCAATAAATTGCATAACAATTGACTAATATCAATTTTCACAGACTGAAATCATAAGTCAATTGAAGCTAGACCACCATGAAAAACCTGGAGGCACTGGGCGGCCGTTTCGTTCTAATATGGGACTCCTCGGCAGTGCGCACCCACGATCCCTCACCCTGTGAGATTTGAACCCAGGACCTATCAGTCTCGCGCGCGTTCGCTTGACCATTAGACCACTGGTCCGGTCGGCATCCAACTGTGTTGATGTTTAATTTCAAACATTCCACAAAATTCAGTCACCGTCCACCATTGCCTTCAGTGAGCTGATATCTCACAACACATCTGGTTGAACTCCACTGGTAACGGCTTTTCACTAGAACTCCAGGATTATCCCTTGAAGTCAGTCACTAGTGAGTAGATGATTATTATCAGAAGGGGTTTGTGGAGATTTTAGAAATTTTACAGATTGAAATCATAAGTCAATTGAAGCTAAGCGCGAGACTGATAGGTCCTGGGTTCGAATCTCGCGGGTTGCGGGATCGTGGATGCGCACTGCCGAGGAGTCCCATATTAGGACGAAACGGCCGTCTAGTGCTTCCAGGTATTTCATGGTGGTCTAGCTTCAATTGACTCATAATTCCAATCAATGAAATTTCTAAAATCTCCACAAACCCCTTCTGATAATAGTAATTTTGTCAATCTAAAATGAAAAATCATCAGGTATTACAATGAAATAATAACTCTAACCATATACTTCCATTATACATTTTATGTACAATAAATTTACTATACACGAGACCATAATTTATAGACGAATCAATCAGATATGAGATAACACATCTTAAATTTTAGTGCGGAATACGTTTATTCATTTGACTACATTGCGTTTTAGTAATTTAGCTAACGTCAATTTCGTAATGAAGACCAACTTCCACAAAAACCCATTCTGATATGTTTAAATCATACCGATCATAATTTGTCACTATAATGTTGATAATTATTTCCGAAGCTATTCATTAAAGGCAAAACCTTAATTAATAAACATTATTATTATTAAATTAATTCAAATAACTGGAAAATGGATTTCTTTTTTAGAAAAAAAAACACTATTTATAGCGTACACTAGTTATATCAGCATTATTTCCCACACCTACGCAGCTTTTCAGTGAACAGAAATTTCCTTAATAAATTTCGTTGATAACATCTAACAGATAGTTAATTACATATATATTATATGTATTTCCATTAAATTTCCTTTAAACTCAATGTATTATCTAATAAGTAATTAATTAGTGTTATGTAATGACTTATAAATTGTAAACGTAGTGAGCATAGTATTATGGTATGCGCTCCTGATGTCGATAGATATAAGTAATACGTATCATCAATCGAAAGTGAAATGTCTGATGGTAGAAAGTTAAGAAGATTGAAGAGAAGAGAACGAGAACTTTGAATGATTGTTGTGGTAACGAAGGAACAATGAAGTCTGAGATAACTGATTGACATTTTGCACATGAATTATTTACTATATGATTCTCAGATTTTACTAATGGATTCAGTAATATTGTATTCAAATACATTTGATTGTCCCCATTTGTGTTCTTGTTCACTACAGTATCGGTCAACATTTTATGTAAGCAAAATGACACATTTGAATGATTAAAAAACAACTCACAATTCGTAATTATAAAAAAAATCTCATGAATAAAAGGTAATTAAAACATAAACTTTAGAACAAAATGAAACGGTGCAATTGTTTGATGACTATTGAACAGTTGGAAATCATTCATGCCAAATTGTTGACGTAGTATATTTAGCTAAACTGGTAACATGAATTGTTCATCAACAGTTTTTATTATGATGAATCGGAATGATTATTCATCTTCAGTGAAGGAATCTATTTTCAACGAATTTATTATCAAGTTTCACATTCGTATATATATATATATATATATATATATATATATATATATATATATATATATATATATATATATATATATATATATATATATATATACGAATGTACAGCTTGGTAATAAATTCGATGAAAAGAGATCCCAATGTTGTTCTACAAGGGTGAGAGGAAAACAGTTAGGAGTATCATACTTGAACATCTAATCGACTGTAATCATTCTATTGATCCATAGTTTGATTTTAAGGTTGCATATACTATTCGTCCAAATCTATCTAGATTTCTTCGTATCCAATTCCCAAAATAGACGAATCTCTTACCACCCATGAGCTGAAATCAGAACTATGCATACAAAAGAAATACGTTTTATTGTTATCGTTACCTTGGCCTTACTTATCATTGTTACTGCATTTCTCCCTTTACTTGTGTTTTATATCCTCATTATCTTCATCCTATTGTGATATAATTTTAATCACTGAAATGGAAATTTGATTTTTATTTACTGTCAAGAAACTTGTATCTTTATTCTTTCTCATTTCATTGATACATACAATACACGGCTCATATTGTGAATAATCATTCATTTCATAATTAACCTACGTATGACTAATAAACGTATAATCATGATCATTCAACAAATCATGTCTGTTTTTATTTTGTACATAGTCAGTTCACTTGTTCTTATTTGAATGAATGCACATTGAAACTTTAGCATATCCATGCATAAAAACTTTACATTGACAATTACATTGTAATGAATATTAATAATAGTAATAATAATAATAATAATTCCAGTATAATTGATATCAGATTAATAGTGAAACGTAGAAAGTGAATTTCATCCTATTTGAGATTCGTTATCTAAATGTACCTATGTCCTGTTGTATATGTTTACATTAAGATTCGAACATTATACTTTTTACTGTAGAAGCCAGCCCGTTATCTCATTGAGCTACTGAATTCAGATACCCACAAAATATTTCAAGAGTTATCGAGTTATTAACAATAGTTTGTAATGTCTCATAGTTTACAGTCAGAACTGTTAATAATCACTGCTTTTTTTAAGAATATATATTGAGCTTGAACTAACTGCTTTCATCATAGTGTATTATATCACAAGCATTAACATACTCAATATATCGCTATGGATGGAATTCAATTGATGATTTCCAAATAAAACAAAAAAGTATGTCCTAAATTATTTAATAATTATTATAGAATACCTAGTAACAATGAGAAATCAAATATTTCTTGCCCCTCCCCCCCCCGGTTTCCATCAATTCTTCAAATATTATTAGTATGTCATTTTCAAATAGACATCTGTGAAGCAGATGGTGACTTAACTGTTTCACAATGTCCACTACAAAAGTTTGATATTTTTGTCGATAAGTATTTGATTGGCTTAACTAAAAAACAAAAGAATCTTCCTAGATATGGACATTTTCTAAAAGTGACAAATATACAGAGATCTTAGAAAATTTTAATATAACTTAATTTAATGGTTGAATTGATGAGTCAATTGAAGTTAGAAAACCATGGAAAATTCGGAAGCACTGGATGGCCGTTTCGTCCTAGTATGGGACTCCTCAGCGATGTGCATTCACGATCCCGCCTAGCAAGATTTGAACCTAGGATCTATAAATTTTCCAGTTCTTCCTATCAGTACTTCCAGGTTTTCCATGATGGTTTAACTCCGATTAACTCATGAATTCAACTATTAAATATCAATTTCAATGGTTAAGATCATGAGTCAGTTGAATCTAGACCACCATGGAAAATCTGGAAGCACTGGACGGTCTTTTCTTCCTATTGTAGTACTTCTCGGCAGTGCGCATCCACAACCTCACCCCCTGTGAGACTCGAGCCAAGGACCTACTGGTTCCGCGGGCGAGCACATAACCACTAGACCACTGAGCCGGCATCTAACGGTGTATATGTCTAACTTCAACTAATCCACGAAATTGAGTGACACTTATTTATAATAGTGTTTTTTAGTGAATCGCATTTAGTTAAATGATCAGTTAATAGTTATTTTGTGACTATTACTAATTATAACATTATGGATTAAACACAAAAGTTGTTCTTCTTCGTAGTTCCACAGTCATGAATTGAGAAATTATCGTTATTATTAGTAGTAGTATCATTAGTACTACTATTATAGATTGGCTTCATTCAATATCATATATTAGTACAGTATAAAATTCTCAGCACAAGGTACTGCAATAAGTTTCTTTTACAAAAAAAAGAAGGTGAAATAAACTTATAACTGCAAACATGTACATACGTTAAATGTATAGACTTCCTGGAATTAAATGAAGTGTTTTTTTTAAAAAGAAGATTTGAATCTGTATAACGTCTTAGTTATAAACATATTTAATAATACATGTTATTGACTAGGTCGACCCTAACAACCTGTTCGTCATATGATATATTTGTCATATAAGATATTGCAGAGCATTTATACCTTTGCTTGCCTGTATGGATTATAATGTATTGGCATCTCGTTTTACCAGAAGATATACAAGGAGATAGATATGAATAAAGTGGATAGATAACAACTGCCGGAAGTTTTCAAGACTTTAGATATCTAGCCGTATATTAATAATGACTTGAAAAGATTCCCTACACACTCTGTTTACTACCTTTAGTACTCTCCACATTACAGTAGTCTTTTCTTAAAAGTCCGGAATGAATAATGGAGAACAATAAAGAATAATAGATAATATGCAAGAATCGACAAATTATGAAAACAAATGTTGATTAATCCCAAAGGCATGAAGCCTCTTTATGTAATAAGTCAGATGGGAAAATTTCTTCAATAACAATAAAACATAAGAAGACCAAGAAAAATCAGAGGAAAAATTTACTCCAATATAATTGACCTTCAACACTTTGTTTATCAAAGAATCTTCAGTGGTACAAGCATTCTGGGATTGCAATAGAGTGCTTAGGTGTTGTTTATGTTTCATGCTAAAGTTAACAGTTCGATATTTAGACGGGTTAATTGCGAGACCATTAACAACAGACCAATATTCAATACAAGACAAGGACTCATCCAAGAATCCAACTATTAAATTTAGATATTTGTAAACTCAGTGAAGCAACATTGAAATCCTAGAATCTGAATATTTAAGAAGTAACTGGATAAAGTGATCCTTATGCAAATGACTTTTGTATTTATCAGTAGAAATGGATTACACTGTTTGATAACATTACAGAATACTTTGACTTTTTATAATGAGATGAAAACTAAGACACTTGAAAATTGTGTAACAAAGTGATAACTACTCATGAGTAGCATAATTATCTAACACAAATGTGACAACAACTAGTAGTTAACACCACATACTGATCATTGTTAAACAACCTTTAGAAATCAGAAAATAACTGAACAGATGTTTGATCCTATGATTGAAATAATCGGCAATGTACATCCATAGCGGCAGTGAAGATGAAACTTGGAACTTTTGATCTCACAGATTGCACTTAACCTCTAGACTTATAATTTACGTAGTTACACAGAGTAATTTCAAATAATTTATTAAACAGTAACTAGTTTACTTTTACGAATTTTTTTCTGTTTTATTTTTCAGATCAGCTACCTCGTTAGGGTAAGTTTCCTTTAAAGTAATCCAGTATCAATAATCTACTAATATAAGTCAACTGTTTTGTATAGTTAATAAAAAAAAGAAATGAAATTAGGATCAAGAAAGGATAAGAGGTTGAACGTATCATTATCGCCGACAAATTTTATGCTTGAACTTGTAGATCCCCAATTCAATATAATTGCTCAAATTTCAATTTTTTTAGACTTATCTAAGTTTGCATGTGGTAAAGAATATAGTACATTGTCTAATAACAATACAATGACATTTAGCTTTAAGGCAAAGGGAATAGACTGCTATAAATTAAGAAAAGAGGCCTGTACTACAATTATTTCTTTGATACCAATGAAGATCATGCTATTACTAAGATTGTTAGTTCAAATAATTTGATATTTGTTTTGTCTATATATATATAGCAGTGAACGTTTGGACACAATTTTATTGTGAGCCAAATACCTAAACAAAGCGCTATGTTAACAGCTAAATACAATCCCTTTTATCTGAATGAATGAATTATTGCCTAAAACCTTAAAAAGTTTGTATGCTAAAGTTGTAATATTATTGTTCAAATTGATAGTATTTCTGATTAAAACAGAGCATATAGTTGTGGTATGAGTGTTTACTTACGCCTTTTACTCCTCGTGGAGGAGCATCGGTCACCAACCAGTACTTGCCATCCAATCGTGTCCTGGACAAACCTTTCCAACTCTCTCCAGTTCCTATTGATCCATTTCATATCTGCTTCTATTTCCAGACGTAAAATGTTCTTTGGCCTTCATCTTACCCGCTTCCATTCGGGATTCCAAGTTAAAGCTTGCGTCGTGATGCAGTTTGATTTTCAGTTTGTTTTCAGCGTAGACTCTACTAATATCACTATATATGACACTTAAGTATAATGACTGACAAAATTGTTAAAGTAAACTAAACACTCATTGGTAAGCAAGGGCCGCATTCCTACAATTGAAGAATATATGGAACTCAAAACAACTTTTAACCAATATCAAAGTCAGAATCTTCAATACTAACGTCAAGACGGTTCTACTGTACGGAGCTGAAAATTGGATAACTACTACAACCATCATCAAGAAGGTACAAGTATTTATAAACAGTTGTCTATGCAAGATACTCGACATCCATTGGCCGGATATCATCAGTAACAGACTACTGTGGGAGTGAACAAACCAACTTCCATCTGAAGAGGAAAGTGGGGAAAGACGATGGAAATGGATAGGACATGCACTACGCAAATCATCAAACTGCCTCACGAAGCAAGCTTTAACTTGGCATCCCGAATGGAAGCGGGTAAGATGAAGGCCAAAGAACATTTTACGTCTGGAAATAGAAGCAGATATGAAATGGATCAATAGGAACTGGAGAGAGTTGGAAAGGTTTGTCCAGGACAGGATTAGATGACAAGTGCTGGTTGGCGCCCAGTGCTCCTCGACGAGGAGTAACAGGCGTAAGTAAGTAAGAATATGATCTAAATGATGATCTTGAAACAAATAGTTACACGATTATTAATCTTATGATTATTGGTTTTAATAAATAATACTGTCATTCAGTCTTATAAAATGAACTAAATTTCATAATTAAGTTGTGTTACTATAGCAACAGACGTGCAATTAAATTTGTTCACATTTAAATTGGTTAAGTCATTTTGTTAACTTATTTAACAGATAGAGTCTTTGTACAACAACAACAACTTATCTATAGCATTTTATCTTTATTATTGTTGAGATTGTATGAACATGTATGCTTGAGCATTCCTTACTGCTTAGCATATATTCATCCTGCTAGGCTTACCATTAGTTGTTTAATTGATTAGATGATTTATTTATTACTCTCTCTCTCTCTTTATATATATACTCGACTCACTGAATCACTCATTCTCCTTTTCTGCTTTGTGGTCTGAGCTATCTGCTTATAAAACTGTAGTCTCTGATTCCCTTTGCCTTCTGATATTAAACACCTTTGAGGTTTATCTAATAAGGGTTACGAGGATGATTGATTAACAAAGCATAGCCACTACATTACTTTAACTAAGCCATAAACAATCGAATAACAATAGAAATGTTCATTTAAAATATTCATTTAACATGATTGATTTTAATCCCTTTTTTTGGTAATCACGTTTTTTTCCCAGACGAATTGGTACAAGTACATCAGCAAAGAATTTAAATACTATAAAGTCGTTACGTGTACTACGTGTTCTTAGACCATTGAAAACAATCAATCGTGTGCCAAAATTAAAAGTTAGTTTGAAAATCTTAATATTTTCTTATAGGATTTCATGTAGCAGAAAAAGGGAAAAGTTTTTTTGTTGTTGATGTATAGTTAGTTTATATAGAATTAATAATCATGATTTCTGTTTTTTTCCCTTCTATTCAGTCATTCTTTCACTAATAAACATTTATCTTTAACTATGTCTGAAATGGTTTGCCATTATTGATGGTTCAACTGTTTTCTTGAAAATTACTTTACCATTAAAGACAAATAGATCTATATTTTCAGAAGGGGTTTTGTAGAGATTTTAGAAATTTCATTAGTTGAACTCATGGTTCGATTGAAGCTAGACCACCATGGAAAACCTGGAAGCATTGAACGGCCGTTTCGTCCTAGTATGGGACTCCTCAGCAGTGTGTGAAACGGCCGTCTAGTGCTTCCAGGTTTTCCATGGTGTTCTAGCTTCGATTGACTTATAATTTCAACCATTGAAATATCTATATTTATTAGTGAGATATTGGAAGCTTTCGAATTCAATGCTGTTCATAAATTTAACACAATCGTTTCAGTTTAATTTCCTAAGATCAAAGGATTCAATAATGACTAGTATTAAAATTCAATGTTATTTACAGCAATCAGAAGCATTAAATCGGATGAAGTGAATATCCATTTTACCTAACCATAAGCAAATAGAAATTAACCATTATCATCTCGTAGATCTTGACTTTCCATATTCCTTCATAGATCTTTATTTTTATACACTAATATTCAGCGTTTAGTCTGTATCACTATCATTAATCAAACTGTTATCTCAAATTCTTATCAATTCATCTCCTTCATTAGTATGACAACGTCTTTTCTCACATTTTTGCTGCAATCTACATTGATGATATCTGATGATCAAACAATAGTCAATAGCAATAGAACTGGACATATATCAGATTATGTGAACTCTATGATTTTAATTTGTGAAATGAGTTCAAATAAGTTTTGTGATGTCGCTCTTAATGACTATTGGATGTTTCAAATCATATAAATCAGCATGTAGTAACAATCTTACGATTAATTTTGATAACGGTTAATCTCTGTCACTCCCTTTCATCTGACAGACAATGTTATCGACATAGTAACAATTTTTTTATTTTTTTTGTATCTACGTAAACGTGTATATTTGAACGTATATTACAGCCTACACATACTTCTGTATAACTTGAATCTTGATTGCTTAAATATAGCTTCATGTATTATTCTCCCTCCCTCATATATATGTGTTTGTACTATAAAAACAAAGTGTACTTTGAGATGGTGGAGAAGATTTGTAGCTCAGGTGGATGATTTTGTTGGAGTTTTGTTCTCTGAGCTGGATGTTTTGGTCATGGAGCTTTCATCGTTCTTGTGAACGACATCATCATATATGGAGAAATTCGAACACTTCTCTGAGCTGATAGAAATTTGTGCTGATGACGTCGTTCAGAAGAACGATGAAAGCTCCGCGACCAAACCATCCAGCTCAGAAAACAAAACTCCACTAAAAGTGTACTTTAATTCGCCGTGTCTTTATCTGATATGACTATAAATTTGCCTCTATATTCGCTTGCAATGATTCGTTGGCCTTTTTCCTTTAAATTCGCTTGATATGTTTGTAATACTATGGTATATGAGACCAGCAAAAATTGTAATCCCAGCTTCTTATCGCCTTCTGAATTCAATCGCATGGAATCCCCTTTAATAACGGTTTTCAGGGTGAATAATTAACGAAGCTATGCTCATTACAAAAAGTGATAAGCCCAATATGTGGACACAACTAGATTTATGGTGATATAATACGAACTTACATAATTCAATATACTGTACCCTATTAGAAATATACTACAAATTACAATTGATTGATCACTGGGTGGTTATCAATGTCATGTGTGTCAAGTCCTTATTTAGTGCAGATCGAATGCTATCAACCATGTTGCAATTTGGCCACCAGTCTAGGTGACGAGTGCCAAGTAGCACGAAACCCAGATCCAGGGTTTCTTATCGACTACTTCCAACTACCATCTATACTACAAATTATTTTCTTTGTAAATTTGTTCATTTACAAACTTATTAACAAATTATTTTTGCTTTATTTATCATCTATTTCAGGCTGTATTTGATTGTGTAATCAGTTCACTTAAAAATGTTTTCAATATTTTAATCGTCTATTGGCTTTTTCAATTCATTTTCGCCGTCATTGCTGTTCAATTATTTCAGGGAAAATTTTTCTATTGTAATGATGTTTCTAAAATGACAAGAGATGATTGTCAGTGAGTAATTGAATTATTATTATTATTATTACTAATACTAGTTTTCCGCTTTCACCTAATCTAGTCTATTGCATATAAAGAAGTCTTGATGTGCTACCTTCTCTTGTTACAACTTGCCTACTGTTTATTTAATATATTTTGTTAGATTCTAGGAAATAAGATGTTACATCAAACATCCTAAACGAGTATTTATCAGAGTAGACATATATGAATGAATATCGATACATACACAAGAATGTGAATATTCATTGTTAAAAAATAACAATGAAATATGTATGGAGTCTCTTGATTTAAAATGTACTTTAGCCTTTCAGATATTATCTTTTTCTTCTCTCTCTCATCAGTTGTCATCGGTAATTATACAGTATGACGTGAATTTGATTCGAAAATCAGAAATCATTGATGTTACATTTGTACCTAATGAAAAGAAAAGTAGTTTATGTCACTCAGTTTAGGAGAGTTGTAGATAAGTAGGGCATTGTTTTTTCTTAGCTAAAATATTGTCGTTCTACTTATTATTGATTGAGAGGGTTTGTATTATTCCATTATTAATATTGAGGACCAAGGTTGGTCAATCATTGCTGATGATATGGGAATCATGATAGAATAACTGGATTCCGTTTATACTTACAAACTGAATATATATTTTGATTAAGGGATAATGGTTGAATGATGAACGAATTTTTAAATGCGACGGCAGGATTTATGTATTGTATTGTTTGAGTTATGAAGCTTTGAAACATAGTATTTGAGAGCACTACTAGGATATGGAGGAAAATAGAAAAGTGATTGGCCACAATTCGTGCGAATAAACATAAAAAAGTGGCACATAAACAATAACTGTCATACTCAGATTCATAAACGGAGCTAATTGTATAGAAAAGACGTTGAGTGAGATTAATTTCAAATGTTAAACGCGAACAAAACAAAGAAGGTCGGACATTTGTTCGTGCCAACTGTGCATCGAGGTATTTTATAAAAGCTGTAATCAATAGATGATGTATTGAGATGAATTCTCTGTGACTTTATATAATATTAAATATTTTAGCTCCGAGTATATTTTCATACTAGCTCACACAGTTTCTTCAAAATGAAGTAAACAATTATGTTAAATTCATTGAACTACTTACACATTTGTTAGTAGTCCATATGTCTGTAACTAAATAATTTGCATTAAAATGGTTGTGTTACTTTTATTTAAATTTAGGGGCCAGTTTATTGACTATAATGATCGGGGTGATCCATTCCTTCAGAATCGCACATGGCGTACACGCGACTTTAATTATGATAATGTAATTCATGCAATACTTACACTATTCACAGTGACAACTGGTGAGGGGTGGCCAGCGTAAGTAATTAACTTCTTAATGAATATACTTACTTTCCTTTGTAATTCATTGTTCAGTTATTGAGGATTCATAGTTCTAAGAATTCACCATTATTAGGAAGGTCTTGACTTTTATAATTTCACAGACGATAAATGATATAATACTTGGATATTTTGATTCCTCTATTTAGTTTGAAATACTGATCATGTTTCAGGTAAGATTACAAGAAAATTCGTTATCTCATTCAAATTGTTATTCCTAGTTTTCTTAGTTTAAAATTACTGATGACATTGATCCTGATCTAATATTTGAGATTACAGCTTAGCTGTCATAAACCCAGCTTTAGTGTGCAGTAGAATTTACAGGAAATCGTCACTAATTTCCACAATACTTCATTATTAAGCGAACCGTTAAAAAGATTTCTAAATCCTCGAATATAATGTGTTTGATCGTTTTCACGCAGTGTAGAGAAAGGTTAGGGGTTATACATGTATTCTATCCTTTAATGGTAGAAGTTTGCCACCAGGAATTTATAGTTACTAAAAATTTATTTGTTTCAAATGGATTCTTAAAACGTACAGACTAAGGTTTAACACTGAAAAATTGGTACCTGCCAATTTAGATTTTATGAAGACTTTCGGCTAATTTCTTTGGTCATCTGCACTTAGAATTTTCAGATATTAGATACTATAACAACGTGATTTTTAGGAGAATTTTTTTATGTAGGAGCAAATGCGTTTCACTCATGTTTACAGACAAAAGACGGTAATAAAACTGATTACATTTGAATATCAGACACACGAAGGAATCTATAAATCAGCTCTTATTTAATGAACCGGATATACACTTATTTTCATTTATTTAAAATCAGTCTCCCAAAACCCACATAAGTTATAAACTTACACTTGAAAGCCAGGATATAGGATTACCATGTATATAAGAGGTCATATTTCAAATATTATACCCATTTTAGATTGGATATACAACTCCGCCTGGAGTCTCTCCGAGGGCTACTGCCGGTCCTGAAATTCATAAGTCTGTATTTTACAAACTCTAGATCTAAACAAAGGAGACGTTGACGATCATCAAAAAATCGTACAACACTAATTTGGAGGAATACCACTATTCAAAATTGAGTAATCTATTCATAAAAAGCACTTCACATTTAAGTGCTTCGACATAAACTTCCTCAATTACATGTAATTGTTTGATCATAAAGATGATGTCTGAAAAATATGGAAATACTGAACGTCAAAAGATCATCATAGAAATTTATGATGTAGCTCTAATAATATACTTATCTTGAATAGGTTAAATTCACTTCTGTGTAACAATGAACTAAAATGAGATAGTTTTGAGCTTTAAACAACCTATTTAAAATTATCAGAATCACTTTTCACTTTCCTCGTCGTAGCGTAGTCAAGTTTCAGGAATTGTGGGTTAGCTTCAATAGATGATATATTTTATTAGTACTAAGAATGACACATTTATAGTACTATTTATGAGATTGGGTTAAAGTCTGACAGTTGTTTAGGATTTCGGAATTAAGCGTCTGAAGAGTTACATTATTAAAAATACTTTTATTTCACTTTGAAATATTTCAGTTGATGTGAATGTCGTCGCTTATGTACAAACTACTTCTTGTATAAAAGTGTTTCTTTTCAGAAAATACCTAATTCAGAAGGTTAATTTAAAAAAGAATTTTCAGTAATATATTACTTGTTTTTGTCCAAGGGAATACTTAGCCGAAAACTTGTTTTCCGTTCAGTGTTTAGGTCCAAAATATACAAACTTGAGGTAAATTAACGAGACTATTCAAATAAACGTCTGTTGGATTATTCGACGACATGTATCTAAATTCGAGTTTTTAAAATGTAGAGATGAACTACTTACTATTTATTAAGTAATCAAAAATACAAATCAAAATAATGTTGACATGATGCAAATAGGATGTATACAGCGTGATAAAATTCTTGCATTGTTTCATATGCTTATTTGATAGAACAAAAATCGTTGAGTCTATGGCAGACATATAATGTCATAGGTGATCGCATTTAGTGAAAGAACAAACAATCACCTATGGTATTTATCAGGTCTATTTTTCAATATTGCTCAATTTTAAGGGATATGTTATCATTAGAGTATAGTGGTAACAAAAATGCTAATACTATTATTGATAACAATAACGGCCATGATCATAAAGGTCTTATTCAGTACTATACGTTTAGTTGGATGTAGTATTCTCAGCCTATAATATTATAGTAAAAAAAGAAGCTACTATTAATATCTCATTCTAATGATAGCGCTTAAATCCTTTAAACCAGCAATTCATGTTGAAAATTATCTTTCAATAGTCAGTCAGATGCTTTCATTGAAACAGTCAATCATAGTTATGAATAAAGTTTTATTACATAATAAACCTACTGCAATTTGATTTTTTTTGTTTTTTTAAATATCCACTTGTTACTGAAAAGCACCTAAAGTTATATATATAACTACTTTGAAGACGAAATGACTTAGTTCATATCGCAATATAAAAGCCATATTTAGTGGGAGCCTGCTTTAATGTAAAATCTACGTGTTCCTATCATCTAGATAGTTCAACAAGTTATCTGTTTTCGTATGTTTATGAGTAGTTTACAACCCTTCGCTGTACATTTTACAAAAATGTACAATTAGAAACATCGTGGTGATTGGATATATGCATTGAAAAGAATAAACATTATTCAGATATTGATTCCTGAACTGCTAATATCTAATTGTCAATCACTCAATATATTATCGTCAGGAACAATCGAGAAATAAGTAAAAGGAAACTTGTTGAAATACTTTGTTCTGAGAATTGTATATTGTAATAAAAACTATAATATTGCATAAAGCTATTAAGAATAATTCGAATTCATTAAACCAATGAACTTGGAAACAAAATCTCTATTGCTTTAATCCACTTGGCTTTGTGTTACTTTTATTTTATCATTGTTGTTTAGGACTGCGATTGATGAGTCTCCTGTTGACACATGTGCATCCCATAAGTAATGTCTCGATTTCGCCTTAAGTCACAAACTTCATAAGCAAAGATGAACAGTAGCTAGCAGAGGAAGCCAGGACGCGCGTTTCGTCCTATTTTGTACTCGTTCGCTGGATGTGCCTGCATCTCAGAGTTGATGTTCACTTAAGGACTCGAACATCAACCCTGGGATGCAGGCCCATATATCTTATTCTAGCTTTCATACAGGCCAATCCATTCATTCTAGTTGAGTAGTATTCCGACCGTGTTAATTATTTGCTTATCAACCTTGACTGTTCTTATATGAGCGCGTAGGTGTGTGTACACTTCTTATCCTATTCATCACATGTCTGTAGCCTATTTTTGTATGCCTATAAATATTGATTAACGCCTGAATAAAGGGGGTTGGCTTATACGCCATCTCTGTTGCGTGTCGTTTCGCTTCATAAGCAAAATATATGTATTCAACAGTTCATTCTCCTTATTTGACTTATTTAATTCCATTATTGACTAACGCGATTTAAGTCGATAATTATATACGAGAATAAATGACATATATATTTCAATAACAATCATTCAAACGATCGAATTGGAGTCAAATCCTGAGCCACTAAATTGGAGAGCCCGTCAACAAACAACGTCCAATCTAAATGATGACAAAATAAAGAGCCCCACATTAGTACTATGTAAAGTTGTAGATCTGTCTATCATTCCATTCCATTCAGTTAATACCACTTCACGTAAAACCATTTTTATTCTCAATACTTTGTTTCATTCATCAATATTATCAACATTTTATTACTCTATTAAACATAACAAACATTTTAACACTATTTATGTACGTTTGATTGTGTTTCTTTTTGTTGTTGTTGTTCTTATATAGAGTACTTAGGAATTCTATTGATTCAACAGTTGCTGATCGTGGTCCATCACCAGATTTTCGTCAAGAAATGGCTATTTTCTATGTGGTCTTCTTTATTGTATTTCCATTCTTTTTTGTAAATATTTTTGTGGCACTTATTATTATTACTTTTCAAAATCAAGGTGAAAATGAGCTAATTGAATTAGATTTAGATAAAAATCAAGTGAGTAGTATTTTTATTTTTAATAAAATAATTTATTATGTCAATTTTCAATATATAGATAAGCTGATGGGGAAAAAAAGAGACGACGGTCAGTAAAGGAATCTCTTTTCAACGAATTTATTATCAAGCCAAGGTAACGATAAAAATAGGACGTACTTCTTTTGTATGAATAGTTCTAATTTCAGCTCATGGGTGGTAAGAGCTTCGGCTATTTTCGGAGTTGGATACTAAAAATTCTAAAGAGATTTGAACGAATAGTATATACAAACATAAAATCAAACTATGGATCAATAGAATGATTACAGTCGATTAGATGTTCAAGTATGGAACTCCTAACTGCTTTCCTCTCACCCTTGTAGAAAAACATTGGAAACTCTTTTCATCGAATTTATTACCAAGCTGTACATTCGTATATATATGTATATATATATATATATATATATATATATATATATATATATATATATATATATATATATATATATATATATATATATGAAAATATTTTGTTAAAGTGCTAGTTCCATGAGGAAGTGTAAACAAGAAATAACCAAGATGATGTTATAGAAAGATTATAATACTAGATTAGGCAACAGGAATAATAAGAATAGTCTTAATAAGTTAGTAACGATTATTACGTTGTATATACGATTCGTCCAAATCTACCTAGATTTCTTAGTATCCAACTCCCAAAATAGCCGAAGCTCTTACCATGCATGAGTTCAAACCAGAACTATGCATACAAAATAAGTACATCCTATCGTTATGGTTACATCGGCCTTAATTATTATTATTATTATTATTACTGCATTTCTCCCTTTACGTATGTCTCATATTCTCAATATTTTATTCAATATTGCTTATGATAACACTTCATTTATTTCACACCTCAATTACCTTTACCTACAATTATGAAAACAAGTACATTTTAATCATCTTACTACATTCACTTTATAATTCGTTACTAACTTATGAAGTCTATTCTTATTATTCGTGTTACGAAATCTAGTATTATTATCTTTCTATTACATCATCTTGTTTATTCCTTCTTCACATTTCCTCACGGAGCTAGTACTTTAACAAAAAGAACGTACAGCTTGATAATAAATTCGTTGAAAAGAAATCCCTTTACTCAACTTCGTGTTTTTAATGTGTTTAAATAGGAATTATCTGTCGATTGATGAGAAATAACTATGTTACATGATAATTTCTTGTATTTAATATGTTTACAAACAAACTGTTTGTTTAGATTAGCTAAAAATGAAACCTGGAATATATTTTTCCATCTAATTAGAATTTTATCACTCGAACCAAATACCGTTCAATTCAAACACTATCGCTAATTACTGCAGGCGATATTTAGGCAATTCGCACAGCAAACGCATATGGTAATATGAAACTGATCAATTGCACTTCCAAGCGTCAATCGGAAGATTCAAACAGTCAATATAAAAATGAAACAAAACTTCACTCCCCCAAATGCCCTGGTACGGCCGAGAGTGGGAAAGAGTCCGCTTTCCCTCTCGAAATGCCCTCACATGGCCACGCGTATATAGCCTCTGCCAGGGAAGTCCTACTCACTGCCTTCTCGTGGCGGGGGTGTTGTTTACGAAAATGAGAGGACGAAAAGCGAATGTCTGGCGCTTTAACCGGATTCTAAATCAATGGTGCACATGGGCTCCAGTATCCAGAGGGAACAAATGGCGTATGAACCAATTGTTGATCACCGGCTTCCATGGGACTGCATCTGATTACGATGCTCCACTGCCTTGTGGATCAGACCCTCAAGTTGAAGGCTCGGGGTGTGTCCCCCTAAGAAAATCACCTGCTTCGGTCTGGGCTCCCGAGCAGTATCACAGCTCACACACATATGGAATGAGATTTGTGTGGCGCATATGTATTTGGTGCCTCTTTGTACCAATATCTATGTGTTGAAATAATAATAATAATAATAAAAATCACTCCATTGCACAAGCTAGTGGTTATCTGGACTTAGTAGCGAAGTTGATAACGTGATATCGTTTGAAGTGAACAGTTTTTAGTTCAAGTTCCGGAATGAACATCAACTGTGGCATGCCGTTACATTCAAATGACGAGTCCAGAACAGGACAAAACCTGCGTATAATGCTTGTGATTTAAAGCGGTGATTAATATTAAAGAAAATTGAAATGACCATTGAATAGATTACTAATTTCGATTTTATTTAACTATGAATAATCTTTCAAAGACTATAAACGTTTATTTGACTGGCAAATAAAGTAGCTAGTGAATAATCTGTTACATTTCTCCTCAGAAAAGAACATATAACTATTTCAAACACTTTATGTTTCAGAAACGTTGTATTGATTTTGCTATTAATGCTCGACCATTATGTCGGTATATGCCAAAAGATAAACATTCATTGAAATATCGAGTATGGCGTCTTGTTGTCTCGACACCATTTGAATATTACATCATGGTTATGATTGCAATTAATACTTTAATTTTAATGATGAAGGTACGTTTGACTATTTTTATTTTAAAAGAAATATTAATTGTATGTCATATGTTCGGTATACGTTTGAAGGATTTATGGCGTGACTATAATTTGTAAACGAACCAATCAGGTATAAGATAACAGATCTCAAATTTTGGCGCGATCTTCACTCATATATTTGGCTAAATAGGGTTTGGCATTAAAGCTGATGCCAGTTAGTGATGAAAAACCGTAAATCTAATTCCTAACGTTTACCATCAACTGTAAATCATAATTCTAATTCATCCTAATGGTTTATAACCCCCTGGTTATTAGGTGGACACTCTTCAGGTCAGTTTAGCGTCATTCAATGTACGTCCATAAATCATAGTCTCACCGACCATTTTTAATTTAGTTAAAATATATTATACAACTCATAAGACCATAAAATCCTATTCACATTAAGACTTGTTTTCTGTTATTCAATTCATTTAAACTGTTGATGGTTTGTTTTCTTATTTATTAAGTTTAAAGACTGAAACCATTTTGTAGTCGTTATAAAGTATTGTATATAAAAGGATATATGTAAACGTGTTATAACTTTGCTTCGTTAATCAATCAGCATTGTAACTGTTATTATATTAATTTCAACGGTGTTTCAAATCAGAAGGCAATGAGAATCGGCCACTACAATTTATTAGCGGATAGCGCAGATCAAAATCCATAAGCACATCTAACGAATTTGAAGAAGAGAGGCGAGAAATTACATGGGAAAATTTATAGACAAATTGCGTGTGGGCGCAACAAGGCAAAGAAGTATAAATAATCAGATTTCTATACACATATACATGAGCAGAATGAATTATCTAGTGCTATTTAAGTGATCCGGGTCGTACCTCCTGGATAGTGAGACGAATGTTTCATGAACCAACGTGAGCGGTAACCCGGGTGGTGGAGACCGGGCTAATCACCCACTCTACCTATACCCACCAACTGATCACGAACTCCACAGATTTAAGTGATCAAAATTTTAGCTAGAATCTGTTATGTGCTCTAGTGATCATAACGGTAAAAAGAAATATGTGACTTGTTACTATTCAAATAATATTGTCTGTTAAGTAAGTTAATAAAAGAGCTTAACCAAAATTACCCATAATCGAAATTGGTCGTAGGCTAGTTACTATAATCGTACTAAATTGTTGTATATAAAATAACTGAAGTAGAACGCCTCAAAACAGAAACAAAAGTGACAATTCTTTCAAAACATATCAATCTTATAATAAATTTGATTAACATATCCATCAAGATTATATAAATTGCTTAAAACCTATAATAACTGTTCATCCTTCTGATCAGTTTTAAAAGTGACTAATTTCGTCTGTTAATTCAAAATGAAACATATATTATAGATCCTTAAATCACAGTGAAAATAAAGCTTAGAGAGTTATTATCAGAAGGAGTTTTGTGGAGATTGTAGTGATTTCAACAGTTGAAATCATAAATAAATTGAAGCTGGACCACCATGGAAATCCTGGAAGCACTGGACGGTCGTATTTTTTTAGTATGGGACTCCTTTGTAGTGCGCATCCACGATCTTGTCCCCCAAGAGATTCGAAATCGGGACCTATCAGTGTTGCCCGCCAACGCTTAAACTCTAGACCACTGGTCCGGTAGGCATCCAACGGTGGTAATGTTTAACTTCAAACAATCCACGAAATTGCGCCACCGTTCACCATTATGTAGTAGGTCCTCGACTCGAATCTCTTGGGTGGGGTGGCCGCGGATTCCCATACTAGGACGAAACGGCCATCCAGTGCTTCCAGGTGGTCTAGCTTCAATTGACTCATGAATTCAACTATTGAAATTAGAGAGTTATGTAAATAACTCGGCTATAACTGTGACGGCAGCAGATTAGAGGGTATCGAATTTATCGATCGGACCAAAGACGCGCAAACACGTAGAACCGCCTGGGGTTCTGATTGGTCCCGCTTCCCTGTCTAGCCCACTCAGTTGAGTCCAGAACACAAGTCACAGCCTCTGAGATATGAATCATTATATTTCAAACACACTCTGTTTATATACTAATCAAGCAGACCACATCGTACCATAAAATAGAAAATAACATTGTACAATATTGACCAATTACAAAATGACACGTGAAATAAGTACTGACCAGTAAGAAAATAATACCATGTCCAAGTCCAAGAATAGCATTAGACTTTATAGAATAATTTCTGGGATATTTTCCTGAATATCTCTACAAAATAAAAAAGTCGATAGACAAAACTAAATTTTTTATATCTCTCTAGACGTAATGAATTTTCTCCTTAATGTCCGCTACCTAGGTAACGTGCATTTCATATGCAATAAACTGACTGATATAGTCAATCATCAGGTATACGATGAATGTATACTTTAAACTTCAAAACGAATTTTGCTTACAACTGGATATGGTCAATGTAAAATAATCACTGAGCCTAATCCTTGTAGGTAGTTTCTCGATGAAACTAAAGGATTGTTTACTTAAAATTGAAATAAACCACTTAGTATTTTATAACCACTAAATAGACGACACTTTTATTACATTCGTAAGTGTAATCCATAAGATTAATATTCCTAAAAAGACTTAACAATACTAATCCATTTATTCTTCGTTACATTAGAAGATGAACGGAATAATAACGTCAGAATATTAGATATCTTTTTAATGTAAAGATCTAATCGAATGTTAAAAAGAACTATGTGTTGGAGATCATCATTATTTAGTCAATAAACTTATTTTCTATACTTCTCAGGTACGTAATAAATCAAGCAATGGATCTAATATATAATACCAAACTTATTTGCTTCTATAAGACCACTGAATATATTCTAGATACTTTCTTTAACGTACTCTGTATGACTAAATAATCTAGACCAAGACAAAGTCGTAGAAAATCACAACATCTCAGAAACATGTATTTCAAAAATTATGGCTTATAAACGATAATATTATTGAACTAATGACTTAACAGGTGGAGAAGGATTTGTAAAGATTAGATATATGTCGTATTCTACAACCCTGATTAAGACCAGAAATAAGTATATGCCACTTTTACACTGTTTAATTTAAGTGAATTAAACCATTTAGCTAACCCATTGAGTTAGTTATTTCATGTCTACGGTTAAGTAAGTTAAACACTAAATTTCTGAACATTATCCTAAATGGTTAAATAGGGGACAGTTAAGATTAAGCAACCGTTTTATACTTTCTCACTTAGTTGAAACAAAACGTCAAGTGGACATAAACAACGCCTTTCAAATCATCAACAGCATTTCAAAAATTTAGTTTATAATTTACACGTACCTCTTTTGCAAATGCTGAATCCATTGCCTTCCATCTTAACTAACCTGACCTCTTTATACATAAGAAATTTATACAACCGGCCTCCTCATATTGATCAACAAAATAAATAGTACTAGACTAGGTTGATAATGACTAAGTACACTCTCATTGTTGTGTTTTCTTTCTCAAAACATTCAATCTTTTTTCGTTGCTGCATGGTTGTAATGTTCATTTTATCTTCAAGTTACTGTAATCTATATTGTACCTCCTATTAGAATTACGTCTGTTCTTTTGTATGATAATAATGGAATCTATCAATTCTATAATTTGATGCTTCAATCTATTCATTTATTAATTAACACCAATAAGTATTAGTTGCTTTATTCATGTCATCTACTAATTATGTTACTACTTCCAAGTGAATTCTGTGAATATAACAATATACAAAGAACAACATAGTATGAATATCATACCTTTCACAAGTATTATCCCCAGTGACTGATTACAAGACGAAGTAAATTCATTGAAATTTTAATATTGTTTTATCAAATGGATACAGAACATAAAATAGGCAAGAGTTTAACATTTTACCGAAAGTAATAATTAGCATTTCAAAGGTTTTACATCAATGGTAGAGAAGACTTGTGGCTCAGTTGGATGACTTTGATGGAGTTTTGTTCTCTGAGCTAGATGGTTTGGTTGTAGAGCTTTCATCGTTCTTCTGAACGATGTCATCAGCACAAACTTCTATAAGCTCAGAGAATAAAACTCCATCAAAATTTTACGTCAAGATTTATGATACATAGTCAAGGTAATAACCACTAGAATTTCCTAATCAAACGTATCTCTGTAACAAAAAAATCGTTCGTTTAGACCGTTTCATTCCTAAGCGATTCATCAAATATTATGTCACAAGTATAATCATTTTAGTCGGGAAATAATGAATGTTGACTCTTATTATTTTTTTTATTATCGTTATATTCAAACTTCTTTTACACATTATTCACGTAGCTTGTTAATTATTCATTCATCTTACTCCATACATAAATATTCCTAATAAACTATGTATGTATAATCCCATAGTATAATGATTATTATCATTAATCTTATCCGGTAATTTATTTAGTTGTATTAGAATTCCATTTATTCAACTGATTTAAATGTTCTGTACAACTATTTATATCTGTCAACGTAAAGTCTAACGAGAAATTACTGTTATAACTTGTGGTCTTGTGCCCAATTATTACATAACGTAATGATACCGCCAATTAGAGAACAGTGATTTATCCACCAAACCAATGACGCATAAAGCCGTATGTGAAGTCTAGAGTCCTTAATGTTCCTTCTTCCTACTTAGCCCTGACTGTTAAGTTCAGAACATCAATCTCAGCCTCTGTGATATAAATCATGTATTTCCAACACATTGGGTTTATATACAAACCAAACAGACCACATCGTACCATAAAATAGAAAATAAAATTTATACAAGTTCTAACCAAAAGTGGCTGTGAATGTGGGAGCCTGTAGTTAATAAATTGGGCATAACTCAAGAACAGCAAATCATATAATAATAGTCTATAGGTCAAAATAAAGCTTATAATAGGAGAAACATGTATATACATAGTTTAGCGACTTAATTATACAGTAGAAATATATGTATCGTATCGTTCCATAAATAGTTCTCAAAAGTTACCATTCATAATTCTCATCGGGATATAACAGTTAACAATCATAAATATTTCCTCCAATTAATTTTTCATTTTATTATGATGGAAATATTCAGGTTATATAAAACTTGGCGCTGAATAGTAAATTGGCACTGACAGATTATTACTAGTTTTGTACTTAAAGACATTTCATCAGGTTTCAACTCAGTAAGATTATTATACACTTAATTGTGTTTATATGTAAAGGTTTCCCCGAGGTCGACTAGCTGAAAAGACAAGGATATAGCCTTTCAAACGAATTTTAACACTTGAAAAGGTGAAATTATTATTATTCATTCTCAGAGTTTTAGTGAGAAGCCATGACTTGTAGAATTCAATCATATTGAGTATGAAACAATTAGTCAACAATAGTTTTAGGAGGTAATTGCAAAATATCACAAATAGATCGGGTTCTAAGCCATTTTATGTCGACTCAGTAATCTAAATATTAACCATTTTCCCAGAAATGATGATCCTTTTCTCTGTTACCTGTGAGATTTGTACACGAGTACTATTGAGGAGTCTCAAACTATCATGAAATAGTTTTCCAGTACTTCCTAGTTTTCAATATATGTCTAATCAAGGTCATTTTATGATGTAAACTATAATGTTAATACAACCAATCATAAATACCATATCCTATAAATTGACAGGTAATTTAGTTTTTGAAGAGAAAATACACCATAATAGTTATAAACTACAAAAAACTCAAATAAATTCCCATGTTTTAATTACTCCCAGTCATTAAATGTTAATTGGTTAAACAAGAGTTAAATACTGATGAGTTTGAGACTATTTTTTTCATCGGGAAATACAACTTCCCGTCGCATTTCATTTATATGTTATTTTGTTTTTGGTTGTTGTTTCTTTTTTTGAAAATAAAATTAGTTGTCATGGCATATCCAACTGTATTTTTACAGAGTCTAGATGACAGACCATTTAGTATGTTAGAAAGCATAAATAATGTTATAAACTTATATATGATATACATCGATAATTAATAGTAGATATTTACCAGACACACCAACTATTATGAATAATCAATAGCAAATCTTTTAATTTTCTCTCGTTCGCACGCGAAATTGAAGGTCCTAGGTTCGAATTCCGCGAGATACTTTGTACCTTAATAAAGTCTTGACAGCATTCTAAAAAATGATCATAAGAAATTAAAATCATAATACAGAGAGGGAATTCATGAAATAGGTTCTTTCGTAGAATGTGGAAACTATATATTGAATAATTCATTTGCAAATTCTTCATCAATGGTCTGAAACTTCATCGTTATTACATTTATACTCTTTTTCTGTGCTCTTCGATTCGATTTTCTCAACCTTCTGGTGCCAGGCATTCCACTTCTGATTGGTGTTATATACTACTTATATCTGCTGATCTAAGTAGCATACACCACAGTATGACTGAACCTGTTGTTTTCAGTTGAATGCATGGTCATCACTACTTTTATTTGGTGTTATTCTAAAATTCATTTTGAACTTGATCGAAAAGACTTTTAGCTTGGGTAAATATTCATTCAAATATGAAACTTTCATTGAAATTTTTCACATTATTAACATTTACTTTAGATAGAAAAGAGGATTATTCAACTGTTGTCATATCATTCATTAAGCTTGTGTACAAATTATCTTCATAGTGGAATTTGTTATTTTCATGTATCTTTGCATTCCACTGGTGGGTTCGTGTTTCGATAAACTCTTACTTCTAATTGACTGACTTATAGCTCACAAGTTAACAGATTAAATCTATGTCTAAATGTAGACTGGTTTTAGATTGTATTGAACAATATGCTTCTGGAAATTCTTCAACTATCTTGAAAACAAGATATGAACAATGCGAGTATTGAACAAAATTAATCATTAAACCTGTTCATTAAAAACTGTAGTGTATGTAGTTCATTGTATAATTCGTTAAAACGAAAAAAAACATATTACTGGTGAAAAATTCAGTTAGACATTAATAGAACGCGGGTTGTTTAACAAAAATGTAGTAAAGATAACATAAGTAGAAAATATACAGCTTGATTAAATAAATAACTACGCTAATATTTAGGAATGTTTTTGGCGAGACTCTAATTTAGGGACGAGCCAATCAGAAGCGTTTGAGCAATTTCAAGGTCACGGGGCCAAGTTCAACACGGTCCACAGCGGATTTTAGAGAGGAGGTGATCAATAAGAGGTTACAACAGATGGGACGGCGAGACTCTAATTTAGGGACGAGCCGATCAGAAGCGTTTGAGCAATTTCAATTATTAGCCAATCAGAAGACAATATAAAGTAAAAATATATTAAAAGAAAGTAAAGAATTACAGTGGATATTCTTCTTTTACATGATTTAAAAGCTTGTTAAGGTTTGATAAAGGTTCAGAAGTTCCGAATTCATAATGCATACAGTATAGAAAGTCGTCCATAGGGTTAGGGTTTAGGGTTAGGTTAAGGGCTAAGGTTGGGGTTAGGGTTGTGGCCTCTCAAAAAACAACTTTTCTCTAAAATCCGTTATAAACCGATCGTATGTTAGCACCCTAACCCTAACCTAACCTTAACCCTAACCCTAAACCCTAACCTTAACCCTATGGACGAGTTTCTGTACCATACGCATTATGAATTCAGAACATCTGAACCTTTATCAAACCTTAAAATGCTTTTAAATCATATAAAAGAAGAATATACACTGTAATTCATTACTCTCTTATAATATATTTTCACTTTATACTAACTGTCTTCTGATTGGCTAATAATTGTCAAGGTCATTTAAGATTCGTTCAAAGGTCGATCCTAAATTAGAGTCTCGTCATGTTTTTCAAAATACTTAAACACGTTCGTCATTATGTAAAACATTTAAATTTACAAAGATAATAGTCACGGTATCTCATGAAGTGGTGGAAGGTTTAATTATACCATTGGGTGCCGACTCAGTAGTTCTAATGGATAAACGTATAATGCGAAACGTAAAGGTCTCTATTTCCATCCTTGTTGGGGTTGTAGAAGTGGATCACTAAAGAATCAAGTGCTTGGAAGGGATTTTGTGGAGATTGTAATAATTTCAATAGTTGAGATAATGAGTCAATTGAAGCTAGATCATCATGGACAATCTGGCTCAGTGACCTAGCGATTAAGCGCTCGCGTGCGAGACAGATAGGTACTGGGTTTGAATCCCGTGATGTTGGATCGTGCATGCGCACTGCTGAGGAGTCCCAAAATAGGACGAAACGGCCGCCCAGTGTTTCCAGGTTTTCATGGTGGTCTAGCTTCAACTGGCACATGATCTTAACTACTGAAATCCAGTACTTCATGGGTTATAAGTATATCCGAACTGTAATTAGTCTGTGGTAAATAAAATCCTGAAGTTTATACAATCTTCAGAAACCTATTAATCGAAATATATCATAAGTCAGCATTAAAAATGTTGCAAAGCTACATAAAATATGCACACTTTACTAATTAAATGACCATCCGACTTTTTGTACTTTTGGTTTCGATTATTAGTATCATCGTCAAGAACAAAAGACGTATTTTACTGCTTCCGTTGATACTGAACAACAAGCCTATCATAACTATTGTAATACATTATTGTATTTCAATTCTGCTTTCACTGTCATGTTCTCTGTGGAATGTATGCTGAAAATAATGGCTTTTGGACCAAAAGTAAGTAGTATTATATAATGTAATGTTTTCGTTTATTCTCATCATACCTCTTACTCTCGTTTAGATTAGTTCTCTTTTTTCTTAATTTTATTTTTAATGCTGGATTGTGGATCATTAAAAACTAGAAATCACTTTACAACTGTTTTGTTTTAAATGTTGAATAAATAAATACACCTAGAAACTTATTTCGTAAAACTTGAATCTAAGGCTTGTAAAGTAGAATATACGTGGAACGAGTCTGATACTTAGAGAGAATAAAATATAGTGGTTATATGGTATGAATTACTTATATCCAAATAAGTAGTATATAACGGTGGTCAGGCATAGAATGTATTTCAGTTGAAGGTCGATTAGGAAAGAACGGGAACGGAACGCAATTGGTATGAAAACGCATGAACAATGAAATGTGAGACAATGGATTGATGTTTGCGACAGGAACAGTCAAGTTTGAGACGATGGATTGATATTTTAGTGAGATGCCCTGTAATTTTGTGCTCAAATACATTTGACTGTCCCCACTTGTGTTCTTGTTCACTACAGTCACACTATATTACAAATTGATTGTTTGTGAATTGATGTTTATCATCTTCCAAATCACAGGTTAGATTTCTTTAATCCTACTTATGGACCTCGAAGGATTCTCTCATGAGTTCATGAACTAGTATGAGACTACTTTCAATACTCAGTGATGAAATCAAATTTTTACAGATATTTCACCGAATAGTTTTGTTTTATCAAAAAGTGATTATTAAACAATCCATCTCGTTTATAAGGGAAATAAGTTTACATTTTCATTTATGATATAAATAGACATTACTGAGCTTTTATGAATATTCCAGGCACGATAGCTTTTATTTTAGTGAATAAGAAGTAAATGTTATTAAAATAATTTTCACTAATGTTCATTTATGCCAAGAAATCACAAAAGTTTTCAAAGATGATTTTTTTTAATTGTAACTAGTCATTCTGGAAATAAATATTACTATTTCCAATATTCTTTTGTGTTGAACAGTTGAGTCCAATAAGTATCGGGTAAAGATATGCATCAATCTTAGATAATGGATGAATGGCTGCACAGTCATTCATGGATTGATTGACGTTAGACATTAACACCGTTGGATTCCTGCTAAGTGGTCTACAGGTTAAGCATTCGAGTGCAAGATCAAAGTTGTTAGGTTCGAGTCCCTTATGTGCAATCATGGATGCATACTACTGAGGCGTCCCACACTATTGCGAAACGGCTGTTCAGATCTTTCAAGTTTTCAATGGTGGTCTAACTTCATCGACTCACTAATTCAACTATTAAAATTGTCTGAATTTGTCAAACAATTACCGGAACAATAAAACTAACACTAACATTGATTGCTTCACTTTTATCTTATTTATTTATCTTCATTTTTATGCATGATATGAAAAATTTGATTTAAATCATACATAAAAATTGTATGTTTTCTTAAAAATTCACTGATCAGAAGAGGTAAATAGTGAATGAAATTTCTTCTCACAGCACAGATCCACTTGGGAATACACACCAGCTCTTATCTTAACTTACTTTTCGTTTCACATCACATCTCTCATTCACACTAAAGCGAATACGTACTCTATATATTGTTAACGTGATTGGCTGACTTATTTTGTATACAGTTAATCGAAAAGCTATGTACCTGTTTTGTATTCCATTGCCAAACGAAACGTTGGATTCATTTGAAATTCATTCGATTAGATTTTACAAATACTTTCTTCTTCTTTAATGTCTTGAATCAACTCGGAGCTTGTTGTAACGGGTGACTGCAGGTTTTGATAATTAACGTTTATATCGATCGATCCAGTGACACGTGAACACGTACGAACGACCTAGAGTCCCGATTGGCCCTGCTTCGCTGTCTATCCCAGCCAGTTGAGTCCAGAACGCAAGTCACAGCCTCTGAGATATGAATCATTATATTTCAAACATACTATGTTTATATACTAACCAAGCAGACCACATCGTACCATAAAAATAGAAAACAACATTTACACAATATTAACAAGTGAAGCAAATATCGACCAATAGGAAATCTACATTTAACGTCCAAGGACAACATTAGACTTAACATAATAACTATTGGTATATTTTTCTGCACATCCTAACAAAGCTCAAATACTGTGAAACTACTAGTTCAAATTTAGACGAAAGTAATTATATATTCCTCTTTATTATTTGTACTCTAAAATAAGTTGTTTACTTATAAAAATTAGAGTCAGTATGTTGAATACATAGAGATAAATTAGTTGATCGTGTTAAACAAACAATGTTTGTTTGAGTCAATAATAATCAAACTAGAGAAATACCAAATAAAAGTTTGATTCTATAGAGAAAACAAATTTTATTTTTTAGCAGTTGAATTTTTGAATCGATGTAACCTAGACGATCAACAAAAACATGAAACCATTGGGCGGTCGTTTCAACCTAGTATGAGACTCCTCTTCATAAATCATCTACGATCGCTCACGGGTGACTCGAACCTATCCAGTGCTTTCAGGTTTTCAATGGTGGTCTAGCTTAGATCAATACATGAATTGAACTATTAATATCACTACAATCAACATAAATCCTCATTTAGATGTTCATTTGTCTTCTGTTAACTTACTAAATGCCAAAATATGCAATAAATTTGAATAAACACATAAATAATTTCAATTGATTCGATATATATATATATATATATATATATATATATATATATATATATATATATATATATATATATATATATTGATCGATCCTGACGATAACATGTTTAGTGATCTCCAGTTAGATGTTAGCAGTTCAGGAATCAACATCTGAGTAATGTTCATCTTTTTCAATGTATATTATCACCCATCACGACATCTCTAATTTTACAATTTTGTAAGTTGTACAGAGAAGGGTTTGAAATGTCTAGAGGGTTGGGACAGGTGACTGAAATATTCAAGCAGGTCGCTTTAATCATTTAATTATTCAATTATTTTAGTATCTTTCCTTTAATTTATTTTTTCATTTTTCAGAATTATTTCCGTGATCGTTGGAATATTTTTGATTTTATTACAGTTATAGGAAGTATTACTGATGTATTAGTTTCTGAATTACAAGTAAGTGTATTGTTACTATGGACAAAAATGTGTTGTGCGATGTGGTTGATAAACTTTGAATACTTAAACTAGTTGGTTGTCATCACCTGAGTGTTCATTTACAACAGCATCACTTATATATATAAGTGTTATAGTTTGAACCCCTGTGGATAAATTTTCATAGCTGCCAACATTTAATAACTTAAAACCTTTCACATTAGACTGTTAAATACATTCTACTTCAGTTTTGTTTTTCCATCAATTTTTCACTGAAATTATCTTCATTGACGCAGATTACAAAGTTGCAGTATTCAGATTAGCTAATAATCGCCAAGAGACCAGATTAGTTTTCCGATGAAACTGTAAAATAGTCTAATGGGAGGGGGTTCTGAAATAGAAATTTTTGATATTTTACTTGGTTTTAATAAATAGATATTTTGTTTCTTTCTCCAATTCAGTGTAGTCTGATTAATAAAATCATTCCAGATACTTCACTTTTGCTGTTAAATCTTACCAACAGCTTTCGATCTTGTCAATGAGACTGAAAGATTGATATACTAATCAGTAAATGATTACCTAGTGTTTCATCTATATAAGTTCAGTCACATCTTCGTCAGTTTATCCTTAATAAGTAATTTTAACCATAAAATGTGTTTATTCTATTTTTTAAAATTTGCTACGACTCTTAAAACTGGAGACATTAACTATTATTGCTCTATATTTAATACTTATCATTGACATGCTAACCAATAATGTTATCATTAATCTGTTACACATATTTTTTTCAATCTAATCTATAATTAAACTTCATTAGTCAATACTTGTAACTGAATATTGTTTAGGTGCTATGCTTCACTGTCATTTTCTATATTTCATAGTATACAAACACTTAGTAAAGCTTGTATTTCAGGTCAATGAATTAAATAACAATCTTTTTTCATCAAGTGTTAATTGCCTCCAAATGCTCTGGTACGTCCGATGGTAGGGAGAGTCAGCTCTGTTTCACGAAGTGCTCTCACATGGCCATGAGTATACAACCACTTCCGGGAAAGTTCGATACACTGATTTCTCGCAGTGGGGGTGTTGTTTGTGAAAGCGAAATGTGTGACACTTTAAACGGGTTGCTGAATATGGAGAGTCTACCTAGGGGAGTCAGATAACCCTCACTCCAAACCAATGGTGAACATGAGCACCAGGATTCTAAGAAAACGAATGGCATATGAACCTATTGTTGCTCACTGGCTACCATAGGAATGCATCTCTTGGCGTTACTCCGTTGCCCTGTGGATTATACCTTTAAGTCAAAGGCTTGGGGTGTGACCCCCTAAGAAATCTACCTGCCTCGGTTTGGGCGCCTAGACAGTATCACAGTCCCAACACAAATCGAATGATTTTTGTGGCGCAGATATATTTGGTGCTCACTTGCCAGTAAGTCAGTAACAACGTAGAACTTCGTACGTACATACATCAGTTCGACATGCCATACCACATTAGCACAGAAATGCAGCTATCGATTCGAATCCCGTAGTGGTAGAGGTAGTAAGATTATAAGCAGTAATCCAAATATTAGGGTTTGACGATGTTATTCAAGAAGTATAATCCAGTGAAATAAATTTGGAAAGAGGAAAAAAGGGACATGAAGAATTCAGAAGATTAGAATTCGAGAGAACACAAAGAGTGGATGCATCTGCGCAACTGCAAACGATTTTGAGCCATGTCATTCAAGGTCTCTAACCATCGGTTGTTATCATCTCGCGGTCCCCAACCAGGTAGTCTACACCTACCAACATGGTTCGGTCCACTTGTCAGTGACTTTATGGATTTATGCCATGTTATGGTCTGGCCGCCCCTAGATTTCTTCAAACCTACTCCTACATCATAGAATATCGCACGTCGGGACAGTTGGTGGTTGGTCATACGTAACATATGTCACAGCCATTTCAACTGATGAAGTTTCACTACTTCATCAATTGATTTGCCATCCTTACCTAGTACCCGTTTCCTAACAACTGAGTTGCTTACTCGGTGGTTCCAGGATATATGAGCAATGCTTCGAAGACACCTATGATCGAATAATAGTACCCTACGAATATCCTCTACTCTTACCGGCCATGTTTCACAGCCATAAAGTAGGACAGAACAAACTGCTGCGCAGTAAACACGTCCTTTGGTTAGTAGACGGATATCTCGCCTACGTCATAAATGACACAAGTTGGCAAAAGCTAATCGAGCCTTCTGTATCCGTGTTGAGATTTCGTCACCCACCAAACCACAAGGGCTGGTATGTGCTCTCTTGTACCAATGTTTATGTGTGCTTAAATAAATAAATGTTAATTTAACATCTTGAATTATTCTAAAAAATGGCAACTTTTCATTTTAAAATGTTTATCCAATTCTAAGGTTACTAAGTTGAATTTTGTTTTAAACAATTACTTGATTATCCTATTTTGTTTTGCTTTACCTTTTTTTTAGGAATCAGCATTTTTGAGTTTAGGATTTCTACGTCTTTTTCGTGCAGCACGTTTAATTAAATTATTACGTCAGGGTTATAGTATACGTATTATTTTATGGACATTTATTCAATCAATTAAAGCATTACCATATGTTTGTTTACTGATTACAATGTTATTTTTTATCTACTGTATTGTTGGTATGCAGGTATGAACTATAATATCAATTATTGTTATTCATATTATCATTTGTTATATATATATCAGTATGATGAATCTATAGTTGTTTGTTAATTTCAGGATACTTCTCATTATTCAACATACTTTAGAAATAATACATCTATATATATTGTAACATAGATAGTGTTAAGCCTGATACATGTAAAATAATTAACGTAAATCTGATAGAATGCTCCAAATACTTAATTTGTTTAGGCTTGATTTTGTTTCTGTTAGAATTACATCGGAAACATTTTCTGTTTAGAATAAGAGTGAATTTAGTGAATTCACAAAATGATGATATAATATATAGCTTTGCAAAAGTTGTTGAATTTCATAGTTTATATCATAGATTAATAGTGATTAGACAAACGTTGAAAAAACCTGAAAGCGATGAAAGCTTTTTTTGTCGTAGAATGAGGTTACTCAACAATCCACATCCACAACCTTAACAGGGGTTGGACCAAGGGTATTAAGCTTTCTCTGTGACTGTGAAATTTCAAGTTAATAATATGGTTTCCAATGATTAAATTTCTAGCTGAGAATAAATTTTGGTGTTGCGCAACCATTTCTTATTGCACCCGATGGGTAACTAACTCATCTCCGATACAGTTGAACCTAACTAGTCAAAGTTTGTATATACCTTAGACAGTTAAAAAAAGCTTTTTAACTGCTCCTTTTTCTATAGCTTATAAATGTGGTACTTTGAGTTTTGTAGTTTATTAGATTACTCTAGTATTAACATTATTGTTTGGATATATCACGGGTTAAAATTAACACGTATAATTGAATTTTTAATTTTGTAGTGACGATTTCCTGATTAAAACACAATAGTCAATAGTTACGATAGAAATTTTACAGTTTTTAACAACTAAGCACTTTGATAAATTTAGATGATGGAATGAAACAAGCAAGTTTATCAGAACTACTCAATATATATTATCCTAATACAAACAGCTTAATCACACATTGACTTTACAACCAGAGATGGATTATGGATAGCAGCGGAATCCAGGAGTCACATTTCATTCCATTTCGGGACTCGTCAGTTGGATTTACCGGAATCCCACAGTTAATGTTCATTCTGGAAATCGAACTAAGAACCATTCGCTTTAAATGACATCACGTTATTAACATAGCTACTGAGTCCGGATAACCACTAGCTTGTGTAATGGAGTGAAGTATTATTTCATTTTTGTATCGAATGTTTTAATCTTCCCATTGATGTTTAGGGCTGAAATTGATCAGTCTCATATTGGCGTATTTGCATCCTACGTGGATCGTGCTGATAATGCCTGCAGTCATAAGCGATGGCGTTTGAAGCGAACGGTATTGGATTTGAGTTTCTGGGTGAACATCAACTCTGGAATGCAGGTACATTCAGCTGACGAGTCCCAAAGTATGACGAAATGCATGTCCAGTATTCCACTGTTAACCACCGTCCATCACTTTTTATAATGCTTGCGTTTTATGGCAATGTCGAGGCAATCTGCACATGATGTACTTAAACCAATATTGGACTGATCAATTACAGTTATAATCTTTAATGGGAAGACTTAAACAACTAATACATAAATGAATTAACAGATTAACTTCTTTAGAGATTTATGTTATGTAAAACATTAGGTCAACCAGTCAAACTGAGGGATAAGGAAAAATAGATATTTCACTGATTGAAATCATGAGTCATTTGAAGCTAGACCACCATGAAAAACCTGGAAGCATTGGACGGCCGTTTCGTCCTAGTACGGGACTCCTCATCAGTGCGCATTCACGATCCCGCACCCCACGAGATCCGAACACAGGACCTATCAGTCTCGCGCCAGGCGCTTAACCGACTAGACCACTAAGCCGACATCCAACGGTGTTAATGTCTAACCTCATCTAACCCACAAAGTTGCGCCACCGTACACCACTCTCATCAGTGAGTTGATATCTCACAACAGACCTTGTTGAACTCCACTGGTTACGGCTTCTAACTAGAACTCCAGGAGTATCTCTTGAAGTCAGTCACCAGTGAGCAGATGATTATTATCCGAAGAGGTTTTGTGGAGATGTTAGAAATTTCACTGATTGAAATCATGAGACTGATAGATCCTGAGTTCGAATATCACGAAGGCGAGATCGTGGATGCGCACTATAGAGGAGTCCCATACTAAGAAGAAACGGCCGTCCAGTGTTTCCAGGTTTTCTATAGTAGTCTAGCTTCAATTGACTCATGATTTCAATCAATGAAATTTCTAAAATCTCCACAAAACCCCTATTGATAAAAATAGATATATTACAAAAACTAATATAAGTCATATTCCTCCAGATAATAAACTAGATATTTCCAGTGTAGGATTCAATGTGAGAACAAATTATTTCCGCGTCCATATGAAGCGTTTGAATTTTCATATATTCAAGCTTTTAATGAACCTCAGTATACAACCTCTAGATACTTTTAAATAACATTTCATATGAATGATTTACTATCAGTAATATATATATATATATATATATATATATATATATATATATATATATATATATATATATATATATATATATATATATATATATATATATGATCTATTCCATTCAAGCATTACATAATAGATTAAGATGTTTGTTATGGTTATATTCCTATCAGAATTTTATTCAATATCTTACATTAATGAATACAAAATGAAAAGTACACATTTAAAATAATCGATATAATTCTCTCTTTTATTTCATTTCTTTCTTTGAAAAGGTTTTTGGTAATATTAAAACAGATCCACATTCTCAATTAAATAATCATAATAATTTCCAAACATTTGGAGATGGAATACTTTTACTATTTAGGTGAGTATATTTCTATTTGATTATTATTATTATTATTATTTTTGTTTTGTTTTGTTTCATATAAAATCAGTTTAATTTAGATAAAGAGAGAATTTATTCATTCATTACTTACTTACGAATGGGGTATAGACTGCCAACCAGTATTCTTTAATTCATTCTGTCCTAGGGCATTATTTTCTAGCTCAATCTAATTGTTATTCATTCTTATATCTGTCTCCATTTCTTAAAGTCATGTGTTCTTTGGTCTTCCACTTCTCCTTTGATCTTGGGGTTTCCAAATGAGGTTACAATTGATTGATCACTGGGTGGTGATCAATGTCTTGCTTGTCTAGTCCTTATTAGTGCAGATCGAATGCTATCGATCATGTTGCAATGTGGTCACCAGTCTAGCTGATTCGATACTGCGGGCACTATGTATTGAGATTTAGATGGTGGTTGGAGGTAGTCAACATGATCGATAGCATTCAATCTGCACTAATAAGGACTAGACAAGCAAGACATTGATCACCACCCAGTGATCAATCAATTGTAATTACATCTCAGTCCTACAGGAGGTTAGTCACGGCTCGGATACCTCAGTGGTAACGTCTCTCACTGTGAGGCTGGGTGACACGAGATCGAATCCACCAGGGAGCACCAGTTCCCTCAAGATTACAGGTACACCTTGCTGACGAGTGCCAAATAGCACGAAACCCGGGTCCAGGGTTTCCTGTTGACTACATCCAACCACCATCTAAATTCCAAATGAGGGCTTGCCTTGTGATGTATTTGGGTGCGTGTCCAACCTACTTCCAGCGCCTCTTCTTAATTTCTTCTTTCACTACATGGTTGGGTACATATATTCATATATGAATATATGTACTCAACAATGATGATTAAATAAAATGAAAAATAAGTTTCAGTTGGTTAGCAACAATTTTTTTAAATATCATATAAATAATAAAAATGAGTAAAAAGTGTTTCCTGTTTTGTCAGAGATTAAAATTGTAGGATCAACAATGAGTAGAAAATTTTTGTTTTTTATCAAAGTGAATATTCAGTGGTCTGCGAAAATTTCCTGGTTTTCTTCTCTTTTTATAGTAAATCATAATTTTCTAAGTTGTTGGAATTTTGATTTGATTATTAATTATTTTTGTCCGTATGAGGTTGGGGAAATCATTAAGTTTTTGATTGAGATACTGAATCGATTGATGTTAGGCCAATATAAAAAAACTGGAAGATCTGAACGGCCGTTTCGCAATAATGTGGGATTCCTCAGCAGTGTGTATCCATGATCCTGCGGTTGGGTCTCGAACTCAGAAACTTCGGTCTCGCAGGTGAACGCTTAATCTGTAAACCACCAGGGCACGATCCAACGGGGTTAATGTCTAACTTCAAACGATCCATGATCTTGTGCAACACTTCATTCATTGTGTGAGGTTGATACATGCCTCTACTTGATACGGATTGGACTCCACTGTTCATTGCTTCTCACTAGAACTTCAGGAAATCATCTTGAAGCCGGTCACTAGTGAGCACTAGTGATCAGTTATCATCAATGCAATTCAATGATCATTGTGTCATATCGTAGAATTTATAGATCCTGCTTAACCGAAACTATTTTATTTCTATTCAGTAGTTAAATATTATGTTAGACGAAAAATTTCAAGGTTCAAAAATTGTCATACTGTAGTGAACGAGAACATAAGTGTGGACAATCAAATATATTTGAATACAAAATTACTGAATCCATTACTAAAATCTTTAAACCATACAGTAAATACTTCATTTGCAAAATGTCAACCAATCATCTCTGACTTTATCGTCTGTTCGTTTCCACAGCAATCGCTCTCTTTTCTTTGATCTTTTTAACTTTCTACCACCAGGCATTTCACTGTCTATTGATGATATATACTACTTATATCTGTCGACATCAATAGCATACAATACATTACCACAATGAACATTTTTGTAAATAAACTAAAGATTAAATATTTTTTCAGACTCAAAAGTACATTTTTTTCTCAGAAAAAGAAATTTCTGTTTTCCTTACTAACCATTTCAATGATAAAACTGAGAATATTCTAGACAAATTTGATTTGCATTTTATTAGTTACTTGACAACAAGTAAATAAAAGGATAATGATTTTATTGATTCTTCTAGTGTTATCTTTAATCTGATCTATTTTCTAGAGATTCCATTTATTAGTAGTATTGACACTTGTTATGTTTTCATTTTGTTTTCAATGGTTAAAAAACAAAAAGCGTTTTCATAAAAACTGAAAGAAAAATTTGTTTTTCCAATTATGGTTACTATTTTTTGTTTATTAAATTTTAGATTTCTTTGAATTATCAAATGTGTTGCGTGAATATTCAAAATCTTTACACGTGACCAACAGTTTTGTACTTTATTGATAACATGATAATCTATTAGTTTTGAAATCACACACACATAAAAAATCCATTTCTTTACTGTGAGACGGATTGTTTTCCCACTTAAAATGTGTGTGTACTATGATTTGAAATTTTTATAAAGTATCAACATATTTCTTTCTAGTATGGGACTGATTACCAGTGTGCACCCACGATCCCGCCCCCCCGCGAGATTCGAACCCAGGACCTATCGGTCCTGCGAGCGAGCGCTTAACCTCTGTAGCACTGAGTTGACATCTAACGGCGTAAATGTCTAACTTCAATCGATCCACGAAATCGTGCCAGTGTCTACCATTGTCTTCAGTGAGTTACTATCTCACGACAGATACGGTTAGACTCCACTGGTCACGGCTTCTCACTAGAACTTCATAAAATAACTGTTGAGGTCAGTTACTAGTGAGTACATAGTGATTATTACCAAAAGGGGGTTTTGTGGGAATTTTAGTAATTTAATAGCTGAATTTACTAGTCAATTAAAGCTAGACCATCTTGGAAAACCTGGAAGCACTGGACAGCCGTTTTGTCCTAGTATGAAACTCATAAATGGAACTCGTAAATTACTAAGATTTCCAAAAAAACCCTTTTCTGATAATATTTCTTTCTCAATAAAATGTTATCCACATCTTTTTGTTGCATATCCTGTTTTCATTTTATTTGACTATTATTAAGATTCGTCTTCATATCAAACTTTTGTCCTTTGTTATACTGTATTACGTAATCTACGAATGTTATAAATGTGCATCTCAATACATTCGTTGATTGATTATCCAAAATGTCACCATTTGATTCTTATCTGTTTTAACCTTCTTGTTTGCCATAGCTTAATCCAGAACAGTGGTGATAAACTATATAAATATACATATTTCTCTGCTTTATTTGCTCTTTATTTATGTGGAAATGTTTTAAAACTTGTTTTTGTATATTGAGATCATCTGAAATGTTTCTTGAATAAAATGAAACACTCTTTTTTTTCAACTTCATTATGAACCTTTAAAAGAACAGAGTTTTTAGCATTTAGTTAGCGAGGTTTTTTAAACTTCATACCTACTACCCCTACACTCCACATTCATCCGGTTTTGGGAGGTCCAATAACCGTAGAAGAACTCTAGGTGATGTTTTGAAATGAAGAACATAAACAGTACACATTGTTTGTTTTGTGTCAACAGTATTTGATAGAATTAGCATTGAATATAAATAAATTAATTACTCTTTCCTTACCATCGACAAGCGAAATGGACTTCCTTCATAATATTAAACTAGTTACAATTAAGTAGAAAGGGTTTGTAGATTATAAAATAATCTGTTTATATTTAAACTATAAGGAATAGGAAATTGCCGACAGTTTTTTATGCGGGTTAGTTTTAAACTTTCAGATGGTATTAATCATAAATCGACATTTGTTAGAGTATTAATAAACACCGGATATTACCTGACAATTGTTTATGCCTTCAACATACAAACATTACTAAAAATCTAATATATATATACTAACAAACGAATGGATTTAGAATATATAGGAAATGTCCAATTATTTCCGAAAAAGAGTTTAGTATAGAACTCATCAATGGAGATAATCATTTTAAAATTGTAAAGTTTCTTCAAGTACTACTCTTGCATATTCATTAAAATTTTGTACTTATGCATATCTCTAGGAATTATAAAAAGAAAGAACAGTCACAAATATCTTAGAAGTTAAGAGAAGATGATTTTTTGTTAATAAAAGGGATACTACCCCTATCTCATGGTCTGAAAATGATCTTGGTGGTCTAGTAATAGTATTCCGACACCAAATAATGGGTTTTAGGAGGTATTTAATTTCTAACGCTTCAGGCTGGGCTATTTCATTTACCACCCTACATATGTGTTGTATACAGTATAGGCTATAGAGCTATGTAGAGCTGAAGGTCTCATATGAGACTGGATGTTTGCTATTAATATTGTGGATTGTTCGGTATTACTTTGACAAGTTTGACTGACTGTTCATGCACAAAATTGGTTTGTTGGTCAACCGATTTCATTTATACTGGTGATCGCTTTTCAGTGTTCTCAAAGGCCACTGTCATTGAGACATTGTATGGCATGTCGCCATTGCTAACATTAATGAGTTTGACTATTGTGTAGGTGGAATAGGTCAACTTTGGCTTGTTCGTGCTGTGCATAATTGATTCACGTGATCATTGATCAGAATAACTATATATGTGACGTGAATGTATATAAGAATGATGCGAATGGTCCATCAGGGTACTTAATACCTGTGTGATTACGCCACAGGATTGAGCTGTACTATTCATATTATAGCGTTAAAGCTTATACGGTGTCTGGTTTTCTGGGATTAAGTTGTACTGCTCGGGTTATAAAATTTAAGCATGGGTGGTGTCTGACTCTCTTGTTAAATGGGATTGAGTTGTACTGTTTGGCTTGTTACGTGAAAGTATGGATGGTGTCTGGTTCTCCTGAGAACCAATATTAAATTACCATGGCCCACAAGGGTATATTATATGACTATGAATAAACTGGTTGATCCTTCCAGTAGTCATGTGCTTGTCTCAAAGATTAAGTCATGCATGTCTAAATAAGTACATACTCAAGATTTTTAATAAAAAATTGTTTGAATAAAACAATCCCCTTACTTTATTTAATTTATCCAAAAAATGATTTCATTTGAATAAGATATAAATAGTTCTGTAAGTTGATTATCTACTATCAAATCAAGTCTACTTTAGACACCTTAGCTATCAAACTAATAATATTAATCTCTAAGCTTTATTAAGAATCATTCATAAAAGTGTAGTTTAGTGGAGAAGATTTGTAGCTCAGGTGGATGATTTTGGTGGAGTTTTGTTCTCTGAGCCGGACAGAGGATAGACAGAGGAAACTCCAAAAACACCAGAGAATTTTTAGAAGCCTGGCACTCAGGTCAATCAGCAATCAACAAACATATTGAAATCAATCCAATTTACCAACCAATCAGAAAAATCATGCACAAACATAGGAACAAAAATCAAACCAATGGGAGACATAACCAAAACAAATAACTAAACAATGATAAATTTAAGGCCAATAGGAACTAATCAACGTAGAGGTGTACAGAACAAGTTGTGAAACGCATCTGGAGTAATTCGATCACTTCACTTCTACCTGAAGTTTGTGTTGATGATGTCGTTAAGAAGAGCGATGAAAGCTCCACGACCAAACCATCCAGCTCAGAGAAAAAAACTCCACGAAAAAGTGTAGTTTAGTTTTTAAAAATGTTTTGCAGTAATATTAAAATATCAATTAATGTATACTTATTCTTAACTTATTCAATTTATTCATAGATGTGCAACTGGTGAAAATTGGCAAGAAATTATGCTTGATTGTGCAGCTGGTAAAGAATGTGAAGGTTCTGGTGAATCATGTGGAAGCTCATATACATATTTATATTTTTCAACATTCAATTTTTTATGCTCATTTATCATGTTAAATTTATTTGTAGCTGTTATTATGGATAATTTTGATTATTTAACTAGAGATTCTTCTATATTGGGTCCACATCATTTAGATGAATTTGTTCGTGTTTGGGCTGAATATGATCCAGGTGCTACGTAAGTTGAATATATATAAATAGATGAAAGTTGTCGGTATTTTTAAAACTAATTACCTTGGAAACTATCATCAGATATGTAGTGTTTTATTAAATAAAATATTCAGCATGTTTACAAAATGATCTACATTTTTTCATGTATATTATGTTCCGAATCAAGAAAATCTACAACTCAATTGTATAAACATACTTTCTTAAAATTTAATCTAATGATCTTACAAATTGTGGTTCAAGATCAGTTTTCACTTCAAGAATCCTAGTGTCATTCTTTGGGTTCCTTAATTAATTTCTTACCTCAATAGTTACCATCACGCCATTACGTCCTATTGTTGGACTACTCAGCAATGAGCATCCACGACCCCGCTTCTCCGGATTCGAAAACAGGGTGTACCAGTCACGCACGCGAGCACTTAACAACTAGATCATTGAGTCGGCGTCCAACGGTGTTGATGTCTAACCTCAACTAATCCATAAAATTGAGCGCACATCCACCATTGTCATCAGTGAGTTGCTATCTTACAACTGACCCGGCTGAACTCCACGACATCGCCTCGAGGAATCCGAACCCAGAACTTATAGATCTAGCACACGGACGCCTAAGTAAAGATGATTATACGACGAAAAGTTTGTCAATAAGAATCTCAATCGAAATGATATTCTTATAGAATCATGGAAACAGATGATTAAAAAAAACAAATTCCAAGTGCAAATCATTTAGTCTATTTTACAGAACGTAGCAAATCCTTAAAATATAGCGAGTAAACCATATTGTATATCGTAAACTTAGTTCTGGTGTACTAACAAAACACGGTGATTGAATTTAAGAGTTTCTATCATTTAGTGAAAGAACTGATGATTATTATTGTTTTTAGTCTGCTCATAAACATTCTCAGTTGAGTTTTAAGTTAACAAACAGTAGCTATCTACAAGAACATTTGTAGTACAATTATTATTTATGCAAAAATTACCGATCACGAATGGAACATTCGGTGTTCCAAACATGATACGAAAAATAATTGTAGTCAAATTGAGTAAAGATTCTCACTTTCATTTGGTGACCTGTCACGTTCGTAAGATTGTATTACAAACAACTTACGGCAATATTAGGGTGAGGATATACTTTAATTTCGTTCTTAACTTTGACTTTGCACCTGGTAACCAACCAAAATGAAGAAAACATTAATATTTTCACTGTCTTAATCCACGATAAAGGCCATGTTTCATTCTCTATCGTTTTTGATGGTCTACATGAAAAATGTAAAGTTTACTACATGGCAAATACCACTCCATTATGCTACGGACGAGCTAAATGTTGCACACAGTCATGATGAAAGAGAAACTGAAAATTAGCAAAGTTCATATCTACAATTAATTCAATGATAAAAAGTACTCCAAAACATTTACAACTGTGTAACTGAATAAACGAAAACATAACACTAATTACTGAATACGATACACTTTGATGACTTGATAATGCTGAGTTTATTCCCAGTTCAATATTTTAGACATAACGATGCCAAAATGTCATAATAAAAGCTCATAAGAACGGTTATTTGCTGTTTCACAAAGTAACACCCATTTTTTAATGATAGTAAGTTTAGTAGGGGCAGATGTATATCAGTAAATGGATGAGGGAATATAATATACAGTAGCGTTATCAATGGATTCAGTCAGTCAGTCAGCTACAATGCAGGAACAAGCACATATATGCATTGATCTAAGTTGCCATACTTCATTAGCACAAAAAGATGAATACCACATTCATAGAAATAGTTAATTCAATGGTGCTCATATATATATATATATATATATATATATATATATATATATATATATATAAACAGTGTATCGTTTTAGTTCGTAAAGGGAACAATTAAACGTACTACTCACTAAGAATATTTCAGTAGTTGATCAGTACACATTGTATGTTCTGTAATAATTAAAGGCTTAGAAAAAAAATGATTTTAAAATAAATACAAATTCATTATCTCGATTTATATTCATCGACATTTACAGAAAAATGATAGAATAACTCTAAATTATGTATTGTCATAACTGTATACTTTGATACGACAATCGTACGTGGACTGATTCATTTTATTTTCCACAGAATAATCAGTTTATATACATTCAACTAATAAGAAAGATAGGAAACGCCAATCATGAAATTATTTAACTGTAAAGAAAGAATATGTTGTGTGACATTATTCATAGTAGAAATAGCTACATAACTGACTGAAGACAGATTATTAGTGATACTTGAAAAAATACCATCAGTCATTAGTAGTCTGATGATATGTAAATGCATAAGTTTGAATTCCATGAACATAATAAACACAAATTACAATTAGCAACTAACTTAATACTGACTATTTCCAACTACTTAAAATCAAAATCTATTAGTTATTATCTTTATATATAGAACTTATAAATCTTTTGTATTTGAATTGGATATTATATTTCATAGAGGTCTTATTCATCATCGTGATGTATATGAAATGCTTAGAAACATGGAACCACCAGTTGGATTTGGTAAAAATTGTCCATATCGTTTAGCTTATCGAGTAAGTTTCCTACCAATATGTTTATTCTTAGTTTGTTCACCTTGTGTTGTTTTTTTTTGTTTATTACAAACAAAACAATAAAACTTGAACTTATATACATCAGAAATATCAAATGGGGAAACATTATACGTTCAGTTAAAGTTTGACATTTGTGTATTTCTATTTCATTTTTTCTTATTCCTTATTGAAGTTTATATTCAATTTTTAACTAAATCAAAATATAAAATCATAAATCGTTCATAATAATATAAATATAGAACATAGATTTATATAAAAGTAGCTTTATGATAACAAACCATTGAAACAATAATTCAAGTAACTACTTCGCAATCATTTAAATTTGTTAAATCAATTGGGCATAGAAACAAATCAAACATATTCACATGATTAGATCAGAAAAAAATAAATATATCTAATCAAATTTGTCGTAAAAACTATCTGAATGATTAACGAGAGAGAGAGAGAGAATGTGGGGAGGGTGGAGGGAATAGTTTCCTTTTTTCTACTGACGTAATACAATATTAGCTATTAATCAAAAGGGTCTGTTTTTGTTTTTATTTTGTATAAAAGAAAAAAATGTCAGTTTAGTTACAATTTTTATCTTAAATAGAATATCTTTATATCTACATATAACAATAGATAAAGAACTTATAATTGTAAATACTGATTTAAATGAATAATTCAATTCGTCAGAAGGGGTTTTGTGGAGATTTTAGAAATTTCACTGATTGAAATCATGAATGAATTGAAGTTAGACCACCATGGGAAACACTGGACGGCCGTTTCATCCTAGTATGGGACTCCATGATTAAGCGCCTGGCGCGATACTGATAGGTTCTGGGTTCGAATCTTGCGGAGTGCGGGACCGTGGAGTCCCATACTAGGACGAAACGGCTGTCCAGTGCTTCCAGGTTTTCCATGGTGGTCTAACTTCAATTCATTCATGATTTTAATCAGTGAAATTAGATTTGTTCCATTTATCAAATGTTTTTATCAGTGATAATTTCAAACAAACAAGAAAAGGTTGAATTTTCTCTTTTCTTTCGGGGAGGAAATATTTTTTTCGTTTTATAAATTACTTTTGTTGATAAATATCTTGACAACTATCCTATTCCAAAATAGTAGATTATGTTATCATCATGATTGGACTGTATCAATGAAAACTTATCATTATAAATATGTCAAATAAATAAATAGTATATATGGAGTATTTACGTGTCTTATTGACAATATAAAATATTCTATATGAAGATTATTTTATTTTCAGTATAGAGGTTGTGGAGATTATTAAGTTTTTGATTGAGATGATGAACTGAATGGTGTTAGACCACCAGTGGAAACCTGAAAGCACTGGATAGCCGTTTCGTCCTATTGTGGGACTCCTTACCAGTGTGCATTATAATATTATTATATATAATAAAAGTTAAATACACCATAAAGCTAATTATATATATACATATATTCTGAAGATTATAATAACAGAATTCACTCCAGTTTACAGGCATGATCAATTTGATATAGATGGTAACATTAGATGTAGAGAACACACATGTGATATAAGATTGTTTTAAGTATACTTGTTCAGTAATTGTTTAGGTAGTACACATATTACTGCGATCCATAGTATCAGCCGGGAAATTTTAATCTTTCTTAAGTGATAAACCTGTTGATTTACGAACGGTGTATTTAAGGTCATATACTGTGCGAGAATGAATTAATTATAATTATCTACAACTAGAGAAAGTAAAACGAAAACTGAGAGCATAGAACAACAAAGCAATAATTACCAAAATATGTTAATCAGGTCTACCATAATTCATGTGTCATGTGACACTGTAATGTACTGTTGGTATTAGTTATTATTCAAATTAGTTAAGGTTTCTGGGGAGAGTGTTAACGTGACGTGACAGCAGGTAGGTGGTTTTACTTAGGGAATTCACTAATAATAATGGCTAAACATTTAAAGTTCCTATAATATCACTTTTGGAACGAGATACACGTACAGGTGCGACAACATTGAATGCATGACCTTCATACTTTAAAAGCAGCGAGCTAAATTTCTTAATCTAACTAAAATGTTGATGATTACTGTATTAAATTTTCAGATCTTTACACGATATGATCTTATATAGGTTGAACTAGGAGATATATTCATCACAAATACTTGATAAATTGATTAGAAATTACTCAGACAGATCGTGCTTATGATTATGAGTGAATTTGATGCAATTCTGGTATGCCTGTCTTCACTCTCAACCATGTAGATTGATCACTCACATCCGCTTGTACACGTTTTTGTGAACTGACCAATGTATTGAAATCGAATATAACAATTTATGCCTTCGTATTTCTTCTCTATTAGTTATCTACTTTAAACTGACTATTCATACATAGTCTTCTTATTCCTTTATTTTCATGATTATTATTTTGATAAGTTTATTTTCCTAAATATTGATCTAGTTCCCCCATTAGATTATTTATTCAAGCAGTTATAATATTCTAATCTTCGATATGATGGAGAAAACTTGCGGCTCAGGTGGATACTTTTAATGTTATTGAGTTCTCTAAGCATGTCAATTTAAAACTTGAGTTCATGAATCAATTAAAACTAAATCACAAAGAAAACCTGGAAGCACTGGTAGGCCGTTTTTCCCTACTATGAAGTTAGAAATTAACACCGTTGGATACTGGCTCAATGTTCTAGGTGTTAGGCGATTGTGCGCGTGACCGAAGGTCTTGAGATCGAATCCCGTGAGTATGGTCGTGGATTTGCACTACTGAGAAGTCCCACACCAACACAAAGTAGCCGTCCAGATCTTCCAGGTTTACAATGGTGGTCTAGCTTTAATTGACTCATGAAATCAACTACGAAATTAATACAATCTCCAAAAAACCTCTTTCTGATAATTACGATACTTTAATTACACAGCTTTAATTGTCGTTCTGCACAACTTCAGGGAGTACTTCATCTAAAAGTGACTCGCTCATTTACTTCATTACTTCAAATACTCCATATTATGAAAAATATCTCAAAAATCACAACAAAAATTCCATAAACTGAAGATGTTACTTCATTCCATTTTATGTACGCCGAAAATTATGACTCTGAAAAATGACGAATGCACTATCAACAACTTTTCCAAAGGGTAATGAAACATGGAAGTCACCGTAAATACATAGATAAATAAAAACAATTAAAACTGAGATAACAGGGTGAACAGAATCAACTAATTTAAGTCTCACCTTCACATCCGCATCAGATCCACCGTGTTCATAATTGATACTGACCAGAAATGTAAAGGTTTTTGCATTTTCCAAAGTTTCTCCATCAAGTGTGATTCGATTGTTGCATGCCGTATTGTATCGGAGAATCTTGCCTATAGCCTTTGCTTGGCTACTGTCAGTCCCAAGCCTGGATAAATATGGAGAGTTGAGCATGGGGTTAGCGACCTAATTCCGTAGAAAACTAACACGCTAAAAAAAACGCTAACCAGGAAAAATTAACTCAAAATAAACATAACAGTTGTAAAAACATTTACGAGTAATTAAGGTATTAAGACATAAAAATTTAACTTCGAGAAGTAATTGTTTTATTCTTTATTCAAAATTTAGGAAGACAAATTGTTTTCCGTTAAATTCTTTATTCTTTTCAACTTCATTTACCATTGTCAAAATTAATTTATGCAGTGATTATGATTTGATGAAATACTTTAAACAAAATACAAAGAAAACTATTTTACAGTCAGTCGGAGAGTTTCATATGCTTTGACGGTTAATCTGAGTATTGAAAAAAAATTAATATTTAGGTATAAATGTAAATCATAAATTTGTATTTTATGCAAATACCTATTTTTGATTCAGATCATGAACCGATTGGTGTTAGATCACCATTGAAATCCTGGAAGCGCTAAAGGCCGTTTCGTCCTGTTGTGGACTCCTCAGCAGTGCGCTTCCACGATCCCGCTTCGCGGGATTCAAACCCAGGGCTTTCAATCCCGCCCGCGAACGCTTAACCTACTGGACCACTTAGTCAGCATCCAACGGTGTTAATGTCTAACCTCAACCAATCCGTTAAATCGTGCGATCATCTTCCATTAAACTGAGGCAGATACTTGTCTCTACCCGACATGGATTAACTCCACTGGTCATGGCTTCTCACTAGAACACTGAGAATTCCCTCACGAAGCTAGTCACTAGTGATCACATGGTATTAATCTCCACAACCCTATACTGATAAATACCTATTTACTGGGATTAAATGAGGGTTATAAAATTAGGATTTACAATTCGGATTTACGATTGACCGTTAAAGTTAGAAATTAGATTCAATGTTTTCATCACAAAGTGACATCAGCTACGATCCTGAAATGGTATTCAGCCAAATGAGTGAATGAATTTCGTGCCAAAATCCAAGACCTGATATCATAAATCTGATTAGTTTGTCTATAAATTATAGTCTCGTTGAAAAAAACCAGTCTACCTAAGTCGTCTTCTAGTTTCATTAATTTCAATGACATCTATCTTTGAAGTATATACTATGTGATAAAAGATCTTTGGTTTTTATAATAAGGTTTATTTTTACAAACCACCACTATGCGACTCAAATATTTAAATACTTAACTATCCTTAGCGGTATTTAACTTGTAGAAAACGTCGTTAAAAATTTCTCAAAGTTGATCAATGATTATAATAATGATAAAATCATTTATTACCGTAAATTTTACAAGAGTATAGAATTCTCAGAATGAATTGTGCAAAATCACAATACAATTTTCTTTATCATCTATATCTTTTAATCATCTTCAATAGCGAAAGTTTAGTTCATGCACACCAAAAATTTCGCCCATTTTTTCGGCGAACCTATAATTCATGGATGAACCAATCAGGTGTAAGATAAAAGATCTCGAATTTCGGAATGAAATTCACTCATCCATTTGACTAAATAGAGTTTTGGCATTATAGCTGATGTCAGTTCATGATGTAAAACCGTAAATCTAATCCATAACTTTAACCATCAACTGTAAATCATAATTTGAATTCCCCCACACTAATTTATAATCTTTATTTGGTCCTGGTTATAAAGTGGCACCCTCAAGGTCAGTCTGGTATCGCTCAATGATCATCCATAAATTATAGTCTCACCAAATATCCTAACAAGTACAGTGCCACAATTTGAGATTTATGGTATTTAACATCACGTCAGGTTGTATGCTTTTCATAATATCATGTGAGTATACACAGTTATGATTCAGTATTATTCGGTCCAAATAAATCTAAAATCGGAATAGTCATTGTAATATTCGCACAATTAGGAAAGAGATAATCAAAAAATTTTAGAATTCCATTAAAATAAAGTATATTTCTCGTATTTTAGTTACATATAAATTTATTTTAAGTTCTTCTTATGAACTGGAAGCATAAAAAGCATCACTAGATGACATTATAAACTGTAAAGATTTGTTGTTCTAGTTCGGATCTACATTCTAGTCTCCATTCATGACTCTAAATAGGATGAGAACTAGCCATGTTTGTAGTTGAAATCTGTAGATCATTCACATTTTGTTACGTCCTTGATCTATCCACCCACTTTTGTACACAGGATAACTTGTCTAATCTAGACAAAGACCTTGAGCGATAGACTGACTGGCTTAACCTTGAGGCTTGTATGAATGAGTTCGAAGTGAAACGTGATTGAGTGACAAGCACGTGAGTGAGAGAAGACAAGTCAACTGGAACACTACTCGATTTATTTCCAATTCCGATCTGGTTCCCGATTTCAGATTAATGCAAAAAGATACATGAATAAATAGATAAATAACCAAAATACAACGTAAAACAATTGGGAAAATACAACTAGGTCCTGGGTTTAAATCTCGCGAGGAAGGATCGTGGATGCACACTGCTGAGGAGTCCCACAATAGGATGACACGGCTGTCCATTCGTTTCAGGTTTTCCATGGTGGTCCAGCTTTAATTCATCCATGATCTCAACCATTTAAAAAATATAATTATGTCCAAAACTGGAGATTAGCGTAGAAAATAGAGTACAAAATATTACGTTTAAATTATACAATAGCTTTAGAACAAAAAAGGCTATGTGAGTGATTCATACATCAAAAAAACCTTATTACAGTGAATGTATTTGACACAAAATTACAGGACTTGTTAATAAAATCTAACAATCATAAAGTAAATGCTTAATTTGCAAAATGTCCATCGATTGTCTCAAAATGACTCCGACTTCATTGTTCTTGCATTTTCATACAAATTGCATTCTGTTTACATTCTTTACTGTTCGATCCTCTTGTCTCTTTGCTGCCAGATATTCTGTTCACGACTAACATCATATACTACTTATGTCAATATAAGTAGCACACACCATATTATGATCTGTAGAATAGTCTAGGAACAAAAATAATTGTTATTGTTTTATAAGCTTTGAATTAAATGAAATAACAACAACAAAAATAACTTCTGTAGTTTGTCAAGGCTTCTTGAATGTAAACCGAAAGATTTCCAAGCAAAACTTTGAATATTCAAATAATCACAATAAAATAGAAAATCTATTTGAAGATTTCATGAAAGTGCCTTCCTTTACTTTTTTTGTGTTCTTAATAGTAGTGTAATTTATCATTTTGTTTCTCATCCATTATTAACCGTCATATAAAAAACTTCTGAAATAAAGTGCTAATTTTGTTTTCAGTCAAAGTACATTAATATTGAGTTGTTTATTGAAGTAGGCAATTCATCTTAACTAAAGTTTAGATTCGGATCTTTGTGTTTATTCCATACTTACTTATTCTTTGTATGAATAACTTCCGTTTGAAACATTTTATATAATAATATATTTGATTATCATCTAAGATTACTTTAATAAGCTATTTAGTTTTAATAAAAAAAATCATCAAAATAGTATTCAATTTAGATGTTCAATTGTCAAATTGTTAATCGTATTCCTTTGAACATTGTAACAGTATTATGTATATATGTAAAGAGTAGATGTTAATGTATCTTTTTCAACGAAGATAGATTAAATCACAATATCACATAAAAGCAACAGGACGTACATTTAAAAAACTGTATTTTATCTCTAAGAGAGGATGTTATTAATCTAATTGTATTTGACAGTCAATTTTAAAGTGCATGAGATATTAGATCACCTTTGATTTCTTAGTTCACTTTTTTGGTGAAATCTAGAAAACTCTTCAAAAAAAACCCAGAAAAGGTTCTTAAACTGCTGTGAAGAATCTTATCCAATCAGCATTCACTAGACTTTTTAATAGAAACATATAGAAAGTGAAAAGTCACATGTAGAGTCTCTAACTGGATGATTAACTATGCTGCTACTATATTTAGTAGCGTTCCATAATTTACCGGAAAACCAAAGACATATAAAATACTATCAAAAACCCTAGATTTTCTGTCCATAAACGAACTCTTGGGGTAAAGCGTTTCCTCCGTATTTCGCGCCTTTTCTCGCGTGTTCAAGTAGCCTGGGGGTTGGTAAACGAGCTTAGGAACCAAATTTAGCGTTCAATTAGAAGACTTATCACATCCAAAGTGATGTTTTACAAGTAGAATCATTAAATGTTATGTTTTTTTTAAACAACCATCCAATTAAACATATTAAACTGAGGTGTTTTTTTGAGAAAATCAAGTATTTTTCAACAAGTTTCACAATACAGCTAAAGCTTTTTAGATAACATTAAAAGTTAGTAGGATTTCAGTATAGATGTTAATTTGCTCTGCTTACTTAAATGTAAAGTAAGACCACTATAGTATCTGTAACATCTAAAGTTCAGAGTAATCTATCTTACCAAAACAAATTACATAATATATATATCACATCGACTAATAATTGTTTTTCATCATATAAATGAACATAATCTTTATTATGTTTATTAAGGGATTTTATGCAGACTAGCCTAATTCATGAATAACATTCATCACAAAATAAAATGGAGCAGTCAGACCAAAACATGGCACAAATCCATGAGGTCACGGACAAATGGACTGAGTCACGTTGGTAGGTGTAAACTACCTGGTTGGGACCCGTGAGATGATTCCAACCGACGGTTAGAGACCTTGAATGACATGACTCAAAATCGTTCGCAATGGTGCAGGTGCATCCACTCTTTGTGTTCTTACAAATTCTAATATCCTGAATTCTTCATGTCTCTTTTTTTTCCTTTCCAAATTTATTTCATTGGATTATACTCCTTGAATAACATCTTCAAACCCTAATGTTTCCGACTACTGCTTATACTCTTACCACCTCTACCACTACAGGATTTGAATCGATAACTGCATCTCTGTGCTAATATGGTATGCCAACTCGAACTGATGCACGTACGTTTGAAGTTCTACGTTGTTACTGACTAACTAATGAATTAACATGGGTTTAAGGTTAAAATAAGGTTTTTAAATAGTATCAGTATGAGATCAATCAGTGACGAATACGTCATAATAAATTGTCTCTATACACCGAAACCATACAAAACTTATTTTTAACTATCCATTTATTCTTTTTTTTACAGAAATTAATTCGAATGAATATGCCAGTAGATGAAAATGGTTGTGTTAATTTCACAACTACACTATTAGCTTTAATACGTGAATCATTAGGCATTAAAACGGGACCAACTGAAATAATGGATCAACGTGATATGGAATTAAAAGAAACTATTTGTAAATTATGGCCTGTTCATGGAAAGAAAATGCTTAATTTGCTTGTACCTCCAGATTCAGGTAATGAAAAGTTCAACTGTATACGTGAAAGTATAATCATGAAGTAATTATATTATATTGATTGTTTGAATCTTTCTGTTGTTGTTTAGGGCTGCAATTGATCAGACTTTTATTGGCTTATGTATGTCCTGTGCGAATTATCTCGACATCTCCATAAGTCACAAGCATTATAAGCAGAGACGGATGATGAATAGCCATAGGCTCCAAAGCGCGCGTTTCGTTCTGTTTGAGCCTCGTCAGCTAGATGTACCTGCTGTTGTAGTGAACAACAACCCTGAGTTGCAGATACATCCGGCTGACGAGTCCCAGGTAGGATAAAACGTGCGTCCTAGATTCCACTACCAGCCATCAACCATTTTAGTTATATTTATCGTTTTGCATCATTGAATGATTATATATTAGTGTGAGCAAATTTCCCTTGTTGTTGGGTTTTTATTTTAAATCTGGTCTGATTATGAATGCAATCAGATAAAAATAATTTAGTTTACCATTGGATTAAAATAAAGGATTTCGAATGAGACTACAATTTTTGGACAAGAATCAAACAACGCTATAATGAGTTTGGAATGCACACCTACTTGCTAGAGTTAAATGAGGGTTATAGGTTAGTGTGTGAAATTAGGATTAGTATTTACAGTTTAACATTAGGGTTAAAAATTAGATCAAATATTTATCACGAACTGACATCAAATATGATGCCAAAAGGATATTTAACCAAATTGCAGCACGTACTATTAGCGTTTACTTGCAGGCAGGAGTGATCTGAAACACAACACAACAGTCAGGACCAGTTAATGCCACCTGAAGTAAGAACACGGCGTACTGGCCAACAGAGACATGTTTTAAAATTGAAAGACGCTGTTCGAGTACAAAAAGGGAAGCTTATTACAAACTGGGTTTATTCATTGTTCTGCAGGTTCAGCTTGCTTAAGGCTTGTTCCTCTTTTTCGAGTACGTTCATCCTTTGTTGCCCTGCAATAAGGAAAACAAACTCACATTAGTAACGTCATGTATAATGATTTTTAATACCGTTACAAAATGAGTGAATGAATTTCACGCTCAAATTTATGATCTATTATCTTGAATCTGATTGGTTCGTCCATAAATTTTAGTCTCACTCCTAAGTTACACGAATTTTGTAAGTTTCAAATTTTCAATTTTTTACTCATAAGAATGTTATGAAAATATTTTTTTATTGATATAATTATCGATAAGAATTTGACTACTCATATTCTTACATCACAGAGCTTGTCTATCACAAAATGACTGTTGGTAAAATATATGCAAGTTATCTTATGATTGAAAATTGGAGAGCAACACGAGCCTTTCATGGTAAAGGTGGAACTTCTGTAAGTTTCCATTTACGTTACTTGTATAAATATTTTATCATTCTTAATGATATAAAGGTATATATTGCAACTCAACCTTCGAGCTACAAGTGTTATATATGTAATTACAATTGATTGATCACTGGGTGGTGACCAATGTCTTGCTTGTCTAGTCCTTATTAGTGCAGATCGAATGCTATCGATCATGTTGCAATATGGTCACCAGTCTAGCTGACTCGACACTGCGGGCACTATGTATTGTGATTTAGATGGTGGTTGGAGGTAGTCAACAGGAAACCCTGGACCCGGGTTTCGTGCTACTTGGCACTCGTCAGCAAGGTGTACCTGTAATCTTGAGGTAACTGGTGCTCCCTGGCGGATTCGATCTCGTATCACCCAGCTTCACAGTCAGAGACGTTACCACTGAGCTATCCGAGCCGTGACTAACCTCCTGTAGGACTGAGATGTAATTACAATTGATTGATCACTGGGTGGTGATCAATGTCTTGCTTGTCTAGTCCTTATTAGTGCAGATCGAATACTATCGATATATGTACTATGAATAGTTCACCTTATCTTAAAACATGGAAGATGGGATGCGAACCAATCTTAAATTATGTATGTAAATTGAAATTTCCCAATTTGACTAATAGTGACATTAATCGTGATTTAGAGATTGGTTGTGTTTAAAGTATTCTTAGAGGTAGAAGACCGACTGAGTATATATCAATAGCTTAGGATATGTTTTATCAATATATAGGAATGGAGCATTGTAAAGGCGGTTAACTAAGTAAATCTTTTGCCTATTATTAACATTGATTAGGTGATGAGATATATTAAAACATGTCTATAGACAGTAGTTTAATCTATTGTTTTGATATACTAGAAATTCGCAGTCAAACTTTATTTCTTGAACTTAAGAATCCCTTTCTTTTTCAAAGGTAGATAATACGTTCTTAAGTGAATATTAGTACCAGATACATCCTAAATGTTTTTCATCTATCAATTTGTAGTTAAGTGCTAATTTTGTTGCTTTAAACTAACTTGGTTCACTTTAATTAATTTCATTGAATGATCTGTCTTTATTTCACTAATCTGATCAATTAATTAATTTGCATAATATTTGTGGTTGATCAAATATACTTAATTGATTGTATCTATTGGGTCATCTTAAGAAGATGTTATTGATAAGATTCCTATTAGATTAATAAGAACAGATTCATATTTCCTAAACAATAAACCTGAGGTGAATAAGTTTCTTCAGTTAGAACTAGTCAAACTAGTGTATGTAGATGACAGAAATATCGTCCTGGATTTCTGTTTCTTGCTTAATTGTTCGTGGTTAAAAGCTGATGTTATCATGAAGTTATTTTTGTTCTAATGTTTGATTCCGTATTTTCAAATTTTGTTTTTGATTTTGAATAATAATCGTAGCCGCTGTGAATTAGTGAAATTTTAAAATTAGATACCATAATAGTTAGCTATAACTATCATCGTTTCTTAATCAGTTGCCCTATAATATAAATCTTATTTATTGAATCATTTATATTCAAGCAATCTTCTTTCACTCATAATCAAAATAATGATAATCAGTTCAATTAAGATGTAATAGATAATTACAGTAAAAACTTATACAACATCGCAATAATCCCTGTATTCTGTGTTGTTGAATTTGCGAATTTCTAAAGATAGATTACATTAAACCATTTTACAACGCTGATTCTCCAGTATTTACCACTAACTACAAACACTTTAGGCTACTATTATTTTAATGAAAACCGATGGTAAATAAGTTTTTTATTAATAAACCGGTTTTCATTTCTCAGACAAGAGAAAATAATATGTCTAACATCTTAGTGATTAGCTTATAACCGAATATGGATACTTCAGACAGTCATTATGTATAAATTAATTTGATTGAATAACTAAAAAAGATAAACAAAATCGTTTTCAATAGTTTTGTATTTGAAAAGAACAAATGATCCAGTGTAACAATCAAATCAACATTCCATTTGTATTATATAATCCATAGTGATATTTTCATCTATTTTGTTTTTTTTCATTCATCAAAGCATCTCTTTAAATTACTGTCGTTGTTTACTTACTTACGTCTGTTACTCCTCGTGAAGGAGCATAGGCTGCTCACCAGTATTCTCCATCCAACCCTGTCCTGGGCAATCCTTTAAAGCTCCTTCCAGTTGTAATTCATCGTTTTCATATCTGCTTCCATTATCCGACACAATGTGTTCTTTGGCCTTCCTCTTTTTCGCTTCCCTTCAGGATTCCAAGTTAGCGCTTGCCTCGAGATGCAGTTTGATGATTTGCGCAATGTTTGTCCTATCCATTTCCATCGTCTTTTCCTAATTTCTTCTTCAGATGGAAGTTGGTTTGTTCTCTCCCACAGAAGGCTATTGCTGATGGTATCCGGCCAATGGATGTTGAGTATCTTGCGTAGACAGCTATTTACAAATACTTGTACCTTCTTGATGGTGGTTGTTGTAGTTCTCCAAGTTTCAGCTCCATACAGTAGAACTGCCTTGACGTTGGTATTTAAGATTCTCACTTTGATATTGTTTGAAAGTTCTTTTGAGTTCCATATGTTCTTTAATTGTAGGAATGCTGTCCCTGCTTTGCCAATCCTTGACTTTACATCTGTATCTGAGCCTCCTTGTTCATCGACGATGCTTCCTAGGTATGTGAAGGACTCTACATCTTCCAGAGTTTCGTCATCAAGAGTGATTGGATTGTTGTTTTCCGCTTTGAATTTGAGAACTTTGGTTCTCCCTTTGTATATGCTGAGGTCTACTGATGCAGAGACTGCTGCCACACTGGCTGTCTTCATCTGCATCTGTTCGTGTGTATGTGATGGGAGAGCTAGGTCATCTGCGAAGTCCAAATCGTCTAATTGATTTCGAGCTGTCCATTGTATTCCGTGTTTTCCTTCAGATGTCGAGGTCCTCATAATCCAGTCGACCACCAGAAGAAAGAGGAAGGGAGAGAGTAGACAGCCTTGTCTGACTCCGGTCCTTACTTGGAATGCATCTGTCAGCTGTCCTCCATGCACGACTTTGCACTGTAGTCCGTCGTATGAGTTCCGGATAATGTTGACAATCTTCTCAGGAACTCCGTAGTGTCGAAGAAGTTGTTGTTTGATCTATACCAATTAAATCACTTTCTCTTACTGAACAAGTTTCTCAAGTTATCCCGTTTGTGTTTCTGATATTTTCATCAGAAAAAAATCAATCTTAAAAATACCAAGTAAAATAATTTTCTTGTCGACAATCATTTTTTATTTATCAGTGATTATCCTGAAACCTTTGAAAGAATCCCATTGAATGATGACATTCAAAACAATAGTCTTTTAATTAAAAGTTTCTAGTTCCACTAATATATGAATATGATCATTTATAATCTTTCGTGACTAATTGTCCCTTTTATATGAATAGTTAAAGGCTTTTAAAACAATCACAAATAGTCTAATAACTATCATTCATTATTGAATAATGGAATGAACATACATAATGAAGAATCTTAAAACATTATTATAAAATATTGTTTATTAGTTCTATTGTCTATTCATATTGATTAAAGTACATAAAGTATAATACCATTTTAATCTTTATTGAAATTAGAAATCTGCTAGTATATTGGCACGATTCTTTGGTGCAGTAAAACAAAATGCTCATCATCCAAATGTTAATTCTGAAACGGAAGATGAAAGAGGAAGGTGAGTAGAAGTGATTACTTTTCTTTTCTACTGGTTCCTTTCGATTTATCTAGTTCTGATTGTTTTGCACATAAGTTGTATGTTTATTTTTTAGTACTAGGTTATGAAGACAACCCAATTTTATTGAATTTAATTAAGTTAGAAAATCAGAGAAAACCTGAAGGCACTGTACGGTCGTTTCGTCTTGGTACAAAACTCCTCGACAGCGCGCATCCTTGACCTCTCAATCAGCAATCAAACTTAAGCTCTTCGGTTTTGTGTATGAACCTTTAACCTCTAGACCACTGATTTACCACCAAATGGTGTTTATGTTCAATTCCAATCAATCCACCATATTTCACAACCGTCTGTCATTATCTATAGTGAATACCTTACTGACATACTACACGATTGAACTCTATTAACTAAGTTTCATCAGAACCGCTGAAATTTTATTCAAAAGTAGTTGCTAGTGACAAAATGAAATTTGTTTTTCGGTATAAAATAAACAAATTTGAATTAATCTTTTTAAAACGCCAGATTTAAAACAGCCGTGATCATTTGTTGCATTATCATTTAGATCTAACTTACCAGTTTATGTTTGTGCTAATTAACTAACCACTCGTACTGACAGCAAACTTCTGGAAGGTTTAAATGCCTTCAATAATCCCTTACTAACTTTCATTTATATTCATTTCTTTGTTAAAAAAAGTAATCACAAGAACTCTTTATTATTCTGACTTCCAATTTACTCCATTATATAAGTATTAGATTATCAAACCTTAACCTACCACATTTTTGTAAAGTTTAAACAGTTTATAACTACGATATTTTTCCATAAAATTATGCTTTCCCAATATGCGTAATCACAATAATTAATAAGTTAAAAGAGAATATACAATAAGAACCGTAGAAATACGTATACAAAGTCATTCATCAAAGACAAAATATGTTACTTTCATATTTTTCCCTACAATGCCCCACCTTAACAGCAGTTCATTCCTGAGAAATGACCGTAACGATGAAACATAGGATTCATTCTAAGTTTGTTTGATTTTTGTTAAATTAAATAAAACTTTCTTGTTATATCCGTGTTGCTTATCAGCTATAATTGAAGACATGTAACCACTGAAATTCCCACAACGCGAAGCAAGAACGCAAAAACTGATACAATTCAAAATTTGCTTACCCCCCAGAAAACACGACGATCCTAGTTGAAAATACATTACTTTATACACTGATTCATGCACTCATTTGACTGTTAATTAGGAAAGTTACATTTAGGAAATTATAATAAAATCGCTGGGCATATGTCACGTTTAACATCGTTCACTGTAATTCAACACAAATAATATCAGACATTTTTGTATTGGTTGTTTGAATATTCCTATCGGTGTTTAGGATTACAGTTGATCAGTCTCTTAATGGCATATGTGCATTCTGTGCAGATTGCCTCGATATTATTTCAAGTTACAGGCATTAGGAGCAGAGATGACGGTGGCTAGCTTCGAAACCCAGGACGCGCATTTCGTCATGTTTTGGACTCGTCAGCTGAATTTACATGCATTCCAGAATTGATGTTCTTTCCTGGACTCGAAACCAGTTTAAAGCAAGCGGTACTAGGTTCGCGTCTCGGAGTGAACATCAATTCTGTGATGCAAGTACATTCAACTGCTAGCCACCATCATCTCTGCTCATAAAGAATATCATAATTTGAATGAACATCACACCACAGTAATGTATTATTGAATAAAGTAGCACACTGAAAATAAAACAATTTTGATGACAGATTGAAATCATGAGTCAGTTGAAGCTAGACCACCATTGAAAACCTAGAAGCACTGGACGACCGTTTCATCCTAGTACGGGACTCCTCAGCAGTGCGCATCCACGATTCCGCACCACGCGGGGCTCGAACTCAGGACCTACTGGCTTCGCGCGCGAGCACTTAACCACTAGACCACTGAGCCGGCATCCAACGGTGTTAATGTCTAACTTCAACCAATCCACGAAGTTGCGCCACCGTACACCATTGTCTTCAGTGAGTTCCTATCTCACAACAGACCTGGTTGAACTCCACTGGTAACGGCTTCTCACTAGAACTTCGGGAGTTTTTCCTGAAGTCAGTCACTAGTGAGCAGTTGATTATTATCAGAATGGGTTTTGTGGAGATTTTAGAAATTTCACAGATTGAAATCATGAGTCAGTTGAAGCTAGACCACCATTGAAAACCTGGAAGCACTGGACGGCCGTTTCATCCTAGTATGGGACTCCTCAGCAGTGCTTCCAGGTTTTCAATGGTGGTCTAGCTTCAACTGACTCATGATTTCAATCTGTGAAATTTCTAAAATCTCCACAAAACCCATTCTGATAATTTTGATGACGTTTATGATTTCATGTGTGTTGAATAAATTTTATAAACTTCACAAAACCTAATAACAATACGCTTGTAATGGAAACTAAACTTAATAGAACATTAGTATACTTTTCTAGAATAGTTGAGTTATTTCGATAATGTAATTAGAAGACGAAGGTTATCAGAACTATGTGTGATATATTAGTGCAATACATTTCGAACAATCTGATCACACATTACATACTTGTTAAGAACATTTATATATGAAAAATTAAAAGGTCAACTAGACAGGTTAAGGGTAAGTCATAAGAAAGGAAAAATATTAAAGTACACAAAAACAAATGTGATTACCACTCTGGATAATAAATCAGTATTACCAGGGTAGGTTAAGTGTAAGCACAAATTGTTTTTGAACACATAATGGGGGTTTCAATTTTCGTATAGCCAAGGCTTCAATAAACCTTAGTATACGTCCTTGAAGGCTTTTGTACAACACAACAAATGCTGATTTGATATCAACCTTATGACCCGTCTCAATCAAATGTTTCGAAATGGATGATGATGATGTCTGTCTATCCTGTGATCTTATTTCACCATTGGAATTCATCTGATTCTGCAACCATTTTGTTATATGTTCACCCACTCTTAATTGCAAATCACGATTGCTCCTCCCTAAGTACGTGTTTCCACACATACATGTAAATTTATAGACACAATGGGATGTGACACAATCGTTTTCATGCTGTTTGGGCTTTTGGTGAAACACAGACCTTGTCTTTTCGATAATGACAAGTTGGGCTGCATAAAATATCCGGTTGCTAGCTAATTTAAGTCTCTGTTTCTACATGAGTTATATTTTGCAACTATTTTGTTGATTAATTGATTTTGTATAGCCCCGAACTCAGTGAATTCTCAGAGAAAACAACATCTGAAAATAAGAATCGAAGAAAAAGTAGAAATTCAGTAAGTTTTTTCATTCTATTTTATAGATATCCTTATTTCAATTAATTATCGTTAACGAAAATATTGTCAGGAATATGGAAAATAATGATCGAGTCTGTAATAGCAGGTTTTTCACTAAAATAGGTAATACCTAATTCATTATTAATAATTTCATTTTTCAAAATAAATTAAGTGTAAAGATGGGTAGTGGCTAGCAGTGGAATCCAGGATGCGCATTTCGTCCTATTTGGGACTCGTCAGTTATATGTACCCGCATCTCAGTGTTCATCAATACAGCTTACTCTCAACTTTAGTCTTATCATTCAAGTAGCGGGGTGCACAAGTATATTAGAAACGCATATGTCAGAATCGGACAATCATCCAAAATAACAAGTAATTTAGTGAATATCAAGTCAGCTCTAAAATTACAGAGGACAATTTAAAGTGTCTATATATGAACATCAGGGTGCAGATCGATAAATAACAATAAGCAGAGGTGGTGGTGGCGAACAGTAACATCCAAGACGCGTGTTTCGCCCTATCTAGTACTCATCAGATGGATGTACCCCACAGTTGGAACTCGAACCCAGCACCGTTCGTTTCAAACGCCATCGCTTTATCCACTTAGCTACCGAGTCCTGATATCCACTTGCTTGTGCATTGGGGTGAAGTTTAATCAATGAAAACATTCAAGTAAACAATACCAAGTGAACTAGAATTAAATGTAGACTTAACATTACAAACGTCAGGAATTTTTTCATAGTTACAAACATGTTTTTTAAACGGTAAGAATGCATTTCATTATGTTCTTCTATATTACAAATACTACTAATCATAAATAATTAAACTTTACTAAGTGAAGAGTTGCAGTAATGATCGTAATTTCTGTGTTGAATTTGATATTCAATGAGTTAGCTGGAATTAAACGCAAATATTCAACTTAAACAATTTCAGTCACTGCATTACAGACTTTGCTAAAAATACTAAAAGTTGAATATTAACAAGTATTTATCACAAACCGTTAGTACAAATCTCAGTTTTGCATCAAATCGTGATCTAAATAATTCCTTCTTAAAGATTAAAGTCAAATTAATTCAGGGAAAACGTTCAAAACATGAAGTATCATGATACAACACTAAATCGAACCAAAATGACAGTTAAATGATTTGAAACTCTTAAAATGAGATTGTAAAAGAAAGAAACTACTTAATTTTATATATTAAATTCATTTTTCCAAATTTAGACTCACAAACAAAGATAAACTAGGCTTCTTTGTATCTATTGTATTGTTTACTGTTATAATTAAATTCCTCAATATGAATTCAAATGTTGATTATTTGACTATTTTTTAAAGACTTCAGATCCCAATGATCCTAATCGTCTTCTTACTCCACGAGGATCAGAATTCACAGAACAACATATATATCCAGCCAGTAGTAGCCAATTCAAAAAACAATCTAGAATGAATGAAATTGATCAAACAATATCTAGTAATAAATCACAATATCTTATTCATGATGAAAATAAAACAACAACTGATCAATATCAAAAACATCCGACTTATTGTGCTAGAAATAAAAGAGAACTAGCATTTTCTGATCGTAATTCAAGATGTTATCAACGTCATTCTACGTATTTAAGAGATAATACTTATCATGAAATACCTGAAGACTTTGAAGAAACTGACAAAATAAGTGAAAGTACCGAAGAACTTTCAAAAATCAAATATCAGGGTCGTCTACCAGTGACTAGTTCATCAGGAGGTTATTATGAAGGTAAAATTCAATGACAATCTTCATCAATTTTAATTTGAATATATCTTTTAAAAAACGTAATGTTGTAGTGAACAGAACATGAGTGGGGGACAATGGAATGTATTTGACACGAAATTACAGAGCATCTCACTAAAATCTGAGAAGCATATAGTAAATCGTTAATTTGCAAAATATCAATCCATCGTCTCAAACTTGACTGTTCCTGTTGCAAACATCAATCCATTGTCTCAGATTTCATTGTTCATGCGTTTTCATACCAATTGCATTCCATTCCCGTTCTTTCCTTATCGACCTACTACTGAAATATATTCTATTCCTGACCACCGTTATATACTATTTATGTGGATATAAGTAACCCACACTACAATGTCACTTAGGTTCAGTAGTATATTTTTAGCTTATGAATGAATGTAATATACACAGTCATAAGCATAAATCCTATTAAACTCTAAATATTTACTTCATTACAAGTGTGTTCTTTTATGTGTGTCTAATCCACATATTAGATGTGAAAACTTAATATAAACCTAAAAATAAACGTTTATATAGTAAGCAAAGCATCTCCATGGTACTCACGCTTCATTGAAACAATTTTCACTCCACCTACACACTACAGTTTAAAAAAAATTTTCTAATTAGTTCAGTTAACAGAATATTTTTCTATTTTTAATCTTAAAAAATATATTTATAATATCTCAATGAGTAGAAAAACTAGATTTCCTAATGTTTCGTGACTCAATGCAAGTCACTTCAGAAAATGGATAACTCAATCAAAATTATTCTTCTGAAGAAGTTGTTTACATTGAATCACGAAACATCAGAAAATTTAGTTTTTCCACTTATTGGTATATTACAAATATATTCTAGACTGATTGAGGTTAAACACTGACATCGTTGGATACCTGCCAAGTGGTTTATAGTTTAAGCGTTCTCGTGCGAGATCAAAGGCCCTGGGTTTGAATCTCTCGAGCGGAATCGTGGAAGCTCACTGCTGACGAGACCCGCAATAGAACGAAATGGCCGTACAGTGCCTTCAGGTTTTCTATAGTGGTCTAACATCAATCAGTTCATGATCTTAATTAAAAATATCTTATTTTTATTTAGAACAATCTACCCAATGCTCAATTTATTTGAAATTTTCAAGTCAAACCTTGATAATGATACCTAGAAATTTAATAATTTCTCTTTTTACTCATAATCATCTGTAGTTCAGTTTAATTTATATTGAATAAAATAAATAACTACTTATAAGTTTCATTAACAATACCGGATGAAAAATTATTGAACATCAATGTTATTGACTGACTAAAGTCTGAATGATGCATAGTAACACTCTTACTTTAGACAGTAATCATTCATTATTTGACTATGAATTAATTCATAAATGTATAAATAAGGAACACTATTGATCAGCACATGATTAATTTCTTGTTAACGCATTCTATTCATAAACAGAGCAAGAACGAAGATTGGTGCCTTATAATATGAATTCATTTTAATTCGTTAGGTTCTCATCATCTGCTTATCTCCAAAGCAGTAGGTAAACTGATATATGTACATGTTGGTTATTAAACGCAAATCTATTTCTTTAGATTGTTCCTCAACATTAGTCACCTAGAGAACACTAATCATTAGATTGCTACAAAGAACATTATTTTGAATGAATCAGAAATTCTTCCCTACAAGGTGTCTACAAATTTATCCTCTTTTAATTCGATGTTCATGTAGAGGATCCTCTTCTATGCAGAGATTATTTGTACTTTTGGAGGCTCGAATTTTACATTCTTGTCGATAAATCACAGTGGATACACATTTTTGACAAGTTTTTTCCATAGCGTACAGACTTCAAATTTTTCATATCTGTATAGCGAAGAACATGATTAAATCGCTTTTTGTACTGATAGGGAACCTTTTTTAAAACTTGCTAGCTTGTCATTCCACAAAGATTATTTGAAAGTAGAATTCCTGAGGGTTCTATTAAACTTTATTATCATTTTATCATCATGAACGTAGATAATTTTTCAATTATGAATTTGATTCTCGAATGGTTATTGTTAAATTTCTATAGTGTGTGATTCAAACCAGATTCATTGTCATAACTGTTAAAATTTCGAATACATACAGTTGAAAATATTTGAGTAGTTCCCAAACTGAATAAGAAACAATGTGTCAATTACTGGCTAAAACGAGTTCCTACATTTGTCGATAGATTATGTCATGAAGTGTAAATTGTGCATTAAAAGTAAATCATAGTAATACTTCCTTTTAAATAGAATGTCAATATTTCCACATTAACAATATGATCTACTTGCAGATGAAGCAAAATGATCTATGTGAATAAAACATTAGTAAATAGTGAAGCATAAGTTTGTCATCTATATTCTTCGTTTTTATCTAATCAATAGATTTATAGGTGTCACGTAGAGAATGCATCTAAACCAGTTTGCTGTAGAGGGGTGGGAATATCTGTACATGTTAAGAACTGATATGACAGGAATTCCAAGGAATGTATATAGTTAAAAAATTTTCCAAGATTATATTCAACAAAAGATCAGGTATTTAATTTCATGCTTATGAGTGAAATTTTGAAGCTCTTAGTTAAAACGTAAGGCAGTATGTATCATTACAAACGGAAATCTAAGTAATGGATTGTTACTTGTACAAATAAACATATAAAAATATGTAGCTCTATGAACCTTCTTATTAAATCAATATTTGTAATTATGACGGTACACTCAACCGCATAAAGAAGCAATAAATTAAAGTCTGTCAGATGTTAGGCTGATTATTAATTATTATCATGGACTGATTTATTATATTGTCAAAGTACAAATTCTATAATGGAATTCGGTTAGTGATAAAAGAAACACAAAATATTGCATAGTGTTTATGACCCATTAGCAATTATGAATACACACACCAGATTTACAACTGTAGCTTTCTGTTGTTCATTATCCCTTCAGGTTTATATGCTCCTACTTCCATAGTTCAAGTAATGGGGATCTCTTAAGTTTACATTTGAATTTCCTGATTAATTGTTTCTGTGAATATTTATTGTTAATCAAACAATGTAATATCAATGTTAAGAATTAAGGATATTGAATGTCATTCTATTATTTACTGTATATAGACATGGAGGTATAATTTGTGAAACAACAGTTGCATAATTCATTTGTATATTCACTCCGGTAATGGAATTTCGGTGATACTATAATTTGTGGACGACCATTGAGAGATGCTAAAGTGACCTTAGGAATGTCCACCTAATAACTAGGATCAAATCAGGATTATAAATAAGTGTGGGGAATTCAAATTATGATTGAAAGTTGGCGGTTAAGGTAAGACATTAGATTTACAGTTTTCATCACGAACTGACATCAGCTATAATGCCAAAATCTTATTTAGCCAAGTGGATGAGTGAATTTCGCGCCAAATTCCGAGACCTGTTATCTTATACGTGATTGGTTTGTCCATAAATTATAGTCTCACCGGAATTTTAATATTCTTTATCATAATTTAGTATTTTATTTGTATACCTAATGATATGATTACATTTTTTGAATAAATCATTTATCTTTCAGATCAACATGATCAGTATTTTGACAAATCAGATCATCCTCAACTAGTGCGTAAAAATATTGATGAACTTTATAATACTGATGAAATAAAATACGTACCATACGGAATTCCACATGCCAAATCATTTTCTCAAAAGCCGTTAATGTCGACCAGAGAGTATAGTGTTCATTTGTCTCCAAGTAGTGATATGAGAAGAACTGATGACATTATAACTGATGAGCATCAGTGTTTAGAAAATGTGACTCCTAAATATAATGTAGATTTTGTCAAGGATGAAAGTGAAACACCGTACTATCAGTTACGTGATATGAATCCTCCTGATTTTTACAACTCATCATATACGGATACCAAAACAGCCGGACAGAAACGTCCTTTGCAGCTTCCTCATCAACATTCAATTCCTATTTTCACAAAACAAAGAGACATTAGAGGTGAACCATTATGGGGATTAAGAAATATGCCACATTTAACACGAAGTCCTAGTGTCGAATATACTTCAAAGTATTCAACTTGTCAACAGTTGTTGAGGCGGCAACCATATGGTTATGAGACCCCACCAATTAAAAATAGATCTAATCTTTATCCGAATCCCTGTAGTTCAATATTTTATCCTATTCCACCCCCATCAGGTCCACACATATCAAATCTCAAAGCTCATAGATCGTTTGACACTAATGAAAGCTTAGAAATATTTCCATATGAATTCACGTCCAACATGCATTTTCAACCGGTGCCTCCACCGACAAATTATAACTGGGAGGCAAAGTATGCTGATAAATTGTACAGTCATCAAATAAATGAAGAATCAATTGGTAAAAGTACAAATATAGGTATTGATCAACCTACAAATTTTGCATCCACTTCACATTTTGATGATTTTAAATTAAAGAAATCTTCTATGCATTTTCTTACACCACAATTAAAAAGACATTGTATACCGCATACTATTACAACACAAATTAAAAGACCTAAAAGACAAATTCATGCAACTGTAATAAATTTTAATAATAATCCTACTATATTTGAATGTAATACTACTACCACAAATATAATCAGTACTACAAATAATACTTGTACAAATGTTATTTATACAAGACCATATGAATTATCATCAAATATTCCATCTTTACCTTCTGCTGACTTTCATGATCTACAACATAAACTAACTGATTCTTCTTTTTCTTCTTCTTTATTTCCTCATTATTACAATTATACACCAAAAACAGATTATCATCCAATACAATATGATGAAAAATCAATATTGAATCAACCAGAAAATTCATCATCATGTTCCAATGATGACGATAATGTGATTTAAACAAACTATTATGATTGTTATGGAATTCAATATCTGTTTTTATTTTATATGATACAATTACGTAATAATTATATGTAATATTTTTTTTGTTTGGAAAATATCTAATAATACTACTTAACGATAAATATCAGTAATGAAATTTAACTTATGGTTTATGAATTCAAATTAGTTTCCTATTTTTCACTTAATCACTAAGTGATTTGTAATAATATTTTTGTGTATAAAACAATCAAATAACAATTTCATAATTCATAATCAACAAATAAACCAATAAATAAATAAACTAAATTTATTTATGACAAAAATTGTTTTGTTTTCTGTAGTTACTAAATATCAATTTTGGAAATTTGTGCAAATTTTAGTATTCTCAAAGATGCATTCACGTGTCTATCTAAGCTACATCATAATTACTTACTTATTTACTTACTTACGCCTGTTACTTCTAATGAAGCACAGGCCGGAGACCAGCATTCTCCAACACATACTGTCCTGGGCCTTCGTTTCTAATTCCATCCAATTCTTGTTCATCTTCTTCATGTCTATTTCCATTTCTCGGCGTGATGTGTTCTTTGATCTTCCTCTTTTCCTTTGACCTTGAGGATTCCATGTGAAGGCTTGTGTTGTGACGTAGTTAGGTGCTTTCCTCAATGTGTGTCCTATCCACTTCCAGCGCTTCTTCCTAATTTCTTCCTCCGCTGCGATCTGGTTTGTTCTTTCTCATGGTTGGTTGTTGCTAATAGTGTCCGGCCAACGGACCCGAAGTATTTTGCGTAGACAACTGTAAATAAACACCTATATTTTCTGGATGAATGCTTTCGTAGTTCGCCAGGTTTCCGCTCCATATAGTGGAACTGTCTTGGAATTTTTATCACATCATCAATGGAAACCTGAGAGTATAGAATGTCCGTTTTAAGCTATTATGAGACTCCTCAGATGTGCACATTCACGATTCCTTACGTGGGACTGAAATCTAGGACCTTCGGTATCACGTGTGAATGCTTATTCTCTAGACTATTGAGCCGAAATCCAATCTCCATAAACGCCTATTCTGACAATAATTAAAATTAACTTAATTAATTGTTTATGACTAACTGTCTGTTATTCGAAAGTAGTAGATGCAAGAACCTCTGAACCTGAAATATAGTTGCGCAACACTATGGATTGATTGAAATAAAAAAACGTGAAAAACGGAATTATGAACAAGTGATTGAAGGTCAAGCGCTGACCACGAAACCACCAAACTTTCGTGAATGTACAATTCAGGAATTTTTCTGTACCAAGATGAAACAGCTTTACAGTACTTCTTAGCCAGTTCTTGTTATAAACTATAAAATTAAAAAAATCCTATAAACTCCTTATACGAATATATTCTGATATTTTGTCATTCTGTCAATCGATTAACTAGTACTCAATGATGTTTTATTAGACTCAAGAGATCATTGTTTGTTCATTAGACTAGGATTAATAAAAACAATAATAATTTAGATGAAACAACATAAAAAATTTTCCGATTTTAATAAATGGTGAGACAATAATTTACTTGCAAACCAATCAGTTATTACATAACAAGTTTTTGGATTTTGGCATGAAATTCATTCATCTATTTATCTAAATATCGTTTTGGCATTTAAGCTGATATGAGTTCATGATTATAAGCCTAAATCTACTTCCTAACCTCAACCATTAACTGTAAATCATAATTCTAATTTCTCACACTGCTTTATCCACCTTATTTAGTCTTAGTTAGTAAATGTACATTCTTAAGGTCAATTTAGCGTCGCTCAAAGGTCGTCTATGAAATATAGTCTCATCCTTAAATAATTAAATATTATGTTCTAAAAGAGAAATTATCAGAAAAATCCATTAGTAAAGATAAACAATAAAGGAGTAGAATTAAATGGGTTATATAACTCAATGGTAAAACTGTATGTTATTAGTTCATCCTAATTGATTCAAAGAAAAATCAAACATATCATTACATAATGATCAAATTACAAAGTTTCATCACTACTCAGTGTTTACCTGGTTTATTTATTAATTGGTTACTCTTTATTTCAACTAATAGTGATCATTGTATTTCCGAAGATATATAATAGGATAAATATTTGTTTGACTCTGGACAATTAGTTAAACACTTGAATCACCTTAAATAAAATGACATAAGTGAATGGTAAAATGATTGATAAGTGAGATTTACCGAACTCACTTCCGGGTTTCTATATTTCTTCAGGTATATATCGACATATAACACGAATTGATTTGTAACAAGAAGATTGAACTAATGATAACATAATCAGAGAATAATATTTGTATGTTATAGACTTACAGTTTGATATGACGATTAATGAATGAATCGAAATCTTTGATCTTAATGATGAAATGATTGAGAAGTTTACCTAAATTCAAATTTAGTCGTTGTTCAAAATGTCTCAATAACATTTCAATATTTTATAAATAACCTTAAAACCAAATTGAATACGAAAAAAACGTTCCGGTGTGGTTTTAAAACACTTGAGAGGACAGAAGTTAGGAATTCTATTCCTGAATATGTTAATATTTGTCTGGTTGTTTTTCTTCAGAATAGGTCATAGAATAATGATCGATTGAGTATAACGAAATGACATTTCACTTCCTAAGTTCATTCAGGATATGTTTGTTGTTCTGTTTAAATAATTTCGTACATAGCAGAGCATGTCTTCGATTTTGTTTATATTGTGATTACATTGAACGTACTTCTTACTCAATATCTAACTTATTCTAATGACAAATGTCAATATTTTTTTTAGTAACTAGTATTAGAGTGTTATGTTCGTTAACTTGAATGCTACTACTGATTCACCTTACTCGGAACGGAATGAAGAATCAAGGATTCAGAGACTCGATAGGCTATATTAGTCCGTTGTCCCTGACTCAGCTAACTCGATCCAGAAGTCTTGGTAAGATGTAGAACATGTATTCTACAGACAACCAGAAGATACCAGGTCTATCAACTACAACCATCGTGGAAATAGTAACAAACTATTTAGGGGTAGAAGATTTAAAGGGAAAATGGAAGGTGAAGCAGATGGCTGTAAAGGAATGAGTATGAAAAAGAGAGAAAAATTTTCATACATTAAGACCACGGTAGAAGAAGAGGTTGTACCAGTCTATTTTGCACACATAATTCTGGTTTTTCAAGATGTATGGCTGTTGTCTCGGCAATGCAAAGAAGATGCAGTCTAATTGTCTTAGGAAGACTTCTACTTACCTTGTTGATGACTTTGAACGCAGAATCTGTTTTGATTGAATGACCTGTGTTCACAAGGTGTTCGATTATAGAACTTCTTATTGAGCCGTTGCCTGCTGTTTTTAGCCACGCCGGATAATGTTCTTGAATTCTTTTGGATAAAGTACGCATCGAACGGCCTATATACATAGCTCCACAAGAGCAGGTAAACATCTGTTTCATGGAGAAAAGCTGCATGAAAATTTGTACGATTTATATTACTAATTTGATTATCCTTTTTTTAAAAAAACACTGAAATTATGTACCAAATCATTGAGTCTATCAGAAATAGTGTACAGCTTGCATTAATATCTTTATTGGTTCAAGTTATCACTTACTATTTGTACATATTTCAGAACAAAATGATTAATAAAAAGATGGAACAATGATCTCGGAAATATTTGAATAATGTATCCAGTTATGCATTCAGTCTTATAAAGTAATGAATTAGTTCACACCATAAGGATATTGCATGATGACCATAATCGATGTGTTTCAACCTGTGAATAGATTTATATAGTCACTTTGAAAGTGATCAACTGTGTTTAAAAACACCTTTGTGTGTTTATTGTTAAATATTATCAGTTAAACAATTTAAAAATATGTTTTGTTTGTTTTATTCATCAGTTACGGTAAATTGAAACATGTAAGATAAAAAATTTCAGTGTTTGTGAGTCCTTCGAGTCAGGTTATTTGATCGAGAAACTATCTCTGTCATTCTAGACAATATCATTAACATTCACTTTGAGTGGAATTCATCTCCTAATGTATTCCACTTTTAGAAATGATGAAGATGTTCCCAGAATGATAATAAACAGTTTTTGTCAAAGAACTCGGTAGCACTAAAAACAAATAGCTGAGCTGAAAATTATAGTTTCGGAATTAATGAAACGTTGTGAAATGTTTAAGCCGAGATAATTCCGTACCATAGTTAGAATTTGATTAAACTACTACAAGGTTAAAGCTTTCGAAGTGATGATTTTTAGTTCGGGATGAAATGTTAGTTTATGGTTAATAGTTATCTTCACAAAGCCAGTTAGAAGTTATTTATTCAACTTATTTAACTTCCTATAAAGAAAACTATGTATAGTATTAAACTAATTGTAAAATGTTTGTAGACTAACAAACTTAAATGTTTGTAATTTTAGTATAACAAGATAGATAATAATAGACAATTGTGAGACTGAAGGGCAAATCTATAATTTATGAACGAACCAATCACTTATAAGAGTACAGGTCTCGGAATTTGGCGCAAAATTCATTCATCCACTTGCCTAAATAGATTTTTAACATTATGGCTGATGTTAGTTCATGATGAAAACTGTAAATCTAATGCTTAACCTTAAGTAACAACTGTAAATCATAATTTGAATTCCATTACACTAATTTATAACCCTCATTTGGTCCTAGTTGTTAGGTGGACACTCTCGCGGTCAGTTAAGTATCGCTCAATGGTCGTCCATAAATTATAATCTCACCAACTGAAACTTAACTAACCACAACATTATAAATATAATTCAATTATCAAGTCTATCACGTTTTTTTTTAATAGTAAATTTGTTTATATAATTGTCTGACACAGGAACTTATGCATGACTAGAAGTTCAAATGAAGATTTGATTTGATAACATTCTATTCAAACAATAAAGAACAATTGTAAATTGTAAGAGTTTTTTTTTAAAAAACCATAAATAATCTGTAATTTATTTATACTTTCAAGATCTGGTTAAGCTAG